ACGGAAGCAACAGCAACACGGCTGCTCTCCCCGTATCTCCTATTCCTGCCATTCCGGGCGGCCCTGGGTACGGGGGCAGTGGTGCGGGCTCGCATGGAGCCGTATTTGCGCGCCGCGGACAGCCAGGAAGTGCTCTGGGAACAGCACGAGCAGAAGCAGGCCTGCCCACCTATGCTGGCAATTCGCTCGACACCAATATTCAAATAAAGGACGAGGAGCAGCACCGGCGCCAAATTTCGCATGGACTCCAACACTTTCCCACGGCAGGATCTCCGCCTGCTCCTTCCCCATCACCCGCTCCTAATGGCACTGCGTATTCCCCTGTGGCCCCGCCGCCAGCACTAGCGCCCACGCCAACAGCGCCTCTGACAGCTACAACGACAGCCATCCCCGCCGTAGCGCCCGCCGCCGTCGACCCTACTGCTTTCGTCACTTCCACAGCTGGCAGTCAGCTCACTAATTCGGGCGTCTCCACTTTTTTCCCGCCCGCTCCTCCCCCGCCAACTTCAGCTCGCAACAGCGCTCCTGCCGCTGTTGGCACTGGTGCGTCCACGACCACCACTGCCTCCTCGACTCTTTCATCATCGCCCGTTGCTCGACAGCTTCACCTCCGACGCCAGCATCATCCCAACAACAACCACCTTGCTCCTCACCACGGGCACCACCATCATCACCAGCACTTGCAGCAGCAGATCCAGCGGCGACGCTTGTACAAGGCACAAGCGGCCCCGGGCCACCCTAGTGCCTATACAGACATTACTTCGAACAGCACCGTTCATCCTCTTCCTCCGCATCACACGCTCCAGCAACTTCTGCCACAACAGCAAGAGCTCGGCCAGGCCGGATACTCGTCACACCCGCTAACCGCCATGGCCGAAAATCCACAGGCGACGGTCACCGGCGACCAGGCCGCTATCGACGCTGAGATTGCCGCGCAAGAAGCGGCTGCCCGAGACTACCACCCCGATTTGAATGTGAGTTCTCTTGTACACGCTCTGGGTGATATGCCTTGCTCTATTTGACTCTGTTTTGCTTTCTCCATCTGCTAACTGGCGGGCCAGGGCCCCGGTATCAACGAAATTCGATCAACAGAGGAGATCAAGGACCACTATGCCAGTGCCGACCACATTTTCGTGCAAAAGACAGTCGTATGTTCACAGCGGCGGTGCATCTATACCCTGCCCGCTCCAACCTCCATACTGTCACTCGAAAAGAGATAACGGTCTCTTTATATGAGGCAGGACTTCATCTAATACCAATATTTTGCAGAATCTGCCCCGAGCGTATCCTCTCTATCGAGCTGTTCGTGGTGACGGCAATTGTGGATGGCGAGGTAAGACGCTTTGTTTTTATCTCCCCCCTCCCCCCCTCCCCTTCCCCAGACAGATTAATTGTGCGTTCTGGCTCTATCTGTGGCCAACTCACACCGATCGCCATGTTACATGCCATGGCCCAATGCGTCCGCGTTTCTCCTCTCTTTTACGCTATCCTCGCCCTCGCCCGTTGCATTTGTTCTCATTCTTCCCTCCCGTCCATGCATGACCCCGCAACCCAGCTGCCACCTGCCATTCTGCATATTGGTCGTTGTCTTGAATGCAATATGTGGGCCTCTGCTTTTCTTTTCTTTTCTTTTTTTTTTTTTGTGTTGTCTCCCGAGTATTCCCCCCCCGTTTGTTGTTACTTGCTCTCTCTCAACGAGGTGGCTACGTGCAGATTTCTGCAGGCGCCGGCACCAGCAGACGGCCAATGCGTGCACCAACAACTAGCTCAAGGGAGACCAGTCATACTCCGAGCATGCCATTTGGGGCCAAAAGCCTAGAACGCTCGATCCCTTCCGCCCCGTTTCACTCTTCTCTCGTTCCCCAGACTCGAGCCGAGTGTGCGATATTCGGCACGGACGGCAAAATGGCGGCGGACGAGCGGGATATCTTGGCGTGAGATGTCGCAAGAGAGCATGATCAGACCCTTTTAAATTTGACGTTTTGTCGTCCATAACACACATTATGGCCAGTGCCATACCTTCTTTTTTTTTTTTTTTTTAATCTAAACTCTAACACAATTATGCAGCCATTGGTTTCTGCTATTTCGAGGCCCTGATCTACAACGGCGACACTCAACTTATCAGCGATGAGAAAAAGCGCCTGCTTGAGCTCAATGACTATATCCGCGATGTGGGAGGCTACGATCCGTATGTCTACGAAGACATGGTTGAAGAGACGGATATTCTCTTCGATGGTATTCTGAAGGCGCTGCCGGACACGGAACAGGCGATACGCATCCTGACAGATGCATTCAACGACGACGGTGCGGGCAATGCGATTATCTACCATCTCCGTCTCCTTACGGCCTCTTACCTAAAGGGTAATGTGGGCGTGTATGAAGGGTTTATTGCTCACGATGGCGGTGTCATTGGTTACTGCCAGGAGTGGATTGAACGCCCTAACTGTGAAATCGACCACCTGCGGGTAGAGGTCCTGGCTAGCATTCTGCTGAAGCCCAGCGACATTGTCCTGGAGATTGCGTACCTCGACCGCAGCAACGGTAGCACTGTGTCTGTGTATAAGTTTCCCGACACGAACATTGGACGTGCAGAGGACACCATCACAATGCGCATGTCACTGCTCTTCCGCCCAGACCACTACGACATTCTGTACCGCCCTTCACTACCATCCAAGACCGTCGCCGAATCGGTACTCCTCCGCTTCCTCCCTGCTGACGCTGCCATGGCTGCCTTGGCACCCGCTCCTGACGCGGCCCCAAGCGTGGCTACAGTGGGACAGCCAGTTGCATCAGACCCGTCGAACCCGTTGGTTGAGCCATATTTGCCGTCGGATTCTTTGGCGGCCGAGATTGTGGCACAAACGTACCCGGTGGCTCCAAGATACTATGAGCGCATTGCCCAGCCGTCTGGGACGCCCTCGATTCGCGAGGACACACCTGATCTGACCCCCGGCTCCTCGACGAACTCGCCCGCCACATTCCCTGTGAAAGAGGAGCCCATAACTCCGGCGTATGCATCCCCTGTCCCCCCGCCCTCAGCGTCGCAGCAGACGACAATGCGGCGTGAATCCGGGGCTCCGACCGATAACTCGTCAGCGATAACTCCGACCGCCCCTACTCCCTCTGCACGCAGTGGCGCCGATCCTCCGTCCGCACCGGCACCACCCACGACCAGGCAATCCCAAAATGACGTCGAAATTCATCATGTAGCGCAAATATCCTATGGAAGCGCTGCACAAAGCGCGGGTAGCTTTGGCAACTACCAGGGTGCCGATTTCCAGATCCTGTCCCGGCTCCCTGGACTATTCAACACATTCTCGGCACAACCGTCGTCGTCGCCTTTTGGTATGGGCCAAAGGTCGTCGTGGGGTGCGCCCGGACCATCTCGATCGGGACTGGCAAAGGGCGTTCCGCCTTTCCCGGCCTCCCCGTCAGAGACATCCGTGCCGCCGACGAGCGGATTAGCTGATCTTCCGAAATCGGCCTTGGCGGGCCCTGCCATGCCCGCGTCTCCCGCGGCATCTGTGGTCCCGGGAACGCCCATGTCAGCCATTTCTTCCGGTCTGTCGGATTCATACTCGGAGCCGGCGTTTAGTGTGGCCGGGACACCGGTACCTCTCATGGACGCCCCGACGCCAGTATCGTCAACGCAGATGGGATATAGTGGAGCGGGCGGTGGCGAAATTGGAAGAGCCACTGGCAACAACGGAGGCGGAGGCGGCGTCGGCAGCAGCGGCGGCGGCGGTGCAGGACGAGCAGGGAACACCGCATCCGTATTTCTTCCGGAACCCACTTCCACACCAGTACGCTTCACCAAGTGGCACTTCAACCGCCTACCGCACGATGCGACAGACCCAAACTCGAGCCTGTTCCGCAACTCCCGCGTCAGCACGGCGCACTTTGACAATCCAGACTTCCAGCCGCAGGAGTACGACCCCTCTGGTGGAGGCACCGATGGACCAAGCCGCAGTCGACGAAAGAGCAGCGTTTTACGTGAAGACGGCGACAAAATGAAGTAAAATGGCCAAGTGAGGCGGGCGGCAAAAGGGGATACCGAACGAGCCATACTAGGCCGACAAAAGGAGGTGGGGGTTCATCATCGCAGACACTTTACACATTACGCATTCGCGCATTCACGCATTCACGTATTCACGCATTCATGAGAGGATTTCTGCATTTATGTAGTTGTTATAATTCCCCTTGCGTTTTCTAGCATTTCGCCGTTTCACAAGCAACTACCAACCTCAGACAGAAGATGCCTGACCCATTCCATGATATTCCCAGGTTCCCTGTTTTATCTGTGTTGTTATATCCTAGCATAGCTCCAACAGTTTTAATGTGTGTTATTTGGCATTTATTGGTTTGCCTTTATTAACTTGCCGATTTTTGTTTTCAAGTGCTCTCGTTCGTTTGCATGTTTTGGACCTTCTTCATGTTGTCTGCTTGGTGTCTTTGCTTCTTGTGATTCAGGTAATAGGACTTTGGCCTAGAAGATGATGGCACGCTGAGAGAGTAGTCATATATCGTTTACCATTGCTTCGGAGCCCGTTCCTGTTTCGCCCTCGTGTCCCTGAAGAGCCATTCTCAATGCCGGTGGATTATTATGTCACATACGATATCAAGATACACCTCATCAAACCCACTGCGACCCCAGCTATTCATGCTGATCTGGGATAGCCTCAATGTCGCGTTTTGGGGAAGCGTATCGCTGTAGTCGTATTGTGTCTCTGTAGTGACCAGGAGTATTCCAGCTTGACCTAGTCTTGATTAGGGGCCTGACTGTGACCCAAGCCGGGAGCTCCTTCCCCCCGAAAGAAAAGTATGTAACTTGCCCAAAGCCCCTTCTTTTCTCGGCCAAAGCCATCTCCTCTTTTTCTCCTCACTTCGTTTCGCTTCCATCTTCCATTTTCTATTCCTCCATCGTTGCAATCCATCAACTCAGTCTGCCAAACCACTTCAATAAACCAACACCACAAAATCACCCTTCACCAACCGTCATCATGGGCAAGGGCTACTCAACCAAAGGCTCCGGCACCAACAACCAGGTAGGCCACGCGCACTGCAGGAGTAATGTGGTTGCACATACGTCGGGCATCTCCCCCCCTTTTCTTGCTTCTCCTCTGACTCGGGTGACAAACTCAGGGCAACCACTACTGCAGCCGCGACTACGGCAACAATTCCAACTCGTACCACTACTCCAACACCGACGGCTCGTACTACTATGCCAACCCGGACAGCAGCACGTACTACAACGGCGGCGGCGGCGGCTCGACCTACACGGCGCCCAGCGGCCAGTCGTACTCGTCGGGATACGGCAACAGCGGCAGCAGCGGCAGCAGCGGCCAGTCGAGCGGCGGCAAGAAGTACTAGACGGTGGAGCCGGCAGGCGACCATGCTGGTGACTGACCGGCAGGCGACGATAGCATCCATCGTCTCGCTTGCCTCCACCCCACGGCAATGAGGAGCGAAGGGGCGTCGAGACGACGCCAGATCGGAGGAATGACGCGTGGGACTTTCGATGGGGTACCAAAATGGGAAGCACGACAGCACGAGACGCTGTCTTTGGCGGACATTTGCAGAGGATAAATTCGTCTAGTCCAAGAAAGCATGGTTGACATGGCTCACTTTGCTTCTCTGGAGCCTCTGTAATTAACGCTGTAGCCAGACTTCTGGGTAGCAATAAACGGGTTTCCTACAAAGCCAAATGCGTGCAGCGGTGACGCATCGATAGTATTGATGGCCGTGGTTAATTTTTTAACAATTTAAGAATGTAAGTATGGTGAGAATATGGAAGTGGGAGGATGTGTGCAGTGAGCAGCGCACCAAAGACATGAGCGGCTGTGTTTGACGCAGGCTTCCCTTATTCCCTATTCGGACGTACGATTTACAGTGGATATGGAAGCCCCTGTAACAGCCAGGCGGCTAATCCTGCCTCATCTCGACACTTTTCCATGCTCACAGAAACACGGCGGCTATCTGATGTTCTGCCGTTTATTTTTTGTGCGACTTGTCCTACATAGCGCACCGATCCAATCCAGGGGCATGCCTCAGAAGACCAATTGGGAATAAGAAGCAAAAAGAGACGCCGAGAACCGCCAACAAAACCCCTGCGCGCGTCGAAAGGGCCAAAGGGCGGCCCGCAAACACGGCCAGTCTCCCTGCATGGGCTTTGTATTTTCTTTGTCCCATTCCCGCCGTATTCTCTTTGATGCGCATCCCATCTCTCGACGTCTATTTAAAATGAACGTGGCCCCCTTCTTGCGGCCATGAAACAAAGGTGTCCCTTCTGGAGGTGGCCCGTTTTTTAGTGTCCTGGCCTTCTTTCTCCCGTCGACTCCCTGCATTGGTTTTCTTTTCTTTTCCTTTCCTCTTTCTTGCTACCGCCTAGTAGCGAGGTCTCTTTCTGGCCTGCTGGTACGCTGGCCCCGGTCCTCGCGGCCCATCCTATTTCGAAACCATCCCACCAAATACAAAGCATTGGACGAGAGATGCGTGTGAGCAAGTGGAACGGTTCCCAAAACAACGGAAAGAATTAGCGAAGTGAGATGGCAGAGTATCGTCTTCAGGGGAAAAAAAGGAGATCTACTCAGAAGGTCGACTTACGCGCTTCTGTTTCCATTTTTATGCTCCCACGCAGGTATATTTTTGGATGCGATGGGGCCGCAGGGAGAGGCCCTTCTTTGTGTGTGACCTCGCTCGCGCGGGAGGAGAAGAGGAGAAGACAAAGAAACATGTCGAGATGCACGGAGAGACGGCGGTTGGGCGTGGCAGACGACGGCCTTTCGATGACCCTGTGTTTCAACTCCGCCTGCTGGCGTGTATCCTGTGTCTGGATCGGTTCGTCTTGCAATAATACATAAGAAAGCTGTGTCACCTTTGCTATCCCCTTTGTTTTTTTATTTTGTTTGTCGTTTTTGTGTATCAAGTAAACACGTCGTGACACAGCCTCTTCCGAGACTGCATCAGGCCACTCCATATCATTGTATCATTGATCGACACTCCCTTTCATCCCTTTTCACTGCTCACCTGCCACGATGCCTTGGTGGATCTCCAGCCGCCACGGCGACGAGAATTGGCCGTCGCACATGGAGCGGCGCCGCGACGGCTCGACCAAAGTCAAGGCCAAGAAGCCACTGCCGGTCTGCGTCTATCTCGTGGAAGACTGCGTCGACGAGAGACAGCTTTACTTTTCGGGCAGTGGATCATCGACCGCATCGACCTTCTCATCCAGGCCTCGAGCGCGCTCTCCAAGACGCTACCTCCCACTGCCGGTTCCTGCTCCGTCACCACCAGTCCCGGCGGCCGTCGTGACAGTCGACTACCCAGCTGACACTGCCTGTGGCAGCACCGAGAGCTGTGTCGGCGGAAGCGACACGGAGAGCGGCGGCCACAGTCGCAGCAGTGGCAGCAGCAGCAGTGGCAGCAGCACCACCTCCAGCAGTGGGAGTCGCCGGGGCAGCTCATTTGAAGACACGACCTCCTACCGCCCAAGACGAAGCCTGTCGCCGACGCCGTCGGCGTCCTCGACCACGTCGCGGCACAGTATTCCGCTTGACTTTTCCTCCAACGTCTCGTCCGTTTCTGTGGCTTCGGCGGCAGCAGCGTCATCGTCGTCATCGTCGTCGTCGTCCAGCTCGTCTAGCTCGCCACTGCCACACCCAAGGGAGCCCTCGCCGCCACCCAGCCCCGTGTTTCCTCGTCCGCCGGCGTCTCCCGCCAGCTCGTCTGCAGCGGCCTCTGCATCTGCTAGTACATCGACTACCTCGTCCAGCCGGTCGACGCCTAAGCCGAACGTCTCGGTCGATGTCGTCACCTGCGAGCCGGCGGCCTCCATTGCAGGCAGTGGACGCGGCATTTTCAGTTCCAGTGATGGGAGCAGCCAGGTCGGCAGCAACGACACCAGCAGCTACAGCGTGCCCGCCGTTGTGGCGGTTCCTGAGCAGCCGATTGCCCTCCGTCGCACATGGGCGCGGCCGCAGCCGATGCCGATGCTCCAGCCGATCCAGACCGACTTTCCGCCGTACCAGGTCGGGTACTCACCTTATGTGCCGTACCCGGCATACGATGCGCTATCGCCTAGTACCAGTCGGTCGAAACACCGAGCGCGTCGGGCCGACCGGACGCCGAGGTCGCCGTGGGCCTTCTCACGCACACCAAGGACGCCCAAAACGCCCAAGACGCCCAGGACACCACGCCTGGCAAGAACGCCAAGGGCCGTCCGTATCAAGCCTCGCAAGAGGGAGCCACCTCGCATCATTCAAGTGCCCCGCTCGCCACTCCCGTACAGTGCGCCAGCCGTGGGCTCCCATTTCGTGGATGGAGCGTATCGCGGCCGCCCTCTGAGTCCCACGGGCAGTTATGTGCGCACCGAGAGTGGGTCGCGGGAGCGTCGGCGACAACTACGGGCCGCTTTGGCCGCTCGGAAAGCCGAGGCCTCGGCCGCTGCCATGGCCGTCGAAGCAGCAGCAGCAGCAGCAGCAGCAGCACCATCGTCATCATCGGTAGCCACATCAAGCCGGTCATACCGCTCGGGGCCATCGAGCCGTGTTCCTCCGAAGATCGTCATGGGTGATGGCAGCAGCATCAGCAGTCGCCGCAGTCATCGCAGTCATCGCCCGCTGACACCTATACGCGTCGTCGCTCCGCAGCTACCCACACCCCGCCGGCGCAAGAGCGCCCTCGCCCTGTCCCGCCACCGCACCGAGCCCATCCGCTCGCCCATTTTCGACGTCCATCGCCCGCCCCCGCGCACGCCGCGACGGCAGTCGGCCACGGCCGGTCTGGCGAGCGATCCCCGCGTCGCACGCGTCGACGACCCCACCTGGGGCGACTACCTCAAGGGTGGCAGCCGGGTCGTGCAAACACGGCCGGTCCGTCGCTCGTTAAACACGCCAAACACGCCAAACACCGTCTCCCACAGCCGCAGCCGCAAGTCGACGGCCTCCAGCAAGCCCTCCCTCTTTGGCGGCTACTACGAGTCGACGGCGCCCAGAAAGTCCAGGGCATCGACCCCGACGGAGCGATCCATGCGGCCGCTCGACGACATTCTGGCCTACCTGCGGCCGCGGGAGAGCTCCATCGATCCTAGCCACACCAACCCGCCCAAGCCGAGGCGGACGGCGGCAAGCATGGCGCCGCGCATGGCCGCGGCGCGGAGAGAAGCCACGCGACGCGGCGAGCAGCTTTCCGAGTCGACGTCGGAGTCGCGGTCGATGCTGCGGTCGCGGTCGCGATCGCAGTCACGGTCGAGGATGTGAGGCCTGTGGTGCAGGTCGTTGTTACGTTGTTGTTGTCATTGGTCTTGTCTTTGATTTTTGGTTTCTGGTTTCTGGTTTCTGGTTTTGTTTTCGTTCCTTTGCTTTTCGTTGGTCCAATCACGTCCATAGACTAATACGAACCGTTCATCTCATTTCATCGTATCTGCGTATGCCCCGCGATTCGTGTCACCGGCCGGTTCGTGTGGTCTCGAATGCAAAGTTCCGGCATCTTGGTTGGCCGTTTGAAGTGGAGTCGAGAGCACAGAGCTGCCCAAGCTTTCAGAGCTCTGCGAAATTGAGCTTCAGTACATTCGTAAGATCTACGTAGTGCTATTCCCCGCACAGGGAAGGTGGAACCACTCACATCCCAGTCCAGGCTAGTCACGCGACCCCTGCGCTAGAGAACATTTCACTGGTTCGCACCTGCCATCAGATAACAAAAGTCACAACAACCTCTTGCGGTAGCGGCGGGCCCACACTCGTACGGCAGGCGCGTCCTGAGCGGTTCCCCCACCCACATTCTGCAGAGCAGCTGTATGTTGAAGAACGCGTCGAGGAAGGCGCAATCCGGACCGGCTGTTGCACTTTTTGAACGTTGATTAATTACGTCGTCCGTATTTTGTTTTGCTTCATCCCCCCCCTAATTTCGAATCCTTTTTTCTCTTTCGCCATCCTGTCCTCCCAATCGTTGGCCAACACGCCCTGCTTGCGCATTGCATGCAGACCCCGGTGGGAGGACCATTGTCTTATTCTCTATGTCGTACCCCCTCGATATCCTTTCCCATAAGATTGTCGTGCACTGAGACTCATTTTTTTCTCATTTATTTATTTATAATTTTGTCTTCATAGTCTCGCCGTGTCTTATTCCGCAGCAGGATTTTGCGATCGCCCTACTTGTCTCCGGCCACGACCGGACGTCGTTCCACCATGTCCGACGAACCCTCCCTCCCGCGCATGCCGCCGTTCCGGGCCGCTGACTCCATCTTTGGCCCGAATCGCAAGCGAGGTCGCCTTTTCGACGGTAACGGCAGCGGAAGCGCAAGTGGCAGCGGCTCACACCAGCTGTCAGCCCACCAGCTGCTCCTCAACAACTCCAGCGACCCGGCCGTCTTCTCTAGCGACGACGACCCGGCCCTCGACAACTATGCCCTGCCCGACCCCACCGGCGCGGGCCATCCGCGCATCCGCAAGAAGAAGCGCTATGTCGGCGCCTGGTTTGCTCAGCATCCGGCCTCGACCGACTCTACGTTTGATGAGGATCCGTCTCTACAGCAGCAGGACAGAGAACGAGATCAAGGCCAGAGAGAACCACAGACAATGACGCTGCCTCTGTTATCGTCGCCCGTGCGGCCACGCCCGAGCAAGAAGAGACGCACCTTTGAGCGGCAGTTTGACAGCGGCGTGTGGATGGGCAAAGAGGGCATTGCCGAGGGGGCCGACGGCGCCGAGGGTGACGAGGACATGCTGGAGGCGGCCATGGCCGAATCGCCGCCGCCGCCGTCGCAATCGTCCACGTCCTCCCAGCTGTCGCTTGCACCCCCGCCCGCCGCGCCGCTCCAGACCGATTTCCCTCCCCCGCCGCCACGCCAGCGCCGCGTTTTCCAGCGCGTGCCCAGCCTGGCAGTGAACAGTGCCGAGGAAAAGGCGCGCAAAATCGTCCAGGAATGTATCGAGGCCGGTGACGACAAGATTTCGTTAATGTAGGTCCTCTATGTTGTCCTCTATTTCTTTTTTTACATGTCTTCTTCTTAGCATTAACCTGAAACTTAACTTCCAGTGGTCTCGGTTTGACGGCACTTTCGAATGCCACGGTGGAGCCTTTGTCTGGCCTCGTGCCCTTCCCCGTCGTCACCGAGGGCGTCGCATTTGAGCAGCGCGACCCCAAACTCAAACTTTTTTTGTCCAGCAACAACCTGGTGCGCCTACCCGGTGCCCTCTTTCAGCTGCAACACCTCACCGTCCTCAGCCTGCGCGGCAACGGCCTCACCGAGCTGCCGCCGGCCATTGGTCAGCTGCGCAACCTCAAGTCGCTCAACGTGTCCCTCAACAAGCTGCAGTCGCTGCCCGCTGAGCTACTGCCGCTCATTCGGACGTACGGCCAGGGTGGGCGCCTTACCGAGCTGCTCGTCCACCCCAATCCGTACTTTTCGCCAGAAGAGGAGGTTGAGGACAACAATACATTAGAAGCCGTGCCACGACCTGCCCGTCATGTGGGAGACCGTCCTACGCGCGTGGCCCGGTCACCCGTACACTACATGGACAGCTGGGGCAAGACATGGTCGTCCTTTACCCTAGACCCGGCCGCGCTGGGCGCCTGCAACCTCATTCCAACCGAGGACATGGCCATAGAATCCGTGCCCCCGGTCGAGAGCACTACTGTGGCCGCCGCCACGTCCCGTGTGCCGACGCTCGTCTCACTCGCCATGGAAGCCTGCTACCGCACACCCCAGCTGCCACAGCTGCCAGACTTGCTGCCACCGGAAGCACCGCCGCGTCTGGCACGGCAACTCGGAAAGGCTCTCGCCGTGCGCGACAGTGGCGGGAGCACGTGTTCGGTGTGCTCTCACGGACAAGGTCAGCTTGCCACGCGACGCCCCATGGTGGCTCCCATGACGGCGTGGCTCGAGTGGTGGGAGTTTGGCAAGCCGGACGTGAACGTGACGTATACGCACACTGCAGCAGTCTCAGGGTCAACAGGAGCAGCAGCAGCAGCATCAACAATAGGTGGTGGAGGAGCGGGAGGAGCTGATACACCACAACCAGCACGGCTCCAAGAAAATGAGATTGAAGTGCTGCCGTTCATGTGGCGTGGTTGTTCGTGGGGATGTGTGCCACGAGTCAAAGTGGTGGAAAAGGACGAGGACGAGGAGGACGAGAGGTAAGAGGAAGGCAAATCAGCAATGGCTCCCTTATATCTTGAGGACCGCCTCGAGGTGTCTATTTGCATTCATTATTTCAGCACGCTGTATATTCTTTGTTCTCTAGTTTCTCTGTAAATTCCTACCAATGTACATTCTATGGGGCCTCATATTGTTGGCCTTGGCTCCGTGTTACTGTTTTAATTGTCATTATTGGCGGTCGTGCGTGGATATATCTGATACAGTACTGTCGTACTCGATGCTGTCTTGTGATACGATCTCCCAGAACGTGGTAACCGTCACAGAGGTGACACATCCTGTTCCACAACAGGCCGTTTGGCAGAGGAGAACCACTATTGTGCAGTTTCTGAATTTATGCACAAGATTTTATTCACTTTGGCCGCTGTGTCGCCCCGCGAAATGGCCAGGGGAAGGAATTGGCGACCGTCATAATGACAAGGAGGATGTTAGAGTGCCAAAAAGTGCATCATGTTTGTAATGTTCCCCGAGTCCAGGTAGCCAATGGCCTATCTGTTGAGCCCTTTCTTTACGCCTTAAATCTGTTCAACTATCTTCATCCTGCGGCAAAGAAAACGCCCCATTTTGTGATTGGGCATCGATGAATCCTGGCATTCCCGGTGAGTGTCCCTCATATTACCGTCGTCTCCTCGGGCGTTGGTGGCCTTGTTGACTTCTCCCGTACTGTAATTACGCATCAATCATCCCTTGTTTCCTACCTCGCCTCATGTCCCATTTCTCATGCTGTCCTTCCTTTCTTTATGACTCACCTTTATGCGTCCTGGTCCAAATGCCATTCAAGGCCGACTTTGCTTCGTGTTGTCTCATCGTATTTCTCCACCGAAAGCTGCCATCTCCTCGTCCACGGTAAATCGGTGATCATAGCACCGTCGCCCAATAAGACAATATTGTTTGACAGGAGCTCCTTTCCCTTAACCAATTCAACCAATGGCCTTCCGCCAAAATAAGTCTGCAACGCAGGCCAAAGGGCAACGATTGGCACATGCAGCCCGGCCCTGCCCCATAGAGAAATGTTTGGCGAGGGACAAGCCCGGTGTGGCGGATCGCCACTCGTACAGTCGTGAGAGTGTGTGCCTGCCATGGTATCCAAACTCACACAGGCTCTCAAACCTTCCCGCTCTTTGCCAAGTGCTGCCCACTGCTGCCTGCTGGCCCCAGGACGTCAGGTGTCAAATACAGCGAGGGCAAATTACATGGGCCTTTCTTGTTGCTCGCATCCTCAATCACGACATACGTTCCTTCTTCAGCCTTGTACAGAGTAATTCGACATACCAAATACACTTTGGATGTACAACATACCCTGTAAAACAAATTTGCTCGGGTATCATCGGGGCATATAACAGAGTAGTATGACTCCGTAATTACTCTGTACTTAGATTGAAATATTATGTTGTACACATAAGGAATCACAAACAATGAGCAGTTACAGCCTTGCCACCTGCCACAGCAATTGAAGTCGGTAAATCCAGCCTTGTCCTTTGGTTAATGGTTCCATGGTTGGGCAGCGACAGGCGCCTTCTGGTTCCGGGTGTCCCGACCCTGGATGCCTTGATCCTTGTCTGTTTCAGATAGAAAGCAATTGTTTGCAAGCCGGCTCCGAAAACCAGGTCGGCCTGTTTTTCAGACAGCTCGTTGTTTTCTCCGTTAGGTAAGAGAGTACATTGAACACGCACCAATCGAGAATGAGGGTCGGTCCCAGGGACCAAGGGAAGCGGGACTCCTCCTGGCCGTGTTTTGAGCATGCATGTGGTTTAATCTTTTGCCTGCCGTCTTTAGCCTGCCGCTTAATTAATCAAAACGAGGACCATCAAAATATAACATACAAATCACAATAGGGCGATGAACAGAATGAGATCAAGAGGGACAGAAGAAAGTGCTATTAGGGCAGATGCAGGTACAAGGACCAGCATCATCCTGCCAATTTTCTGCGAACAAAATATCAAATTCATTGTCGGCATTTCCATCGTGCACAATCTTGACATGCCCCCCACCTATTCTCGCATGTCTCGCAGCATCCGGAATTGTGTGTTTTTATGCTTCAAGGACCAACCGGATGCGATTTCGCAGCTGCCAGCACAAAAAGGCGCCTTGATCGACCGGGCACCTGCAGGTTGAAGGAGATGACCGGGTGTGGCCAAAACTCTGCGCAATTACTTCGCCTTGTCCCGTAACAATCCCAAAAGGGATTTCGTTTTTTTTTTGTCGCCTTCTCGTACATGTATGACCTGTCATAAACTTCCTTTTGTTTTACTTTGTCTTTTACAACGAATGTACTTCTCCTGTGGTTCATTACTCTCTTTCGTCCTTCTGCATGTTTGCACGTCGCGTGGAACCGCTGGATGAGAGGGGGTGTGGTGAAGGACCACGTCTGAGTAGCTTTTTGTGGAAACCTCATGCACCTCCGAGCCTGCTGAGAATATTCGCAAGAACAGGGCACATGTACCTTGCACGTCCTAATCGTGCGGTTTACATTGAGGCAAGCCAATGCAAAGGCTACTTTGTACACGAGCATTTGCAGATTTTCAAAGCTGATGGAGCCGTTGAAGGGAGAATGATAGCCACCTGTGCCCCGTGGAAGCGAACGGAAGGCCATGGGCCGGCATTGTTGGCATTGGCAACGGGGACTCCAAACGTTAACGCAATCAAGACTGTTCGTTGATACCCCATACTTAGTACTTGCTTTGAACATGATATTTTACAAGCTTTTGAAATCTGGAATGATTTTAGAGCCAGGTTAGCAATTCGTGTGATGCACACCTTGTGCTTGTCTCATTTGCATTTTCCAATGGTCAACAACGCACGGGGCTCTGGAGGCGGTCGACGAGACAAGACACGTGCAGTTGCACAGCATGCCACAAACTAACCATGTCAAGATTCCTTTTCCATGGAGACAGTCAACCTCTGCTGAAATAAATTATGGCCCAATCAATTTACCCCGAAAAAAACAGGCCACAGAACACGCAGAACAGCATCGCAGAACATTTCTCCTTATCATCGATGCAAACCAAGGCTGGGTGAAAAAGAAATAGCAATAAATAACACACAGATAATACGTTACAGGGCAGAGTACAAGAAAATAGAATGAGATTAACGAAAGAAAAACTCCTGGTGGCGAAATTCAAAAGGCGTGTGCGGAACCGGTCGCAGCATGCGGCCAGATTAAAAATAGGCTGCCCATCTCAGCTGGTCGTCCACATCGTCGCTAATTTTCTGGCCGGCTGCGTCTCGTTTCATTTGACCGTGTCCAATCTTCCATCTTACGGTCAATCATTTCTCGTTCTGTTGCTCATTATTCTTGAATAAAGCACTTGAAAGCTATACGGAGCACCAAATCGGGGAGGGGCAAAGGAGGACAGGGGCATGCAGTACATGTGTGTCCAAAAAAGAGCCCAAATCTGAACAGTTCACGCGTAAGTTATCCGTCATAACAAAGAAGCAAAGGGTAACGAAGCCGTAAAATGCGGTCACTGTGTTGGCGAGGTACGTTCGTTCCAGACCTCCATCTCATCCAAGCATCGCTCTTTCCTTGTGATTTTTGTGGACCCCTGCTCTTTCTCTTTCCATCCGACTACATTCATAATACGCGGTTTGGGAAGGTGCGGCGTATCTATGCCGGGCGTCGTAGGATAGTCGAGAGCCCGGTCTTGATTCCTACTTCACACTCCCCTCTCTTCGTGAAAAGTCCCCTCTTTTGCTTCCGCCACCCCCCACATCCAGCTGACAAAAAAGCTGCTGGAGTTTTGCGAATTGTCATGGCAAAGGAGTCACTCTCTGTTGCTAGCCCGAGCTGATAGAGTGCACGGCTTGAGTGCATCTGTTTTGGGAAAGAGCCAACAGTGCACACAAATAGGGCAAGCGCAGTCACTGCAGACATTGGCTTCTCCTTCCGTGTCTGCTTCGATGTGTCCACGGTTTGGACAACGAGGGAAAGAGCTCGCGCAGGCGGTCTTCCGCCGTGCAATCCAGATCAAAGCTGTAAACACCTCTCCTGCCAACCCCCCCTATTTTTTAAACCTCATAATACTTTGTCCACCATCCCCCCCCCCCCCCCCCATCCCAAAACAACGATTTATGTCATCATCAAAGGTCCAGCCTTTTTGCGCGCCTGGGAGCCTAAGTCTGATTGCCAACCAGTCTGCAAAACAAACAATAAGCTGCGACGTGCGGCATGCGACATGTCCCTTCTCGCCACTCGACACTCCTTTTTTTGTTCCCTGCCCTCGTCGCTTGCACATTTGACGGACAACAATGGGGCGGACCCATCTTGTTTCTGGCCTCCCGAGGACCCTTCTTGCATGCATGGCAATCGTAGCCACACCGACCTCGCGTTGTATGCCCGGTACATTCGGTGCATGAGCACAAAACATGAGAAACCCACATTCAAGAACGCGCATGCGGCACGAATTGTGCTACACTTCGCCTCACCTAACGAAGTAGTTCATTCACGTCTCCGCACACTCGAGCACCGCCCCGGAACAGAAGTGTATTTGCGGAGTGCGGTGATCCAACGCACCAGAGGTCAATTCGCAGTCGCTGAATCTTCCTCCAAAGCTTCCTCTGAAGCAGCCCGTCGAAAACCACAGCGCCGTCCGTTGTTTTCAGTTTCCCGAACGTCTCTCCCTTTTCCTTTCGTGACCGCCCACCTCACCTGGTATCGAAGGATACAGCTTGTCATAAAAGACCCGCCATGGCCTGGCCCGGTCACAGCCGGGCCTTGTCAGTGCCGTGCCTTGCACAGTCCCGCTAAGTGAAGATCATCTTGTACAGCCCTTTTTTGCGCTGTTTGTATTTTTCCATCATCGTCGGGCTCTTCATCCCTGCTTCTCTCCATTCCCACATTGCAACCATGACATCCACTAGTTGACGCCTCCGAGTACCAAGCTGACCAGTTGCTTTCTCCTGGTACATTCTAGCTCGAGTATCCAACCAACCAACCGCCGATCCGTAGTGGCTACCGTCCTCGGAATCGACAACAACCTATCGTGAAGCTGGTAGGACTTCGCTCTGTCACCGTCTTTTTACCCGACATCCACCTCGATTGTATCCACTTGGACCCATAATCAGACGCCATCTAGGCATCATTGTGCCGTCGATAAGACCTCCCTCTTTACGCACAGTTCGAAATAAAATGAAGCGTTAGGAAGAGGGAAAGGGGCATCCTCAGGGCTGTACTTGCTTGTGGGGCGACGGGGCCCTTTCGCCTTTGACTGTTTTCTCTTTTGTCGTCGCTAGCCCTCCGTGCCAGCTCGCCTCATTTTCTACCACGGATTGGTCCCGACTGAGGAGCTTTGGGAATATAAAAGGCTTCCTTCCTCTCGACTTTCCTCCGTCTTCCTTGTCGAAAGTGCATCCCCGTTCTCACTTTTCCTTTCATCACGCCTCATCACCCATCACTCCTCATTATCCAGCATCAAAGTATCAAAGTGTCGTAGCATCCAAATCACTTCGACATGGATATCAGCAACGAAACAGACCTGCACGGCCTCGCTGGTACCTCCCCTGGTCTTGCTTTTCAGGTACGTCTAAGTGTTTCCATTATGTTGTCTTAGCCACCCATAGCATATCTCAGCCACGGATTGCTACACACGTCGATGGTAAGACGGTGGTGTCATCTTGACACCGCTATGGCCGGAATGGCACATCGACGAGAGCATGCCGCCGTGTCGCTTGACAATATGATGGTGGCGTCAGAGAGACGTCTTCTTCCCAGCACCCTTCCATGAAAAACGCGTCGACCAACAGACATATGTCCCACTTGGGTCGTCGGTTGTACCCTCATTAGAAGCCGTCATCACTCAGTCTTCTCGTGACAGTTTCAAAGATGGTTGCTCAAACAACGCCAAAGACCTGGCAATGAAGACATGGGATATGGGCTAACTCCAACAAGAACACAGAAGACACACAGACACACTATCAGCTCGATACAATTTCGGAAGCCGACACTTCAGTTGCGCTGTCAAGCGACTTTGGTTCCATCCACGACACGGCTCCTTCTTCGGTTGAAGAGCAGAACGAACAGTATGAGCACCTGGTCACCTTGCATGAGGCCTCGCAACTGGCACTGCAGCTCGACGATGCGACTTTGCAAATGCACCAGCAGGAGCTCGACGACCAGCATAGTTCACACCGCATTCCTGATCCGGGTTGCGGTCTCTGCTCCATGAGTTTTTATTACGCGCCGTTCTATAGCGACAAGAAGTAAGTCTCGGGAAATTTCATTTTCGCTTTTCCTGGAATTGATAACTGTGAGATGGGTGGGCAAGATGGTAAAGCGAGGCAGTCGTCAACAGAAGTGTTGCACTTTGGAAAGGGGGGCGGGAGAGACGAAAACAAAAGAAAATTGTGCAACCTACCTCACTGTTCACCACTTTGATAAGAAATGCACGGTTTCTTGAATCACATCGGCTAACAACCATCTTCTTGCTCGTTTTGGTGTTGAATAGAGCATACAGTGACACAGAGACTGTCTCCCCGGAAGATGCTTTTAAAAATGAGCTTTTGATAGCAGGGCAGATCCGGGAAGGTGACCGTGCTGCTACGTTGGCCAGCATGGAGCTTTCCCGGCCGTCAAACTGGCAAGACCGATTTGAGCTGCAGGGCTCCAACCGCCGCCTTGACCATCACTCTGGCCGTCACTCCTCTGGTCAGCAGCCGTCCAGTCAACGGCCATCCGGTCACCGGTCCTCTGGCCATCAGTCGTCTGGCCATCGCTCCTCTGGTCATCAGCCGTCCGGTCATCGGCCCGGTCACAGGTCATCCGGCCGCCGGCTCTCTGGCAATCAGTCGTCCGGTCATCGGTCATCCGGTCATCGGTCCTCTGGACATCGCTCTTGATCATCCATTCGGCAGTTGTCCATCGTTCGTGAAGGTTCTTTATGCGACCAGAGACCCACAATTGCCACCACCATGTTTCCGCTAAGCTCGGCTCGAGCCGACCTAGTGGCAACTAATGATGACGGCACTTCACGTTTTGTGGGGTGAAACACTACTCATGCAGCACCCATGCCAATGCAACGCCTCTGCAAAGGTGACCAGTTGCCGGATCGGCAGTGCCGCATGAAACGGCGAAGCGATGTTGGCATGTGTGCGAAGCTCTGGGAGGGTGAAAAACAGAAGGATGACGGAACGACGACGGAACAACAAAATTTCAACTTACCACGGTCTAGCATCTTGCTGTGGCCACTCATGTATTTGCTTTTGCCCCCTTTTTTCTTTATCTTTTTCTTTTCTCCACCCCTTTCTTTTCCCGCTCCTCCTCTTCTCCTTGCCGCTTTCCATTCCATGTAATATGGGACACGCAAAAGACATCTCTCGGTATTGGAAGGCATCAAGACGCACGCTACGTGTGTCTTGATACCCATGACGCCAGGATCGTATCGTCGACGCAGGGCTTGCGATAGCTCGCCGCAAATCTCCAAGCTAAACCAAGAAAGAAAAGAAAATTTTCGTCAATCTTGACGATAATTTCTAGAACAAAGGAAAGGGGTTTTGTGACCCGGAAAGCTTTTTACATTGATCATGTAAGAGCACCGTTTGAATCCCCTTCTCAAAAGAGGTTGAGAGGAACGATTCAGAACCGCGAGTGCATGGTTAGGGACATGCACACAGCCGACAATTCAGCCGTCAAACCAACGGCTCCTTCTTCGGTCTGTTTCCCCCTTGTGTGTGCCTGTTTGTTTGTTTGTTTGTTTGTTTGTTCTTCATTTTCCTTATTTATACTTCTCTCAATTAGCCCCCTGTTTCAGTTGTAATATTTCTCACCATGTCCTCCCCTATTCTCAGTCATAGCGACTGTATGCCCTTTGCCCCTCTCATCTCTTGTTTTGTGTTTAGTTTAGTTCTCGAATCACTCACAATTAATATTTCGTCGGTCAGCTTTAATGTCCCATAAACAAGATTTGATGTTTGCCATGTGTAGGATTTCAAGAATTGTGCGGTTGATGCCCAAGCGCCCAACCGTAACGTCTCGAGCATAAGTTGGTGAGGACATTCCTGCAGGATTAATGATCGGGTCGTCCAATGACGGGAGAACAAGAAAAGGGGATATCCCAATCGGGCCGACACACTGGTGAATAGGTGAATGTTTAGCAAGAAACAGATTGAATAATAGAAAGAAAGAAGAAAACATAAAAATAAAAGAAAGAGGAAAGAAGAAAGAGGCAGGTGGAAAGGGGGCAAGCGGCTAATTACGAAAGACACAAAAGCGGTAGCAACGCTAAATGCCTAACGAATAATTATTCCCGTCAGCACGACCTGACCCTTCGTCGTCGTTAATTGTCAGCTCGGAGTCCTCGGATGGCCAGGTCACCGCCAATCTCCTCGTACAAAGGAGTCGGCGCGTTGCAGTTTGTATGTTTTGTCGAACTGTTTCCGCCAGCCACATGGCAAACCGCTTGCAGCCCAGTGTGCGTGTGATATTGGCGGCCGATGAAGAAGGGATACATGTGCTGCTGTGTTGTCTGTGACTTGTTGCTTGTTGTCGGTTTCATTTCCACGGGAAACCGCCAGCTGTCTTTAAAAAGAATGAAAAAGGGGAAAACGAAAGGAAATCATTTTCCTTTCTGCTTTCCGCTGTCCTGCCTCCCAGATTTGTCCTGAAATTTTACTCGACAACACATCAATATTGGGAAAATGACTTACCGCCGCAATGTCCATCGGGTAATGCACTGCGTTTGAGTTTGGAGTCACCCAAATGCGAGTCAGTGTGATTTGTGCTACCCTGGTGTCGCATTTGTGACAATTCCGGATATGGGAAAGACCGATAGGTGTTTAATGGCGATGCGACAATGAAGAAGGAGCAGGTGTAAAAGGGGAAAGGAGCAACGGAAGGAAGGAGCAATGCAAGGGAGACAAACGGGAGAGCGGGAATAAAGACAGCCAACAATGAGGTAGGATGACTGTAGGGCCTCTATCAGGAGGAAGAAGAAGTAGTAAAAAGAAGAGCATCATGAGACGCGCTCTGCATTTTGGATGACATCCGCAAGCAAAGATAAAGCCAGACGAAATACGAGGTAAAACAAGCGTCGAATTTGCCGCCTTCCGCTTGTAAGTGAGTAGCGGGGCGACCCGCGCCGAGATATTGGTGTCGACAAGAACTGACTGTGGCGCAATTGAGCATAGTTTAAAAAAAAAAAAAAAAAAAAAAAAAAAAAAAAAAAAAAAAGAAGAAGAAAGAAAAAAAAAAGAAAGAAGAAGGCAGAAAGAAAGAAGGTAAGTCATAACAGGTTAAAGAAGAACGAAAGATCAACCTCAAAAGATGTTGGAACTCTCAAGATGGCGGAAATATTGTCAAGAGGATATGAAATAGAATTTTTTTTATCTGCGTCTTTTTCAATGAACCAGGCTTATGGACTTTCGTCTCGTTCGTCCCGTGGGAGTTCGCCTCCATGGCGCAGTTGGGGTTGAATATTGCAGCCCACGATTTCGCGCACGCCGAAGCGTGGCATGTTGTTCCTCGACTTTGTCAATTGGTGGTGTCATCAGCATGCTGAATGTGCCAGTCTGAGAACCATTGCGGTCGGTCGGCTTTAGGTAATTACTGGGCGACGTTTGAGACGCATGGAATTTCGAACGTCGAACCTGGGAGAGGGGAGATGATTTGACGAAAAAAATAAATCACAGAGCTGAAAATGAATTTCAGATGTGCATTAAGAAACCAAGCTGAAAAAAAGAGAAGCGAAAAACAAACCAAGCTGGCAATGGACGGGGCAGTGTTTGATCTGAAAAGGGGCAACCGAAGCCAGTAATGGGGTGCATGGCTTGATTTATACATTGGTGGCGAAAGGCTGGATGGTTGCTTGTGGCGATCAAAGCGACTCCCAATGCTTGGTTCGCTCTTCAACCTATCACAAGCCGGACCGGCAAGGACGAATACGGGTACGTACTTTTACGAACGAGACTATTGGCCTTGCAGCGGTTTTTGGAAGGACAGCCTCCTTTCGCAACGTTGCCTGTGACAAGAGCACGTAATGAGGACACGCAGTATTTACGTTTGTCTTGATGTCTTGCTTTTCTTCTCTCGCCTTATCATATTTTTCTTTTTTTAAAAAAAGAGAGAAAAAAAAAAGAAATTCGTGTAGCACCTTTTTTCGCCCTCTTTCACAAGCTGAGACCCACGCCTGCTGCTCCTCCGTTTGTCCAAGTCGAGATCGACACACCGTTTCGGCATACCCATGCTTGAGGGCTCCTATTTCAACCTTGGCCAACCCGGCAGGTACTATGACGTCCTCTCCTTTGCAATAAAACAAATACGATGGTCCCTAGTTGGGAGATCATCGCGTGCTTGGCCCTCGGTGCAACAGCCACAACATCCTCTTTCCAACGTCTTCTCTTCACATGCATTTTAGTTACCTTATTATTATTATTTTTTAAAAAAAGAAAAAAAAAACTGTACGAGTCTGTAAGAAATTGCCACCCACCAGACTCGCCATGTCACGTCCATTTTCCAATCTGATTCCAGAACGGTTTCCCGAGTTGGACCTGGCTCCGTTAGGATCAAGTCTCCTTACTTCCCTTCCCCTGCTCCTACCTCCTTCAACCCTTCCACTTCTCCCCGCCGGGGGCCCGGCGTAGTTCCAATAGTCTGCTTGAGAGTACGCTCCACTCCTGACGCCTTTTTTTATTTCTTATTCTCTCGAATGAGGCGGTCAGTCCTATGTCTTGACGCCTGGGTGGGTGTCTGGACAACATGTTTCCGATGATATGATTTGTCTCTGCTTCCAGTCTCGGTAGACGCTTGATCGGTCTCGTGGCCCGGTGACACACTTTTCATCAAAGCAGTGGCCACTCTCGACGCCTTTTTTTTATTATTATTAGCTGAACGACAAGGCTGTGGGCATCGACTGCTCTGGGACACAAGGTGTCTATTTTTTTTATTTTTTCACCCTCATGCTATCAAAGAGGTCTAGGCAGACGTGTCAATGGGCGTCATAAGGACTAGCCGGCTTGGGCATGTCTCGACCACGTCGACGTTGTTCGTCTTTTCCCTTTTTCTTTAATTTCCTTGATTTATATTTTCACTTTCTCTTAGGAGGCTGAGTTGATACTAAGTACTCCGTATCATAGTTCTTATTTTGTCCCATGTCTTTTCTGGCCGCCCATTCCTGTTCTTTTCCCTGCCCACGTTGTTTATTTTGTCCTCACTTCCCTCCGCCTCCTTTCTTCTTTGCTCTACCGCTCTGACGTCCCCTTGCACCGATGATCGGATGCATATTTCCGTCTGCATTTATGGAGAACGTCGTACCCGAATGGTGATTTTACTGTTTTGCAGTGACTAGCGGTGTAGGGTATCCCGCACTTGAAGGGCGGCGCTCGAGGTACTGGTCTATGCATCGTGTTTTACATTCAGTGTCTTACTGTCAAACAACTAGTAAGACCTCCCCCATACCATGGAACAGGTTCACCAGTGGTGCCCTCTCTCCCAACGGTCGAACTGGCCAATAGCTCAGCCAACTCACTGGATTCCAAGAAGTAACGGGGTTCCATGCTTTCCTCTTGAATGTTTGGCTGATGTGCCGCATCTGAGATTCTTGCAGTCTTTGTAACTTATTTGTGACTCACAGAAATGAAGAAAGAGGAACGGGACGACGCACTGGTTGTTGGAAACATCAGCATCTGATAGCCACGGTACCTTTTTTGGCGTATCTCGTTCCTCGGAGTGCTGCCTAAAGCAGACAATATGAAAAGAACGAATGGTGTGTGCTCAGCGCTGATGAAATTCATTTGTATCCAATGAGTTGCCTGTCATTGACCAGTCACGGTTTCCGCAGACTCTCATCATTCTCATTCGCCGAGTACATCAAAAAGCACCGGAAATTGTTATTTATCACTGGCTCTTGACTCGCGTGAATTCTTCAGCAGTTGGTGCCCCGTAATCTTGAGTACTGTTGTTTCCAAACGAATGAGGACTGCAGCAGGCAGCCATCTAGGCAAGGAGAGGTCAAGATGTCAGCACCTTGCAGCATCTCCTCACTGTACTCTCACTTTAGTAGCACCATCAAAAAATATGTGCATGGTCCTAGGGCCTCAAATTGGACATAGTCCGTTCATTGCACATGTGGGGGTTTCCTGAGGAGGAAGAATAAAATGAGACGAGCCAAAGTTGGCAATGTGGTCGTGGAGCCAAATTGCCCTGGCTGACAAGGATGTGAACGGGCAGGCAATGAGCAATGAAATGTGCAAATTCGATGTCCCCGTTCACCGCATATCGGATTTCTTACCTCTGGCTGAAAAGGCCTTGATCGAGTAATATGACGGGCTCGGCGAAACAGCTAAAAAAAAGCGGACGCCTGTAATCCTTGCAGGCAGCCGGGCGGGTTAGCGAAAACTCGGAGACAATGGGAAGTGTCACGCACCGAATTAGACATGCACGGGTCCCGCGTGGCGAAAAGTTTATTTTCTTCCATTGCGGAGCAAAGTCATTGCAAAATGGTCAGCCTGTTCAGGTTGTTGTAGAAGAGGATGCTGTTGGCTGTGGGGTCAAGTGCATTCGGGATAGTGCGACACTCCCTTGCCACTGTGAACCGAAGAAAGCGAAGGGTTCGTGGAATTCCATGCGAGGTATGTGTCGAGGCTCAGCAGCGTCTGGATTGGCCAGAGTCCGATGTCTCGTCGGCACTTTACCGGTGATCTTCGCCGCCTTGTCTCAGAGGATCTCTTCCAAAGCAACACGAAAGACGAAAAAGGCTGCCGCACGTCCGTGCCCCATAGGAACGGACGGATAGCAGGCAAAAGGGGAGAAACAAGGGTAGGAAGGCAGCCGCTAGACCGCACAGGCGTCCAACCAACAACCCACAAGTTGTGTCCTATTTTGGTAAAGGTTCCGCAATTTCGCATCACAAAGCCGCATCTTTTCATACCGTCTGAGAGCTCTGAGGACGATTGTACCTCCCACTTTTTTCAATCTTGTTATAAAGAGAAAAACAGAGAGAAAAACATGAAGAGCAAAAACTTCGTCGGACAGGGCGCAGTGGGATGAATAAACCCCGGACGCCGTTGGCAGTTGCAGAATGCTAAAAATAAGGCTGTCGTCAGCAACTGCGGAGTTTGACGGCTTACCGAGTTCTTCCAAAGGAATTCGGACGCCTTTTTACGCCCGGTCAAAGTTTTAGCCGGTCTTGGATTCGCAGCGAGGCGCTTTGAAATTTCAAATACTTCGAGAACCGTTAGTCAACCAGAAACCGTGGGACAGGCCAGGGCCAGTCTGGCTGTACTACAGAATACAACGTATTAACAATTTACAACGGGACCGCGCCTGAACGGTGACCTAATCGAGAAAGGTTTCTCAGAAAGAAGACATGGGTAGAGTATGGCCTGTGTGCCTTGCACCCCAGCCTTGTCGGTTCGAATTGTTTAATTTGGTCTCGATTACCGAGCAAAATTCGCTTAAACAACGTGGAGTCCGTTACGGACCGTCTAGCGAGCACGACATACACAGCGCCATCCTGTGATAAATCATTGAAGCAAACAGTTTGAAACGGTGAACCGAAAGTGGCCAAAAACGCTGTAGTAAATAAGCACGAGAAAGGCACCGAGGCAATAGACCAAAAGAATGTGTCCTCATACGACGCACGGATACAAGAAAGCGAATATAGTCGCTACGGTACGCGATATCCGAAAAGAGTAATCAAGCCAGAAATTCATACACATGTTCTCTGCAAGGCTGCAAAATGTGCACTTTTCAGTCCACTTTTGTGTACGGAAAACCGCTTCCCTGCCAGTCTTGCACTGTTGTACAAAGGGGCTGCCATTATGCTTGGGAGCGGACAAGGCACGATAGAGTACAGCTTCAGTGAGAATATTCCTATTGTCGTAGAACATGTTTGCGTAGGAAAAGTAGATCAATATCGTGAGATGCCATGGTCACTGAAGCCAAGTTGGGAACTGCCAATATAAGACCAACTCCGTCCCGTCCATAACATGAGCGAATGGTAAGATGGCCGAGCGGTCTAAGGCGCTAGCTTCAGGTTCTGGACTCGAATTTCCGGATTCGGATCCAAAACGTGAACTTGCTAGTCTCGCAAGAGGCGTGGGTTCGAATCCCACTCTTATCACTTTTCTTTTGCGTTTTGATCTTTTTTTTTAGCCCAAACGACACACATGATTTTTCAATATATTTAATCACACCGTGATTCTCTTCCGAGATTTTTTTTCAGTACAAAGCGAAAGCAGAATGGGTGGTTGTGCTACGGTACTTGCGGTGGTGTGGTGCAGGAGCCTTCTTTTCGACCCGCCAGCCTCGTGAGAATCTGAGATTTATGCTAGGACAACATCAGAAACAGAAAATGAAAACGGAAATGGTAACTCTCATGCAACACAGCATGAGCGGCTATGCCGCATCCAGAGAACTATATGGTATTTCCCGTCGCCACGCTCTCAACGTCACGCCTGATTTGGCCCCTTTCTCCTTCGGCCCATTTGAAAGACCTGCTGCGGCCTGCGGTGGCGGCCAAGTATGGGCGCTATTGATGCACGGCGAAGGGAGTCGAGCATCTAATGTCCGCATTATGGTACCAGACGTGTCTTTCTTCGAGACAAAAATGTACCCAGACCAGTGTGGGGGCGTTTGAAAGAAATGGATGCATCAAATCTGGCCCAATATGTCTACATGTGCTGCGAATATCATATAGTTTCTCGGATAGGTCTTCTTTCGAACGGAACAGCGCGCCTTGCGTAAGCTCCACCAATACACACCCAATATGTCGTCCACGGTGGCGACCATGACAAGATATAGAGGGATCCAGAGGCCGAGGACGGGCTTTCAGAGTCAAGAGAGCAGCGGCTGAAATGTAAAGAGAGGGAGGGAAACAGAGAGACAGAAGTTGGGGGCCGGCGGTAAACTCGCGTGCAGGATTGCGGAGTACGTCTTGTACTGTGTGCACATGACACCATCGGCGCAGCTCGTCGCCAGACTGCCAGCAGCTTCATTCTCTCCCAAGCGTCGTGCACCTTTTACGTTTCCTTCAGATCACCAATATACTCTGACTATCCTACTTCACATCGTTTTATCGTAGAAACTATACAACCTTGCCATGTCTTCCACCTTCCCAATATGTCTCGCTAATTCCAGCCGCATACGGTCCTCACTTTCCCCCCTCACTTGGCAACATATGGGCAAACTAAGAAGGTTTCGATTTTCAGCTCGTCTACGCAAAAGAGGGGAAGTGCTGGCTTGCAGAACTACAAACATGAGGTGGCAGAGACGGCAGCTAAATGATTGGCTACAACAACTCTCATATATGGATTAGAGCAGTGAAATCAGTGCCAACGCAAGTTGCTACTTGAGAGATGTATGCAGAGTACTTGATGTGCCTCTCCTACGCATACGCGGCTGTTTTTCCTTTGTTTGCATAAGAGATCAGCCACGTTTCCAGACCGATTATACACACTCGTGCGTGTACTCGACTATACAATGGCAGGCAGCCCACTTGTCGCTGTGGCCGTTGATAACATCACTGTTGACCGGCTGTGACATGAAGCTGTTGGCTTGTGAACCCGATTTTCGATTTGCTGCTAGTCGATACAATCCACGACTTTGGCGTGACTTTCATTCACAAATCGCCATACTCTGCCAGAAACCGAAAAGACGTGCGAATTTCGCCGTCGTGTAGGTCGAAACGATTGGCTGTAAAAGACGTACACAAAACGAGCCGGGGCATGTTCGGTGGCTCCCCACCACAACAATTTCGCTCGACGGGCCGGCCCGTCGATCCTTCCTTCAGAACCACCAAAGGCTATTTGCACCTCGGGACAACAGGCCCGAGCCAGATCGAACCCCAGGATCGACTTGTGCATGCAGGCTCCATACGATTGGTAATTCTGGGGTAATCACAAAATGGTGACACACCGGGAACCTTGTCGTCCGGATATCTGCTCCCCAAGTTATGTCATGGGACAAATCTCCTTTGGAGAGATATTTTCATTCGCCAACAGCACGTTTACTGAAAGTGATTCACTTGCGTGCACCTGCAAAGTTCGTCATGTGGAACTAAATATATTTGAAATTTTTGTATTATGCAAACCGTAATTCCCTGGTCCTCGAGACAGAGATATGGTAAATGGGCAGTAGTAAATCTGAAGAGATAAAGAAAATGAAGCGCTCTGCTTGGAAACAAAATAACCCAAAACAAATAAATGCAATGCCCCGCGCCACCATGTAAATGCACATTTAAAACAAAACGCAGCCGACCGATGCCAGCGTACCAAATTCCCTCCCCCTCGCCGACCTGAACGTTGACAGTTGTTGTTTGCCCGCCCACCCTCCCATCTGTTAGGGTGGTTCGTCGGGTTCTTTGCCGAAACGTGCCACTTTGGCCCTTGCCATACCTTCCATGTCCGAGAAATTCACCTCGTCCGTAACGTCATTGTCGTTGTCAAAGTCGGCCGTATCACTATTGTCATCATCCTCAAGGACAGTCCCTGGTAGAACCTTGCCTTTCCCCTTGTCCTTGGGCGCACCGTTTCCCACGTCATCCTCCATACTAGCATCACCCGCCACCGGAGAGGCCGTGTCCAAATCCAGATCGTCTTGGGCCGGTTCATCCTCGAGTGGATCGCGAAACTCGTCCATCACGGAAAATTTGTGAGCCGTCGCGTCGTACGAAATCCACCTATTGAACGTCGCGAGCTGGCAGGCCATCCACAGGACGCGCTCCTTTCGGGTCAGGCGCGTCGAGGAAGACTCCATCAGCCGCTCGTCCTCATCAGCGGAATCCATGTTCGCGAACCAGCCTTGCGGGTAGTTGTATTCGGACCACAACAGACCACGCAGGTACCAGTCGTCAGGCAGCGGCTTGTCAGCATCACTGCGGACTGGCGGCGGGGGCTCGAATGTGACGTTGGTGTTGACAGGTTCGGTTGGGACAAAGGGGCTGTTGTCGCCGTTTGCCGCGGCGGCTTGTTGTTGTTGCTGTTGCTTGAATTGAATCTCCTGGATCCGCCTCTCCTCCTCGGCTTTTCGATCGACTTGTGGCTCCATAAACACATCCCGCTCGATCCTGTCGTACCGCGGACTGGTCAGGAGCATATTATTGAGTGTCACTACAAGCGGCTCCCAAGGAAATGTTTTTTCGAGGTAAGCCATGCCCTCTGGGATGCGCGCGAAGCATAGCATCCACACAAGGCGCGCGTGGATGTAGCCGTGGCAGTTCGCATCACCAACGCGGGCCAAAACAACGCGGTCAATGTCAGCCACAAGATTCTGGGCTGGCTCGAGAGCCTGCACGATCTCAGGATCAACAGCCATTCGCTCATCAATACTCTTCTCGGGTTGCTGCACATTGCCCATCGGTACATCCACTGCGGCGTCTGTTGGAGCACCTGTCATGGCACTGCGATACATTTCATCGTGTAAAATACGCATGAGGACATTGTCGTCTCCGCCGTAGGAAAGCAACGAGCAGCTGTTCACAATGGCCATATACACGCCGGTTTCGACCCAGGTCCGAGACGATAACGCAATATGATCGTCAAGTCCAGCGACAAAGTCACCGACGGTGGGCCGGAAGTCAGGCGTCGTCTTCATACCATTTTTAAATAAAATCGCATGGGCCTTGATAAATGCCAGCTCAATAGGCGGGACATGCTGGGTGGCATTGTTTAAGACGGGGTCTAAGAGTGTCATAATCGACTCGCGCGTAGAGGTGAAGGGGATAGGCGTGCAAAGACTTTTGACGTAAAAGTAGAGCTGCGTCACAACATACGGTCTCGCCAAAATGGCAAGGTGATGGTGGAGTCTGCCAGTCGTTGGAGCACGGTCCGAAGCCAGAGTGTACCAACGCCGGGACACGTTCGTCCAGGTGTCACGCACCCGCTGGTTATCGTCCTCGATCGCCATCCTATAACGCGACAAATCGCCTAGACACTCGACCCAGGTATCCTCGAACGTGCGGACCGTCTCATACAAGAGCGCAATGATCGAGTACGCCATATAAATAAACGTAATCATGTGCTCGCGAGATTCAGGAAGACGGTGGCGTAGTAATTCGAGGAAGCTGTGGATACCATGACGCCACATACGGGCTGGGATCGCGTACTTTTGGGCAACGCGGCGGAGTGCAGGCGAGGCCGAGGGATGCTGAGACGCAAGCATAAAGTCATGATGCTCGTGCAAGAGCGTCCTGTGCAAATTCAATAGAGCCTGCCACTGGCCATCATCCAGTTTGACTTGTAGATCTATGGCGCTGGACTCGCTGTCGATCTCAATGCACTTGGACTCGACCATGGCAAGCCCGACATAAATTCCCTTCACTTCGTTGACCAGTTGCGTGAGCGTAATGGGCCGTGTCTTTGGTTGCAACTCTATATTTGGGTATCTCGATTGTGGCGCCGTCTTGCTGCCATACTGTGGATGCGGGGGGTTGGAAGGAAACGAGCCAGCTCGTTGATGTGGCTGTGTTGGACCGGCAGCAGGTGCGCCAAAGGGCTTGTTCGGGGATGGTGCAGCAAGTACGCCGGCGCCACCACCCCCTGGTTCCCTTGCCCAACCGGGTCCACCAGGTGCGCTTCCACGGCTCGAAACGTTCGGATGGTATTTTGGATTGATGGTAGGTTGTGCGGCCTTTTGCGGAGATTGAGCCGGCGGTGCAGCGGATGATGTTTGTGAAGAAACAGCGGGTTGCTGGGGGGGATGCGAGGTTGCATGGTTTTGGCTTTCCGAATTATTTAAGAAGGTTGTGGGAGATTCGGTATGTTGAGATTGTGTCGTTGCGTTATTAATCGGTATAAACGTTGAAGAGGAGTTCACCGAAGACGTCTGTGGGATGTGGCCTGGCCCATAGTTGTGGCTGGCTGGCGAGAAAGCATGGTTTGATCCATGGGGACCAATAACAGTAGTTGCGGTGCTGTGCCCAGGCTGGCTGGGCGGGTGCTGTAGTTGCTGGTGGTGCAGGCCGAGGTTCTTGTTCTCGACAATGCCTTGTTCCTGGCCATGTTCTGGATGGATGGCGTTGGTTGGTGGAGCTGGCGCGAGGGGTGCAGGGTTGCCGCCTGCAAGGTCGTGCGGTTGCGGCTCGAATGGCCCTTCTGGCGTCTGCATCTCCGGGTGCCTAGGATGTGCCGATTCTGTGGGAACAACGGTAGACGCTGCAGACGGTGCGTAGGCCGCAGGTGGTCCAGAGGAGGTAGACGCGGGAGTCGATGCGGCTGAGTCAATGGTAGGATAGGATGCCGAAAGCAGAGTGTCGGTGTTTGGTGGGGATGAGGCTGGGGAGGCAACAGGGGAGAAAACACCAACGTCGGACGCGGCAGATTCCGACGGCGACTTCTGGGACCTCTGTTTCTTATATGCTGGTCGGTGGATGTCATGAAGTGGTCTCTTGCTGCAAAAGAACGACAATGTTAGCAATGGTGATGGACGAGGATGGAAAAGAACGTGTCTAGATAAAAAAGACAGAAAAGGGGGAATACAGGTCTGTCATGGTTGCCTGCCTGTGGTAGGTCAAAGCAAGTACTGAGGTTATGCTTTAAAACGGAAGGAACAAGTGAAGTCGTGAAGGCAAGAGGCAGGAACGACCGTTGAGCACATGCAAGAGCCGCAATGCAGGAAACAGCGGGCGGGCCAGACGGGGACTGCACGGAACGGGGAGGAACGACCAAAAACGTCAAGAAAAAAAAAGAAAAAAGAAAAAAAAAGCTTACACATGGCTGGCCGAGCTTGAACTGTGCCTGTGGGAGTGCTTGGAGTCTCCCGCCAATGGCAATAACGGTTTTTGCTGTTGTAATCCGTGATGAGCCCCAGAGTCGCTGCCTGCCGTCCCCCTGTATTGCGCGTTGTCATGTCGAGGCGCAAGTGGTGGCGAGCCTTGCTTGTGTCGCCCATTTCCCAACAAGTCTGAGTTCTGCGAATCAGGCGGCGGTTGGCTGCCTTCACTGGACGACTGACGCAACATTTGGAGCGCTGCTTGTTGGAATACTGATATCTGTGGTGGATGGTGCGACTGCGTGGTGGCCAAAAGTTAGCATGTGTCAAGGGGAAACGCAAAACTACGGCGAACACGCCGAGAAAATGAAACTGGCCAAGAGCTGGCTGGCATCGGTCGAGGAACTGATCGAAACCCATTTGCTCATTTGCTGTATGAGGGATGAGGCGTGCCTGGTGCGAGCGCCGGGCTTCTGGTTGCAGGTCGACTTACCTCGGAATTTGGGCATGGATTCCGGCAAATCTGTTGGATTTGTCGGATTTTGATTTTCGCGGATTTGACGGTCTAAGAAAACAACAGCTGAATAGAGGGACGGGCAGGCTGTATCGCAAAGAGTAAAATGCGGCATGGGGTTGACACACTTCCTGGCAGAACGGACGGCTAGTGATGTCTGGATGCATTTATAGATTGGATGCGTTCGCAAGGTCCCGGCCGCAGTTTGGTTCGCATTGTCGTGCGGACTGGACTAGACTGCGGCTCTGTCAAGCACCTAAGTATATCAAATCATGGTTCCGCTCTAATTGACCAGTCACATTGCGTCCCCAATATCCCTGTATGCAGGGAGCTTGAGTGGCCAAAGCGCTGAACCGCCGTACATCGTAAACGTGCAAGATGATTAATGCAAACTGCACGTCCATGCGGCCAGTGGGCGCAATGCTCAAGGATTGGATTGGACGCCATTTTCAGCCTGTACGTCGAAAACCGTACCAAAGCGATACCGTTTTCCACATCCTCCGTTTACTTGGACCCTCCCCTTCAGATATTTGTCACGTGATTGAGTCAAAGGCGGAACAGACACCGCCACTCGCCACAGCGGCCGCCCGGCATGGCTGACCAACACAGCTGAACGTACGAATCGCTTCAGGACGCAAGCCATCGATGCCTACGGAGCACAGCGGCCTGGCTACGTGACTACCTGACAATCAAGCCACAAGCTGCCTCCCGAGGCGCAAAGTCGCGAGGCCTGGCCGCCAGATCTCGCAGGAACGCGGCAAGAAGTCGCCACGACCATGTTCAAGCTCAAAGGCACCGACCTTGGCAGATTCAATGCCATGCACAAGGCGTAGCCTCCATAAAAGGCTGACCAGTTGAGCAGGGCATGGGCAAAGTGCCAGCTGTCGGCCTTCTCTCGAGGCCGGGTATGCCTCGGCCTCCTTATGTGGCCACCTTGTCAGAGGCCAGGCCAGCGAAGAGGAGACTATCTTATCACCTATGAAGTGGACGCACACCATGGGCTCGCCTTGTTTTGATGTTGTAATGTTTTCACTTTTTGACAGCAGACCACGACACGACACGGCGGCTAGGGTACAGATGATATAACACGGGGCGCGGTTCGTGTTGTTCGCTGGGCAGAAAGGTTTGCGAACCAGACACCGCAAAAGAAGCGGAAGTCGTATCACGAACACGAACAGGGGAAGCAAAATAAAAGACGAAACGAAAAGGTACGGCCACGACATGGCCCACAGCCTTTTACAAAGCACACGCCGTCGGCAAGTTATCCAGCCCGGTGCCTTGCATACAGGCAGCTACATCACTCACTTGTTGCCTCGCAGTTTTTGCATTGACACCACCCAGCAAAACCTCGCCTTGTGTGATTGTTTTCTTCAGCTCTTGCTATGTCGGGGCCCACTGCCGATGCGAAATCGACTGGTGGTCGCCCAAACTTAGTCAGATGCAGAGAGGCAGTTGCATGCATTTTAAAATCGGGAATTCGATCTCATACGTGGCCGCAACGTAATAGACGAACAGGTCCGGTTGAATAGCAAGGCGGATAGGCCCGTAACCAGAACAAAACTAGAAGATTCTCGAATACAAAAGGGGGGGCAAGGGCGTTGGGTATCAATAACGAGGGGTGACAAGACATACCGGGGAATATCAACATGAGCGTTTGAATTGCAGATCCACAGTGCCATGCTTTCGGTGTCTGCGTATTCACATTGGACAGCAAAGTGCCGGACGGATCACCTCCGGCCCGAAATTGTTGATGCCCAATCGCAACGTTCAACGACCAAACAAAAACAAAAGAGGAAGCAAACAAGCAAACAACAGAGGCGTTTGGGAAAGTCGTACTAATCGTCTTGTGCTATGCACTATGCCATATAAAATACCCAAGGATTATTTGCCTGGTGGTGTGCCGAGATTTTTCTGATGGAAACGCGAGCTTGTGGGGTGTCTGTGTGATACGACCATGTCGACGTGCTGCACGTCAAAAGTGAGGCTGCGAATGACATGGCAGGGCTTGTTAAACAGGCGTCTAGCTGAGAGTCAGACGGGTCGTAAAATGGCACGCACGATTTTTTTTTGATTTTTTTTTTTTGTAACGGAGCAAGACCCGATATTGTATCCATATACGGGAATTTATGTCATAAATTTCCAAGATATAAAACGTAGTTATTAATGAGTGCGACTTGTTTGATTTTGCGTAAGATGAAAATTTTGGGCCGCAAAGGAAGCGACGGATTTTTTAAAAAATAAAATAAAATAAAAATGAAAAACCGACAATCTCTGCGTTCGAAGGTTCAAGAGCAAGCACGCCGTCACGTCTTAAGACGAAGTGAAAGTGAACTTATGCTGAGACCTATACACTTTCCGCTTCATAGGTGAGTCACATAGCCAAACAATACACTTCAATTGGATAACAGTATGTTGCACGTTTGCTCTGTATTGCATACGTACGAGTATATCCGTAACTGCGAATGCTGCCTCAAAAGCACACATACCTTTATTAACCCACCTATTCGCTGAAACTGTGACAATATTGTGTAACACGGAGCGACGACAGCTCTTAGCAAGTTCTGCCTCTCGATGTGTGAATGCACTAATTTGCACTTGTACAGTCTTAGCCGGACGATGCAAGTTGTGAGAGTTGCTGGTTCTATGTGCTTCTTTCATTTTAATGTCGTTCGAAATGAAAGCTTTGATAACGAAATTGGAATCGTATATAGTTTCTTTTTTATCTTGTCGACTTGGGACTTTAATTCACTTCTTTGTCCTCTTACTTTCATGTTAAATTCTTAGCAGCCGTCGTCCAATGCCGACACATCTTTTTTTTTACTTACTTGGTTGCTCCTTATTTGTTGTTTATCGACGGACACAATTTGTACGACGCTCTGTTTTATTTCATAATTATAGTGAAAGATCGAGACTTCCTCTTTCGGTTCCGTTTTGTTCCGCTCTCTTTGACCTGCATCTGAGCGTCATATTCCCGCGGGTACCAACAGACAATTTTGTAGGGAACGGGCAGTTCGAAACAAGGCGGCCAAAGTAGACGCCTTTGCGACACCGCTTGTCTGCTTTTTCTTTGATATGCGTCCCTTGATCAACGCCTTAACATCCCTTTTTTCGTTTGAGTCTGCATTGAAAGACCCGGACTGATCGCTGAATCCTCTGTCTTGCGTGCCGAATTTCGTTTGGCGGAGTCGGAGCGGGAGGGCCGCCGTAGGGATGAGAATATCATTGGCTACTCGAGGAAGGGTCATGCTGCCAACAGAAACGAAAGTGCACTTTTCTCAAAATAAACACACTTTCGGTGTCTCTGCCGCTTTTGCCATGTCAGAAATTATCTCACCTTCTCGCAACGGGTCGTATCTTCCTCTTCCAGGAGTGGCGGTCCGTGTGTGTCGTTTCACACAGCGGTGTTTTCATTGTGATTGTGATGATGACTTGGCATGACCAGGGACGATGATCCCAAGAATAGAATCATTGGCCTTGGACGTGCCAAAAAAAGAAAGAAAGAAAGAAAATGAGAAAGAGTCATGCTGTCGGTTCTGCCTCAGCGCTTTTCGGAAACGAATTGGGATGGTTGGCTTGACGCCCGGCACAAACTAAGGTCAGCCTTGTCAAAAGCTTCGGCGGCCACCCGAGACAGCCGTGTCGCCGTCACCATTTTCTATCCTGAGTCAACCAGGCAACCAGCCGTCCAAGTTTCTTCTCTTGGGTCTACCAGTTCAAGATGTCAAGTCATGGTCGGTATCTCAGAAAGCCTTGTTGGTTGTTCGATTGTCAAGAAGAGCTTGCGCCCAGAAAATCACTGTAGGCACATGATTGTCCAATCAACGCATCCGACCGCTATTCCCACAAAAGTGCGAGGGAAAAAAAAGCCTGTATGCAAACATCAACGGGTTGCCACAAGGCGACCAAAAGTGCAAAAATGATTGGCTCTGGACGCTTGTAGTCTCCCCAGATTGAAAACCACCCATGCACTCGAGAACCTCCGCGCAGCATGCATGCTTCATTGGACAGATCATCCATTCTCGGCCTTTTATTTGTAGATAACAAAAAGGGATGGGGAGAGAAGCAGAGAAGGTGATGGCTCGGATGCGCCATTTGAGACCATCTGGGCATCCAGCTGATTCGACCTTGGTCTGACACTCTTGCCAATTTTTTGTTCATGGTGTCTACATTGACTGGGGGCTCTGAAGGGATGCAAGGCAAAAGAGGGAGGAGATGCGCGGGTTGACATTTCCTGGAAATGGGGCCGGCGCAGGTTAATATGAGGAGGGTGTTGTCAAGCGGCTGGATATGTCGTCATATGGGAAGCCTTAGCACAAAGCAAAATTTGGCATGTAAAAATGCACATTGTAGATGGAAGATGAGCAGCACGATTGACAAAATGTGGTGGCTCAACAAAAAGCAAGTTGGCGGCCGGATGGAACAGGATAAAAAAGCACATGGGAAATTATATTGGGATGGCTGCAGGAGGCATGCCGGCATGGACGCCTTAATCTGGCCAGAACTCGCGAGGTTTCAGTCACATTATTGGAAAAGCACATGAACTGGTATGTCTGATCAAATGGAGAAGCAGGCGATGGGGTCCTCGTATGGAGGAGACATACTCAAAAGTAAGATGAAGGCTGTCTCATGATATTTCGCCCAGTGCACAAAGAAAGACAAAGGCGTCGATGCGGTGCCCCGTTGACTTCTGGCGACCTGATCAGCCTCATGCGTGTTGCATTATGCCAGCCTGTGTCTTAGCCTTGCGCCTTTTGTTGTCACCTGTTCCACAGAAGGTTGTTTCAAGGCAACAGAAGGTGACGAACACCGAACCATCAACACATCCACCGAAGGCGAGGTTGAGGAACGAGCCATAAATAATGCTAGGCGAAGCGAATGTGGACGGGCAAAGGACAAAATAGACAGCGACAGAAATGACGACAACGCAACTACCGAGACTCGGCTGGAGCGTAGGTGGTTGTGTTCAACCTTGCACAACGACTGTAAGCAACCTCATAAGCCAAAGGGCCGGGCATGAATCTCGATATGGTTCTGTTGCGCATAGCAACAAAACCAGGTCGTATTTATGGCTCGTCTTCACTTTAACGACACTTGTCATTATGCATACCACAGAAAGCATATGCAGCGCTTCGTAACGACTCGTTGTGATCCTTGTGGTCCTTCCGATGTAGACATCACCCAAGAGACGCCTGAAAAGACGATGCACCACCGTATCGTGCGCCTACGGGACTCTCGTCGCTTGACCTCTGCTGTGCATCGCCTGCGGGCGAAATGCCTCGTCCAGCTCGTCCGACTGAATGTAGGCACATCCCTGTGTGACCCAAGATTGTTTTGGCCCACGTAGCATGTCCGTAATTGCTTGTGGATCAGCTGCCTGTTTCTCAGTGTCTTACGTAGCCCTTGCGTTACTCCACGCCTTGTTTCGATGCCTCGTCTGTACATCCTCTGGGTGGGATAGACGAAAGTCTCGAGGATCTCGACAAGCGGTTCGGTAGACGGAAACGAATATCGGTCAGGCGCTGGTGCATGTGAAAGATGAAACCGAATCCGTGGAGGTAGACAGTATCAAATTGTTGTCGTTCTTGGGTAGCAGAGAAGACGCAGCAGGTGGAAGCAAAAATGTGGAATAAAAAATACAGGGGAAAATACGGATCACGTCGGCAAAGAAAGGGAGTAGCAGACGCAGCAACGAAGGAAAGAACGGAAGGAAGGGATTGGCAAGGTAAGAGCGGAGGGAAAGCAGGTGCTATGTAAACATGAAGATATAGTCAAGTAGGGAAGGTGTGCAGCAATTGTGAGAGTTAGAGAGGAAGGTATGAGTGGCTAGAAATAAAAGGTGAAGAAAATATGTCGTGAGTTGTCAGAGAAAGACGAAATAGGAAGGAAAAAGAAGAAACAGTCAGAGACGACAGCGGCCGTGGCTTCCAGTTATACCAAATGCAGGTGCAAAATGGCCCACAATTATTTGCAGACGTTCCGCGAAGCTAGGCAAGCTCGGCCTTGCAATTGGGAAGGAGCCTGGCAGCATATCAGGGGCTTGGTCGATTTTGCAGCGAATAGCATCACGTAAGGCTAAAGCGCTACGTTCCCTCATTCAATCCACCTCGACAAGTCGACCTCAACGTCCTCGCATCACGACGTCTGATCTCGACGACAACCAATTATCCTCGGCTTTGTCGACCCCTCATCCATCCTTCCTGCCGACGGCATTGCGGTCCGCCACTCGATACAACGACCATTCTCGATCTGCCCCGCCCCCTTTCGAGCATGGAATAGAAAGCGAGACGGCATCCCATCCCTCCCTTTTTTTTGTCCAGATCTGTATCATCGAAAACGTCCCAGTCCCGCGACAATGCGCTCCTTCCGCGCGCTGGCACTCCTGGTGCTGGCCGCGTCCGCGCCGGCCGCCGTCGACGCCATTGTGTACAAGGACCAAGTCGGCGACATTGACTTCCACCACCAGCTCGTTGGCCTGCCCCAGCGCGACGCCACCTTCTTCCACCGCCCACGTCGTGATGACAAGGCGAGCCTACTCTATACACTAAGCGACGTCGGCGTGCTGGGCGCCGTTAATCCGAGCAGTGGCGCGCTCGTCTGGCGGCAACTGCTTGGCGAAAATGACGATGACGCTGCCAAAGCCGACGCATCGTTTGGAAAGGGCCACGTCGAGGCTGTCGAGGGCGAGGGCTGGCTGGCCGCAGGCCTGGGCCACTCGGTGCATGCCTGGAACGCTGTGTCGGGCCGGAGCGTGTGGTGGGCGGACTTTGCGGGCGAGGTGGCAGATGTCGCAGTCGCCGGGGCAGCAGACAAGGTGGACACGGACACGGCTACGCTTCGCAGAGACGTTCTGGCACTCCTCCTCGAAGACGGCCACGTTGTGCTGCGTCGTCTGACGGGAAACGATGGCCACGTTGTGTGGGAGCACCGCGAAACACATACGGGCAACCCTTCGCTCAAGATTGCCGCATCGGCCGACCGGGTCTACGCCGTCAGCATTGCCCCGGGAGCGACTGGTCTCAAGGTCCTGGCTGTGGACGCAAAAACAGGCCATCGCGTTGAGGATCACGCTCTTGCCAGTGACATCCACGCCGTTTCGGACGTCCTGTTTGTCGGCGGCGGCATCGTGGCCTGGACTGACAGTGGCCGCACGAAGATTAAGGTCAGCGTGCTCGGCACCAAGCAGAAGCACGAGTTTGCACTGCCTGAGCGCACAGAGAGTGTGATTGTTCATGCCCTGCGCAGCCAGTCTTCGTCGCCTTCGTTCCTTGTTCACACGCGCACGGCGGACGCCCATCGCGGCCAAGTCTACCACGTTGACCTGAACAAGGGTTCCGTGCAAAAGGCGTACGACCTACCCCAGCAGCCCGGTGCTGGCGCCTTCGCCGTGACTGCGTCCGACGCCGATGCTGTCTACTTTACGCGCATCACGGACGACGAGGTCGTTTTGTTCAACTCGGTCTCGCACGGCATTCTGGGCCGTTGGCCCGTTGCCCAAGGGGCTCCTCTGCATGCATCGGGCGCCGCAGCGGCCGAGGTTGCAGCTCGCCCGGGTGCCGGTATCGAGATTAGCTATGCTGTCCGGACCGCCGTGCTCACGGCCGATGAGGACTGGGTTCTTATCCGCAACAACGGCCAGCGTACCTGGTCGCGTCCCGAAGGCCTGACGGGCGCTGTGGCTGCTGCCCTCGCCGATCGTCCCGAATCCGAGCAGCTTGTGCGTGCTCTCGAGGAGGAAGAGGCCCAGAGTCCGCTTGCGGCATATGTGCACCGTGTTCGGCGCCATGTGGAAGACCTCGCGCACCTTCCGGCGTTCCTGCAGTCGCTGCCGGGAAAACTTCTGCGCAGCATCCTTGGCGGCGCCAGCTCCGACGACGCCACCCCTGTTGCCGACCCCTTCGGTTTCCACAAGTTGGCCATCCTTGCCACCCGCCGCGGCCGCCTCTACGGCCTGGACGCCGCCAGCCCCGGTTCCGTGCTGTGGACGGCAAAGGCAGTCGACACCGCATCTGGCCCCTGGAAGGTCCAGAAAATCTACGTTGATGAGGCGAACGGCGTGGCTACGGTTGTCGGTGCGACCGCCGGCGAGTCTGTTGCCGTCAAAATTCAGACGGGCGAGATTATTGTGTCGACTGTCAACGACAATGTGAACGGTGCCGTGGCGAGCGCCGTGCTGGTCAACAGCGCGTCTGGTCCCTATCTCCTGCCCGTGCCCGAGGACGGCTCCGTCCCTGCCATTCCCGTCGACAAGTGCCCCACCGAGTCCATTGTCATTCGCGAACACGCATCTGCGGCTGGCATTCGTGGCGTGCGCTTCGTGGCATCGCCCGATGCGTGTGCCCAGGAGACGACCTGGACGTTTTCGGTACCACCGCAGTTCCGCATTGTGGATGTGGCCACACGTCCTGCGCACGACCCTGTGGCGTCGATTGGCCGTGTGCTGGGCGACCGCACCGTGCTCTACAAGTACCTCAACCCGAACCTTGCTGTCGTCGCCGCCATCAACGACGAGACGGGCGTGCTCATGACCTTCTTGCTCGACACGGTCTCGGGGCAGCTGCTGTCGTCAGCCACGTACGATGGCGTCGACGGCTCAAAGCCCGTCGAGTGCCTGCTGTTTGAAAACACGTTCCTCTGCACGTACTTTGCGGACTACCGTGTGTCCATCGGCGGCGATGCTGTCCAGACCATCAAGGGCTACCATCTGGCGGTCAGCGACATGTACGAGTCGACCGAGCCCAACAACCGCGGCGTGCTCGGCAGCGCGGCCCAGAACACGTCGGCTGTGGAGCCCCTGGAGGTGGTGTCGGACACCGCGGCCGGCCAGCCGCTGCTTTTGCCTGCCGTCACGTCGGCCACCTGGGTTGTCGGCTCGCGCCTGACGAGCCTCGCTGTCACGCAGACGCGCCAGGGCATCAGCGTGCGCCATGTGTTGGCATACGTGCCGCGCCTGCACGGCATCGTGGGTCTCCCTCGCGTCGGTGCCGTGCTCGACCCCCGGCGCCCCGTTGGGCGCGCCGCTACGCCCCAGGAGGCCGAGGAGGGCCTGGTGCCGTACGCGCCGCAGCTCGAGATCGATCCGCGGCTTGTGGTGTCGCACGAGCGCGACGTGCTCGGCATCCAGCAGATCGTGACGGCAGCGACGCACGTCGAGTCGACGAGTCTGGTGCTGGCGTTTGGTCGTGTGGACGTGTTCGGCACGCGTGTGGCGCCGTCGCTGGCGTTTGACCTGCTCGACAAGGGCTTCGGCAAGCTGTCGATGCTGGCAACGGTGGCGGCGCTGGCGGTGGGTGTGTTTGTGCTGCGTCCCATTGTGACCAAGAAGCAGATCAATCTGCGGTGGAAGGCCCTGTTGTAGTAGAGTCTTTCCTACGTAATATTGTTTTTGTTCCTTCTGTTTTGTTCTCGCATGTTGTTTTATCATATTGTCTTCTTGTATATTTAAAAGGGGCCGAATGTAGAATCTAGACATTGTCATTCTTCTTTGCGTCCTCGTGCATTATAATTGAAAATAGAGAAAACGTGAAAAGCGTAAATGTGAAAACAAAGTATAAACTGTATATTGTATAGGAGTCTAGTGCCGTCTTTGGAAATGACCAGCCTGTCTAATGTTGCGTAGAATTTCAAAGGTCGTGATATCGTAAGATTTTCCGATGCCTCATGTCCCGGTCGTTCTTTCCCACACCTTGTCGTTGCCTTCCATCGACCCTTCCGCCTCACCTTATCCTCGCCTTCCTATCCTGTCGATTGGTCCCCTCCCGTCCGCACCGCGCCTTCCGTTCCAGCCAGCAAACTCACTTGAGATCATACCTCGGCAGACCCATCCACACATAATGTTCTGTCATGCCCAGCTCTTCCCAGTGCGCGCGTTCTTTGGCGTTCTTTAGCCACAGCATGCCCAGCATGCCCAGCGAGCCGGCCCCGGTGCCGTCTTTGCCGCCGCGGCGCCGGGGGATCATGCACATCCACTCGGGGGTCATGATGACGTTGTAGGCCGTCGCGGATTCAGGGAGGTCGTCGAGGGCAGGTGTGCTGTGGCCGGGCGTGCCGCTGGCGCTCTTCTTGTGCGTCTTGTAGCCATTGGTTCCGTTGGCTCCGTTGGCTCCGTTGGCTCCGTTGGTCCCGTTCGTGCCGTTCGTGGCTTGTGCCAGCTTCCGTTCGACGTGTTCCTTGTGCGCGCGGCGCACCTCCGCCAGCAAGCGCTGGTAGGCGGCCAGGATGTAGTCGGGCGTGATGTGTCCTGTCAGGCGCTGGACAAAGTGCTGGAACGGCACGGTCGGGTGCTGGACGATGGGTGCGTTCTCTCTCGACGCTGTCGTTGTCTTGTTGCCGGACGCTTTTTCGGCCAGAGCAAGCGCCTCGACTGGGAAGAGAGTAAAGCCCGGGTCCGGCTCCGTGAACACCTGAACGTGCTTGTGGCCCTGGGAGGCGCCACCCTCATAGCCACAGTTGTAGATCATCATGGGCGGCTGGTGGCCGCGGTCCCGGATGGCAGCCATGACGGCCCACGTCGCCGCCCAGTCGCCAGCGTCCAGGTCGTCCGTCTGCGGTGCAAACAGTCGCGTGTGCAGCACATAGTGTGGACGAATCATGGCGTGCATGCTCAGCTCGACAACATGGTCGGGGCCGGGGCGGGCCACGACGAAGGCCGGGTCCGGATCGACAAAGGGCCCGCCCTTGCCACGTCGCTCCGGAGCATCGGCGGCAAGGATGGGTTTGCGGGCGATGGACGGGGACGTCTTGAATTCGAACTGGACGAGTTAGAGCAGAGCGACAGAGGCCAAAGACGGGGGCAGAAGTAGGATACAGTACGTTGAAGCCATTGTGCTGGACAACCTCGCCGTCGGTGGGAAAGTAAAAGAGGAGACCCTGCTCGCGAAGCAGGTCGAACTGGTCGACGGCCGACTGGGGAAACTCGGGCGGCAGTTGGATGTCCATGGCAAGAGGCGAGGGGCGAGAGAGGAGGCTTCAATGCTCCGTTGTATGGTGCAGGGTAAGAATCTCACGGGGTGATAAGATGGATCCCTTTCCGTCTTTCTTTGGTCTAAAATTTCAGCTCTTGCCTGAGCAGCTTTAGGGACACTGTAATTCGTATTTTGAGCGGAGTAAGACTTACTTCAATTAGGCGGGGCTTTGCTCTGTGAGTGAAGTAGAGACAGACTCGGCTCAGAACAAAAGTATGGCATTTCTCGATATCGTTTGGGCGTCACCGCAAGATGCAAATTGAAGTGGCCGAAGCTTGAGAAAGGTCAATTGGAGCTCTGCATCGAGTAATTCGATTGGCCACAGCCAATGCACAGGGAGAGTTACATGCACGGTCATGTTTTCGGCCCCTGGTTGGTGACGGGAAGCCCAGGGGCATTGCAGGGCATTGGTTTTAGGGCACTAGAGATGCCGGTGACACCCACTCGCGCCACTATCATTACGCGCTAAATGCCGCAGCGGAGTCGATCTCGTAGCCAAACTCAACGGCGTCAACTTTGAAAAGCGTCATAAACTCATCTACGTCCGAAAACGAGTCAATCTAGACGCCTCTTTCCTGGCACCGCTGTCATCTCCTCTGGAGACTGCACAAAGCAAGAGAATGTATTCATTTTGACTGCCCGCAGTGTCTACTGTTCTTGGGATGAGAGGCTGCTGACCACAAATCATAACTGCACCTATAAACGTCAAGCGTAGCAAAACTCGGTGTATGGAGGGCATTCATGACTAGCTATTATCATTTGTTATTCACTTTCAACTAACACTATCAAGTTAATAGAAATCTGGCTCCCGACCTCGCCACCTGGTCTCGCCATTACGGTGAATGCAGCCTGCACCGATTCGTCTTGCATCGTAAACAGAGATTAAAAATGGCGTCTCCCCGACAGCATCAGATCATTGCTTCTATGTCGTCTTCCTGAACACGTTTCGAGTGTCCTACTTGGCAAAGATTCCTCCCCTTGGTCCTGGCTACCGCGGCCGCCGGCTACCACTCCTCTTCTGCCTGCTCCTCCTCTTCCCACTCTTCCTCCCGCTCCTCCTCTGCCCGCAAAAGCGCTCGCGCGTGCATCAGCGCCCAGCCCAGCCGGTTCTGTCCCCATTTGGCCCGTCTGTTCGGCGCGTTCGTCGCACCGAAGCCGATGCCCCAGATGCGGTCGCGTGGGGCCGCTTCCACCAGCAGCCTGTCGCCCGTCGACAGGAGCAGCCGCTTGAACGCAGGGTTCTGCTGGAACTTGTGATAACTGCCCTCTTCCACAACGGCGCTCTTGACGGCGTCCCAGCCTTCCTTGGTAAAGTTGCTCACACGCTTGCCCAGGGCCTTTTGCTTGGACGGGTCCGGGTTGTCTAGGATCCGGCGCTGGATCTCGCGGTCGCCGAAGCGGACGGCTTTGCAGAACATCATGAACTGTTCTGCGCAGCCAAACAAGAGGATCTCGGCGAGGCCCTCCACGGCCTTTGGGCCGTCCGCCTGTGTGATCTCGGCGATGCGCGTCTTGGACACGGAAAACGAGGAGAGCGTCCACTGGGAGAACTCGCGAAAAGGGCGGCCCCTGGCGTGGCCGTAGAAAAAGAGCGGATCATCCTGGTCGACAGGCGCGCCGGGGATGTCGTCGAAACGACGACGAGCCGCAGGTTTCTGTGCCGGTTTCTGTGCCGGCTTCTGTGCCGGCCCTGCCTGCTGTCTTTTATTGCTCATGGCTGCAAATGTGGGAGTCAGTCGGACAGTCTTGGTCGTTATATATATATCAAAATCTCAGGAAGAGTGTCTGCCTTGATTTGCGTGCTGGGACGTGTTGACGATTCTAAAAATCAGAATGACAGTCGCGCGAACGGCTCGTTATATGTACGGCGTAGTCCTATTGTCGAACAGGGCATGGACGACGGACCATGTAGGACTCTTGTGAACAGGTTCGCAATCAGAACGGAAAAGGTCCATGGCGATCATCAAAAAGTCGTAGCTCGCCAAGCACGTCGCACCTTCCTCATGAACCTCGACTCACCGGCACCAGTCGCAGGGGCAGGAACGACTGGTGGAGCGTGGGGCGGCTGCGTCGCTTTTCGCAAGGCTCAACGGCCAGGATTGTCAGGCATACTCATTAACCCATAGCCAAAGTCAGCCTCGTCGAGCCAACTGGCTGTCAAAGGCAACGGATCCCATATGTACGTGCGATCGTGCACGCGAACCGTTGATTATGTATGCATTTCGAGGCTTTTCCGTGCGCTTAATCTTGCAGCCGTAACTGATGCGGGGCCGACGCCTACGGGCAAACTAGGAAGGCGCGCAAGTATGACTAAAGCAGTGGTGCTAAGGCCGAGGCTTGCACCTCGTACCGCTCGCGACTGCCATCCGAAGAGTTTACGCCGTTCGTGACTTCCTTGCAGACGGAAAAGACGAACGGTGTCATACTCCGAGTCTCGGGAAGGTGCCGGCCTGCTTTTATTTCAAATCGCCCTCCCTAGCCTTCACCTCGACAACTCTCCACAAACACACACACTCTCTCCACCCCACCATGTCGTCGATCCGCGTCCCCCTCGACCACGGCGACCTGTCGGCGCTCCTGCCGCCGTCGTGGACGGAGCAGGTCGCCGCATGGCTTGCCGAAGACACCCCGTCGTTCGATTACGGCGGATTTGTGGTCGGCGATGTCGCGCGCACAGCCACGCTCTGGGCCAAGAGCCCCGGCATCGTTGCCGGCGTTCCCTTTGTCAACGAGATCTTCAAGCGCTGCGGCTGCACCATTGAGTGGAAGGTCGAGGAGGGTGCCCAGGTCGGGTCGCCCGACGACAACGGCGGCAAGACGGCCTGTGCGGTTGTGTCGGGTCCGGCGCGCGGCTTGCTGCTGGCCGAGCGCGTGGGGCTCAATGTGCTCGCGCGCTGCGCCGGGATCGCGACGCGCACACATGCTGTCCTGACGGCGCTGCGCAAGGCCGGCTATACGGGCCTGCTGGCGGGCACGCGCAAGACGACGCCCGGGTTCCGGCTGGTGGAGAAGTACGGCATGCTCGTGGGCGGCGCGGACATGCACCGCGTGGACCTGAGCGCCATGGTGATGCTCAAGGACAACCACGTGTGGTCGCGGGGCAGCATCACAGATGCGGTGGCGGCGGCCAAGAGCGTGGCTGGGTTTGCGCTCAAGATTGAGGTGGAGGTGCAGTCCGAGGACGAGGCGGACGAGGCGCTGGCGGCAGGCGCAGACGTGGTGATGCTGGACAACTTTACAGGCGACGGTGTCAAGGTGGCGGCGGCCAGTCTTCGGCAGCGGTGGGCGGCCAAGGGCCACTCGGCCTTTTTGATTGAGGTGTCGGGCGGCCTGACGGCCGACAACATTGACGCCTACGTGTGCAATGGTAGGTGCCCCTTCCCCCATCCTTGCCGTTCGTTTCCTCGGCCTCGTTTCCATTCTCACTGACACGTTACCACTCTGCAGACGTCGACATCATTTCGACAAGCTACATCCACCAGGGTGTTCCACACGTCGACTTTTCGCTCAAGATCAACCACTAGAGGAGTCGTGCCATGGTCAACTACGACGGAACAAAACAACGTAAATAAAAAGACGTCAAAAGCAAAAGATGTTTACAAGATTGTTGACAAATCTTTGAAACTGAGTCTGTGACTTGGTCTGCGACTGTGATTGTGCGAAGGTGGCGGATGTTGGCGGGATGCTGTAGCCGTGTGTTTTGGCATCTATGGCCATTTGCTGCGGACCGCCGTCGTGTTTCGGTAGGACCTGCGCAGAAACCTGGCAATCTGCGACGTAGACTGTGTCCTGCGCTCCGGCTGTTAATGGATCCAATCAGGACACAACACAGAAACATATTAGCTGCCATTCGATGCTTGTTTTCTGGGGCTGATCCCCGCGACTTGATGCATCTTGACGAACTCAACATGATTGTTGCTGGCGTTCTTGTTGGCATTCTTGTCACACGTTGAAACAAGTTTTGTCCCGCCAGAGAGGCGAGATTCAAGATGGAGAGTTGCAGCAGGGAGACTGACAAAATAGAAAAAGGCTGCACAATATGGTGCATGCAAAAAGCACAGGACGGACAGGGTGCACATGGAGCACAGGGTGACGACTGTTTGACTCTGAAACTACGTGCAAGGGCGAGACAAGCCGATCTCAAGAGACAACTGGAGAAGAGCAGAACACAGGACGATCCAACTACCGCTCGATCTCCCTTGGCGGGCGATCCCATATCGACGTCCAGAAGCCCAGGCCCTAAGCCCAGGACCTAAGCCAAGGCCCCAAGCACCAAGTCCGAGTCGCTGTTGACTAGATCCTTGGGGTTGACGTTCTCGGCCTCGCAACGTCTCTGGTTGCTGACACCAGCACAGGCACACGCACACAAGCACAGATGGGGTCAACAACGCATCAGTAGCGTCGGCCGGCACGAGAGTTCCCAACCCCCCTTTGTGCCTGTAAATACCCTGACATATGTATACTCGGCTCAGCTTCCGGCCGATCTAGTCTGCCACAACAATGGTCGCTTGGGAAGAGATGCAGATACGAACCCTTCTTACGAACGGTGTACTGTTGTACTGCTTGGCTCTCACGACATACGCCAGACTATCCTCGTCCTGGACAATACGCAGTATTTGAGGTTGTTCAAGGTAGGCTGTCTGCCTTGATTTTTGTTGCCCCTTACTTCACGGTGGTTACTATTGTTGTTGCTTCATAAGCACGTACGGCACCTGCCACACCAGGAACACACACAGATCGCGGCCGAGGGACCTTCCGGCCGCCTAGGTCGCCCATTTCGGCAAGTCACTGTTTTTGGCCCTCTGTGTGCAACGAAGATACTGAGACTTTTTGCACTGTTTCCACTGTTTCCACTGTTTCTACGACACTTCCATGGCCCCCAACGCAATGTCGTCATAGTTTCATACCTGCTGGTTTCAGCTTTGCAAGGCCGGGGGCCTGACAAGGGAGAGAGATTGGGAGGACATGGGTTGCAGATTTGGATAGATTTGAGAGGTGCTCCACGACTGTCGATCGCTGCCGCTATGTTGCGCTGGAAGACTGTTAGACGTTCCAGTATCTCTGAAACAGCAAGTGCTCAGAGGCCAGTCCGGCGTTGTGTGGTTTGGTTGGGTCGCATCCGAGTTTGCAACCACAGCTCGCACAGCATCCAAACGAGCCAGGCGGACTGCCAGTCAAGCGTATTTTGTACCCCATAATATCCTCTTCCGTACTCCGTGGCGCGCCGACCACCCAATTTTGACGGGCATGGGAAACCAGCTCTTGCGCCGGTGAGACCTGAGATGGGCTAAATAGTATTTAGATCGCCGCCAAGGAGTAGTTTGAACAGCGTGAGCGACTGAAAAAAAGGCTGTGCGAGTAAGGAACCTCGGTCAACTTTGCAAGGGAGCAACGGTTGCTTGGACCGTGTAGAGCATACATATGGAACAAAAGCAGCCTCTTTTGACCGGTCGTTGGACGTGCGACAACGTCTGCACACAAGGACGATATCTGAGCAGCGGTGTTGCTGATAAAAAAATGATGTGGAGGTTACAACTAGAGTGAGCAATTATATGCAGGGGACGAAGCCTGTCAGATGGAGCGAAGAGTGACCGGCAATGGCATCAAAGTAAAATAGCGATTGACTGTCAGTCATCCTCCTTCCTTGACGGCCAACCGCATGCCCTAACTGACATGCATGTCCTTCTCCATTTTGCAACTTTCTGGGATTGTTTGATCGCCCACGTTGCAAGGCTTACTTGAAGGCATGGGAAAGTAGCATCAACAGTGAAAAATCAAGGAACGAGAACCGGCTTTGGGGATGAGAGGACAAAAGTGATCAATCTTGCAGCAAAACAGTAACCAAAGAAAGTCGACAGAAGTAAGTACGACGCAAATGATCGATTGTACTCCGTACGTCGTCACCTCGTCAAAAGCTCCGACTCAATCTGTCAAGTCAATGTCTATTTTACCGGCAACTACCCTCGCCACGCTCTGTGGTCGCCGTCGTCTGGCTTGGGCAATATTCTCCTCCTTGTTCCAGAGGATTTTTATTAATTGTTTGGACTTGTCGCTTCCTTTCACACTGTATCGCACATCTTGGCGCACTCTGGCAATTCATATACCGCAATACAAAGTACTCTCACCATGCCCCATTTCTCCTTTTTCCCCTTTTGCCTGCCTCAGTAGCCACCATCCCTGTATTTTCAAGGTTTGCAAGTCGGCCCGGGACAGAAACGCCTCGTTTCGGGGAATTGGACGTCGTAAAGTCCCAGCCTCGGCGTTGGTACATATTTTCATCATGCAGGACAGAAAAAAGGCAGCACAACAACGCCACATTTCGGAGTAAATAAGCTCAAGCGCGTGAGAAGGAAGATGCGGTTGGCTGTGAGGCTGTCTCCTGTCTGGCGGCACAAAGTCGCTTAAGGTGCGATTCCAAAAATAAGCATGAGATGGACCCAGGCAAGGAAAACAATGGAAGAAGCTCACAAACGCTCAGGATAGTCAGAGCTCTGTTCTGGAAGGCGATCATGCGACCCGAGAAGGAGCATCCAGCGACGGCACTTTCAAGCAGCGTGACTATGTGTCTCGAGTTTTGTTTGGCCCCATGTCCTTCTTCCTGAACTAATCCTCCAGTGTCTCCTTTGGACATCGTCGTGTCTCCGTGTCTCCTCTGTCGGTTTGCTCATTGCACTCCGTGTCCTTGTGCTCCCTAATGTGCTTCTCCCCCCCCCCCCCCTCTCCATCTCCAAATTTAGATTGTTTCCCGATTGTCCCTTTCTATTCGTATATTTTATATCCTTCCTCGCGTTTAGCCCTCACACGGCCCCCTCATTCTTTTGAACAGCCGATTTTTCCTGTTGCTGGTTTTTTTTTTTTCATCAGAAATTAATATACTGCAAACGTACCGGCCGATGTGTGGCCCTTGCAAGACAACGCTGTCACTTGCGCCCTGTTTCTCCATAAGACGACATCGAAAAAACGGCCAGCCAAAATAAAGCCCGGCAACGGAGAGCAGAAATCGTCGAGGGCTACGCGGAAAGAATCAAACGAAAAGACGAAGACGACGAAGAACCGATCAAACGATAGACCTCGCCAAAATCCAGGCACAAACAAGAGACATCCGCTGATCCACAATCCAGTTGAGCATGTAAGGGTCGTCCCTTGTCTGTATTTCTGTCTGTATTTCTCGCCTGTCTTGCATCGGAAGACACCCGTCATCGTGACACTATCGTGCCCCCGTCCCCCCTCCACCATCTGTCACCACAGACGCCACCAGAAAACGAGAGACATTCAGAGCATGGCAATGGACGCCTTCTACGCAATACTGCTGCACAAGACATACAAACAGACAAGCCCACAATAGACGACGAACCGCAAAGCACACAAACCAACCCTAACAGCGATACGGCGCTTTGTAGCCTGCTATCGCCCCTTCTTTAGCCTCCCTCTTTCAACATCGGCCGTCCGATTCGTAGCAAACGCAGTGTCTAGGTATACATTCGTACACTCGCTGTTGTTTCCATCCGAGACTCGCATTCCGCCTGTCAAAATCCTTGGCCTAACGAGTAAATTACCTGCCCTGACGTCGTTGCGCCATTCTTCGCGGTCGCCGGCCCACTGTGGGCTGCTGCTCCACTAATTATCACTGCGCCCACCACCACGCACTGGCTCAATTCCAAGCTTCTGTTTACGAGCTCCAGCGCCTCTTAGCTCGTAAACGCTTCGTTCCTAGCCCTGAAGCTGCCACTCGTACCTGCAAGTTGCCACAGCAAAGTCCGTCGCCGTACCTTACAGTACGTTCCAGGCCTTTCAGTCCGCTGATTGCGCGTCTCGCCTACAGCAATAAGATACCTGTTCTCACCCCCTGCCGGCGCTTTTTTGGTCCAAACAACCTCCACATGCCGGACGCCTAAGACGCCCCAAGCTAAACACCCTTTGAATCAAGGAAAAAAGAAAACCAACGCGGCACTCCGTATTCACACCACGCATCCACTTGCATATGTACTTTCTGTATCTCTTTTATCTTGCATACAATACGACACGGGGCCACCTCTGCTGCCCTCGTCCTCGTCCTTTGTCCTCCTTCTCTCTCCCAGTCATATCGTCATTGCTGCGTCTCTTTTCAACTCTTTAACTCGTTTCCGTCGTCTTCCCCTTTACGTCTTACCATCTGACATCGACTGTCTTTTGCCTGCTTCCAAGCTCTCGCAGCAGCTCTATTCCCCCTTTCCTTCCTCATCCTTGCATCGTATCGTCCTGGCCTCCTTTTCCTCGACCTCCCAGATGACCTCCCTCGATCCGAACTCGACTCCTTAGGAAACCACTCGCTCGTCTGAGCTGCGACAGGCGCGACCTGTCTCTTTCGAACTCGTACACTCCCGACCAAGGACCAAGCCACTGTCGGCCGTTCCACGAGCTCCGGTCGTCCTCGCAACCCGTCGCCATGCTCACCTTCAAGCGGGCCCTCATTGCGGCCGCGTTCTTCCTCACCGTCTTTTACATCACCACCCGCTCACACACAACCCCGGGCGCCGTATTATTACAAGACCAGAAAGACGCTGCAGCCGCCGCAGCTTCGTCCACCGCAGCTGCTGCCTCGCAAAACGGCCCGTCAATAGCATCACAAGGCGGCAGCGCGTCGTCTTCTTCCTCGGGCGTGGGCGCTGGCGCTGGCGCTGGCGCTGGCGCTGGCGCCGACACCCACCAGCTCGGCCATGTTGGCGACCAAAAGACGCTGCACATCCCCGACCTCGCCAAATTGACCCTCTACGACAAGCTGGCGTACCAGTACCCCTACGACGTCAACAAGAAGTTCCCCGCCTACATCTGGCAGACGTGGAAGTACACGCCGGCCAACGGCGAGTTCACCTTCCGCGAGCAGGAAGCCACGTGGACGGAGCAGCACCCGGGCTTCATCCACGAGGTCATTACCGATGCCGTGGCCGTCAAGCTGCTGCGCTTGCTGTATGCCGCGGTCCCCGAGGTCCTCGAGGCCTACGACGCGCTGCCGCTGCCCGTCCTCAAGGCCGACTTCTTCCGCTACCTGATCCTGCTCGCCCGCGGCGGCATCTACTCGGACATTGACACCTACGCCATACGCAGCGCCCTCGAGTGGATCCCCGAGAGCGTGCCCCGCGAGGCCATCGGCCTCGTCATTGGCATCGAGGCCGACCCCGACCGGCCCGACTGGCGCGACTGGTACAGCCGCCGCATCCAGTTCTGCCAGTGGACCATCCAGGCCAAGCCGGGCCACCCCGTCCTGCGCCAGATTGTCACGCACATCACCAACGAGACCCTGCGCCTGAAGCGCGCCGGCGACACGTCGGCCTTCCTCGGCAACAACGTGGTCGAGTTCTCGGGCCCCGCCGTGTGGACCGACGTCGTCTTTGGCTACTTCAACGACGACCGCTTCTTTGACATGGCCGACTCCAAGGGCCCCATCGACTGGCGCAACTTTACCGGCATGGACGCCCCAAAGCGCGTCGGCGACGTCATTGTGCTGCCCATTACGTCCTTTTCGCCGGGCGTCGAGCAGATGGGCGCCAAGGACTACGACGATCCCATGGCCTTTGTCAAGCACGACTTTGAGGGTATGTTTTTGCGTGTGTTTTGCGTATGGTTTTGTTTTTAGGCTGTCTTTGTTTCGTGTGTTGAAACACCCATGCTAACAAAAGCCAGGTACATGGAAACCCGAGAGCGAGCGTCACATTGGCGAGCAGCAGGAGTAAGCCGGTTGCCCGCGACCGTCATTGCGTGTCCATCACCATCGACCCTTTTGCAACGCTCGCGTGTCGTGGTTCGACTCAAACCCATGTTTTGTCCTTCTCTCTTCCTTTCATGCATTAGCAACGGCGTTCACGGTCGACTAGCATTTTTTGGTCTGTTTCGGCTTGTCTCGACGTCCCGACATATCACGTCGTATTTCGACTAACAGGAATCATGTCCGACATGTTTCGGCTTCAAATGACTTCAATGTTGTCACTCGTCTCGTTTTGGCACTGTTGCAATTTCGAAATCGGAATATGGATCAGAAATCAGTGTGCCCTCTCAGAATCAGGGGCGCCACGGCCTGATTTGTCTGCGACGGCATACGCAACGAAGACAAGCAACCGAAGGGGACGCATATAACAATAGTGTTTTATAATAGACGGGTATATTTTTCGTGTTCTCCAAGGTCAAGGACGAGACGACGGCCACGGACCGTCGTCTCTCCACAATCGCGGAGGCTTTCCGGGTGGGAGCTCTCGCTTTGGCATTTCAGTCCAGTACTTCCGTGGGCATCTGGAGATTGTTTGGGTCTTGTGCCCTTTGCTCTTTCTTCTTTTCTGTTCTTTTGTCTCACTCTTCCCTTTGTGTCATTGAATGGGCGTTTTGATCTATAGAGTGTACTTCGTACGGGTCAAGGGAACGGTCAGCGAGCAGCAAGAGATATGTCGTAAGTCTCGCCCTTTGTGTATTTTACTTTGCTCGTCCAAAACTCGGCAATTTGCAATGAAAAAGCAGGTCTGCACAGTATATCCATTTATATCTTCCGAGTGCAGATTGACGTTCGATATCTAGACTCTTGACAAACGGTGCAAATTGGGGGAGTCAGAAGGTGAAAGTGCACTGTCCCGTGACACAGGGAGCTACGTCACCGCGGGAGAGCAGTACAGCATAGGTAGTGCACCTCTGCACCTTCCAAAAGAGAGACACACCAACCACGCTTAGGGTGGGATTCCTTCCCCGCATTTTCGGTCCATTCTGGAGGGGGTCGCCTCTCTAAATTGCGGAGAGCAACAGAGCAAGCGTCTCGTTCGCATTGCATTCCATGTTGACCTCGCTGTCGCAGAGAAAAGAGGGGACGTAATACCACATGCTTTTGGTTTGCCGCCGATGACAGGGAACAGCCAACAACCGCGCCCGGTTTGGGGTAAAACTCGGCCAGCGACCGCGATCTCTCGGCTGTTCAGAACAAATAAGGAAGGCGCAGCTGTACGGGCAAGACACGCCAAAAATAAGAAAATAAAATAAAATAAAAACAGGAAAGAGCGACGTGCATTGTCAAGCTCATGGAACGAAGGGGGAAGGAGCTCTCTTTTCTCGTGATCTAGATGCCGTTCCCGAACCGACAGAAACGAAGCGCACGAGATTCGGTCGACCCATCCGCTCTATTCTACATGTTTTGTCCCCTCTCCTCTTCCGCATCTCTTCTTAGTTGCCGTTGCCTTCTTTCGCTCTTTCACTGTTCCTCATCGCCGCATTCCGACGTGACCGCCCACAATGCAACCTCCTCGAGGCGTGCTGACGACCAGTCCGGCAGCGCTCAGCCGGCGCACAAGTGCGTCTCGTACTCGGACGGCACCGTTTTTCTTGTTTTCCTCGTCTTCCTTCTGCTCCTCGTCTGCTCCAAAAGGGTCTTCCACCCTCCCGTCGCCGGCACGAACATCCGGCCAACTGGCCCAGCAGAGAGCGCTCCGGGCTCGCCCTTGGCTCCTTCCTCGGCTGTATTCGTCTGCACCTTCCGCCTCACCAGCAACCGGCCCTTCCTCCTCAAGTGACGCCGCACCCCTTTCCATCAGCATCGGACCCACCGACTCGCCACGGCTGCTCTCCCACACCATCCCTGAGCAGTTTGCCGAGATCGTCGCCCGCTACCCCGACCAGCCCGCCGTCATCGCCCGTGCACCCCTCGTCGCTGCGGGCGTCACGGACATTGCACCGGCCCGCGAGACCGTGTACACCTTCTCGGAGCTCGACCGCGTCTCGGACCATCTGGCCCACGGGCTGGCCTCGTCTGCCAAGGTCAAAAAGGGCGATCGAGTTGCCGTCAGCCTCGGCAATGGGCCCGAGTTCGCCGCCCTCACGTATGCGCTGTTCAAGCTGGGCGCCGTGCTGGTGCCGCTGAACCCGGCCTTTACGGCCAAGCAGGTCGCGTCGGCGTTGTGCCACTTGGGCGTGGAGGTGCTGATCATGGGCGCCGTGACCGACCTGCCGTACAAGCCAGGCCGCGGACGGAGCAACCTGGGCTTGCTGTCCGCGCTCGTCGGCGGCGAAGATGCCCTGGCCGCGCAACGGGCGGGCGCCATCCAGTCGCCCGAGGTGCCCACGCTGCGGACGGTCGTCGTCGTCGACAACACGGCCGACCATCCGGCCGTGGCCGGTGCAGGCGATTTTGCAAGGCCCGAGGAGCGGCTGGCGGCTCTGACGCCCTTCGCGGCCATCACGGACGGCGTGGACATTCTGCGGGCCGACCAGGTCGCGGCGCTGCAGAAGAAGCCGGTCGTGCCCGACGCGCGCCTCCAGGCATCCGACACGATCAACATCCAGTTCACGTCCGGGACGACGTCCCAGCCCAAGGCGGCCCAGCTGTCGCACACCGCCATCCTCAACAACGGCTATTTCATTGGGCAGCGCATGGAGCTGACCGCCGACGACCGGATTGTGTGTCCGCCGCCGCTGTTCCACTGCTTCGGCAGCGTGCTCGGCTACATGGCCACGGCCACGTCGGGCGCCGCCATCCTCTTCCCCTCCCCCGCCTTTGACCCCGCCGCGTCCCTGCAGATGGCGGCCGACCACCGCGCCACCGGCCTCTACGGCGTGGCCACCATGTTCGTGGCCATGCTGGAGCTGCTCGAGCTCGAGCACGAGCACGAGCACGAGCACGAGCACGAGCACGGCCACGGCGCACCCGACGCAGCCGCCCGCAAGCCCGTGCTGTCGCGCGCGCGCGCCGCCGCGCTGCCCACGCACCTCCGCACGGGCATTGCCGCCGGCTCGTCCGTGCCCGAGGCGCTCATGCGGCGCCTCTTTGCCACGCTGGGGCTCAACGACCTCGTCATTTGCTACGGCATGACCGAGACCGCGCCCGTCAGCTGCATGACGACGCGGCACGATCCCTTGGCGATGCGCACCAGCACCGTCGGCCGCGTCATGCCGCACACGACTGTCAAGATTGTCGACCCAGAGGACTGGACGCGCATCGTGCCCCGCGGCCAGCCGGGCGAGCTCGCCACCAGCGGCTACCTGGTCATGGCCGGCTACTACGGCGACGCCGAAAAGACCAGCGAGGTTCTGACCGTGGACCCCGTGACGGGCGAGCGCTGGATGCACTCGGGCGACGAGGCGTGCATGGACGCGGATGGCTACGTCTCCGTGACGGGCCGCATCAAGGACCTCATCATCCGCGGCGGCGAAAACATCCACCCCCTCGAGATTGAAAACTGCCTGTTCCAGCACCCGCTCGTGGCCGAGGTGTCCGTCGTCGGTGTCCCCGACCCGCGCCACGGGGAGTCGGTGGGCGCCTTTGTCGTGCCGCACGGTGCTGTGCGCGTGGCTGGTGGATACATTGTCGAGAGCGAGCCGTCTGTCATCCAGCGCGCCGATGCCGACGACTCGGATCCAAGCGAGACGCTGTCGCCCGACTTGATCCGCGCCTGGGTGCGTGACCGCCTCTCCCCGCATCTGTCACCGAAGCACGTCTTCTGGACCACCAGCTTCCCAAAGACGGCGAGCGGCAAAATCCAAAAGTTCAAGCTGCGTGACGTGGCCAAGGAACTGCTGGCGGCCGGGGCGGACGGCAGTGACAAAACGTAGCGAGGTGAGATGCCCTGCCTATATGATGTGCATAACCATATTGCGACTTTTTGGGTAATCTTTGACCATATTTTGGTTTCTTATATGCTACTTGCTTTGCGTTTTATTCTTCTCTATACATACATGTATCTTTATGCTGTCCTGGGCCACGACAAGATGTGCATACTTTTTTGGATAGTACGAATTACGTTTTCATGTCGAAACGACACGTCCTTCCGTCCCCCTACTTGGCTCCTCTTGTCCATCCGACTCCCTCACAGACAGTCCCGTTGGACGACCAGCGCACATTCGGCAGCACCTGGGCCGTCACCCACCGTGCCGTCGACGCATGGAGACTGCCCTGGCCAAACGGTACCGTCATGTCGTCGGCAGCACCCTCGTCTTTTGTCTCGCCCTTCTCGCCCTCATGCAATGTCAGCTGCTCAACGGCCTCCTGCAGGCCGGCCACTGGACCGTGTTCTTCTTTCTCCACATCGCCCTCGTCCTCGTCCTTGGGTGTGTCCTCTTTGTGTCCCCCTTCGCCTCTCCAGTACGAGGTCTGGCCTGCAGCCAGTGCCTGGAACACGACCAGCTGGTCTTGCAGGTATGAATCGCCACACCCGCCGTGGGCCACCTCGTCCGCCAAGTCGAGCACGACCCGTCGCGCGATGCGGCCACAGAGCATGCCAAAGCCGCTTGCAGCCGATTCTTCAGCCTCTCCTCGCTCCGGTGCACTCGTGCGACTCTTGTTGCCCTTGCCGCCCTTCTTCCCCTTGCTCTTGACGGTACCGGCCCCAGTGCGCTTGATCGTCTCCGTCCCGAGGTAGTCGCGTCCCCAGAACCGGACGCCGTCCACGCCCCCCTCTGCGGTCCGCGCCACCAGCAGGACATACACCCGCGAGTCGTGCCCGCTCGCCTCCATCCTCGCAAACTGCAGGTCCACCATCGCCCCATCCGAGACAGGTGACAGGAGAGCACACTTGGCCACATCCTGGGCCAAAGCATCAGCCAGCGGGTCCAGCAGGTCGGCGGGGGCCAGCACCGTCGCGTCGATTGATGCAATGACAGTCACACTGTCGTTCTTGTTAACAAGTAAGGACGGCACTTTGGGAACCAGCGTCGCACCTGTCGGTGGGTGGACGGCCAGACGGACAAGGCCGGCCGCTGCATGGGCCGGTCCTGTGCCCCATCCAGCCTGGACCAGGTCTCGTTCGACACGCACGCCAAACCAGCGCTCGAGCGTCGGAAAGAGCACCTGGTCGAGGTAGTCGTATGTCGGCGCAAACGACACGTGCGTGCCGCCGTAGAGGTCGATGCTCACGGGCGCGGGCGCGGGCGCGGTCGTCTCGACCGCCGCCGCCCCAGCCGCTGACGGCGGCGTCCAGGGGCGGGCAAACAGCAGATACGGCAGAACGGCCTGCAGCATCAGACTCGTGCTGGCCGCTGCGGTCGCGGCACGGAGCTCAATTGGGTTGCCGGGAGACGTGTTGTGTGGCAGCAAGACGTGTTTGGGTTTGAATGTGAAAGTGCGGCTACCCTTCTCGACGCCGCTGACTGTTGCGTGCGTGGCTGCGGCGAGCCAGTCGATGGCGGTGACATGCTGTGCTTTGAGTCCTGGGGCGGTGTTAGAAATGACGCACGAGAAGGAGACACTTGGGACAAAGGTGGACGGGGAGCATACCGCCTCCAAATCGCCGGTTGCCGCGGACATTAATCACACGGATAGGCTGACCAGTCAAGGACGCGAGAGCTGTCGCGATGCGGACGAGCTGACCACCGCCCTCGCCGGTGCGGCCGTCCAGTTCGAGCATTTGTCCGATGTAACGGCGTATGGCGTCCCTATATGTGTTCTAGTGATGAAGATGTACGTTTGAGATTTGACAAGTGTTTTTCACTGTTGATTTATTTTGCTTGTGCAAAAATGGAAGTAAACAAAATCACGGGGAAAAAATGTAAAAGTAAAACATAGGTTAAGTAGGGATGGCCAAAAAAAAGGTGAAAATAAATACAAATAGTATACCGTCACCCCAAGTCTTAAAAAAATAGCAGCGCAAGGAGAGCAGATATTATATCTTGAATAAGTCGTAGAAAGTTGTGATCAACAATGTGGTGATGTTCTATTTTCCATAAAGTAGCGGGCCGCCTAACGAGGCCCCCTAAAAGGGCTAAGCAGCCGCCCATCCCCAGCACTTGTGCTACGCCCAGGTGCCTCCCAGCGTGCCCCGTTGGGCCGGTTTTAGCGCCAGGTACGAACCGCATGCACCGCCTGCAGAAGACTCAGCCTCGTGACTCATGCCGGCCAACACAAGGCTGACAGAGCCTTCATTTGGGACGGCGACATCATCTCAACGAGTTAACTGCAGCAGCAAACGAAAAGAAAGAACGATATGCTATTCATCTTGGAGTTTACAATACACAGAGAGCCATATAGGAAACAGAATGATATGTATAGATCGACGAAATCGAAGGAATAATAATGTGCACAAAAAAGAAAAAAGGAAATAAAAGAGTCAAAAAGAAGACGTAAAGAAAAGAAGAGGAAACGCCCCGGCTTTCCATAGCCACAGCACTATATAAACATTGAGACAAATACCACATTTCAGTTCTTTTGGGGGCCTGAGAAAGAGACATAAACAGAAAAGAAAGAAAATTACCCGTGACCGAAGCAGGGAAAAGATGACGAAGAACGAAAAAGAGAATAGGAATGAGAAGAAAATGGCAAAAATAAAACAGGACAGTTACCACATGCATATGAACAAAATCAGATAAACCTTACTCATAAACACAATCCCATATGTTGTGCCTCTTGCCTCTAGCTGTCAAGACGCTTGCGCCAGTCCGCCAAGCTCTCGCTCAGGCCCAGGCCGCCTTCGTCCTTGTTGTCCTTGCGCAGGCCCGTCGACAGTGACGGCGGCGCGGCACCAGCACCAGCACCACCAGCACCAGCACCCGGCGTGCTCTCAAAGTCAAAGGCATTGCTCAGGCGGTAGTTCTTGTTCGTCGCCTCCCAGTGGCTGCGTAGCGTCTCCAGCTCGTTGGCCAGGCTGTCGAGGGCTGCACTGTTGCGCGCGTCGCCACCAACGCTCTCGCCGTACGCGCTGCCCGTCTCCGAGCTGTCCTGCCGCTCATGGCCGAGACCGCTGCCCCCGATTTTGAGCGCCGGTATCGTTGTGTGGTTGCCGATGCCACCGTTGTGGCCGTTCGTCGTAGGGATCGTTGCCGCATTCGGCCCACTGGCGGCTGCTTCGCGCAGCTGCTCCGCGTTGATGCTGGCCACCTGCCGGCTGCGGCGCCGGTAGTTGCCGACGGACGACTCCACCTGGTCGAGCAGCAGCCCGACTTTCTGTTCGGCCTCCTGTGCCCGCTGCTCCAGCAGCGCATTCTCTTGATGGAGCTGCTCCAGGTCACGGCGCGACGACGTCAGGTGCGACATCGCCTCGTCCTTGGACTTTTGCGCCGCTTCGCGCTCGCTCTTGACCTGCTCGAGCTCCTGCTGCACGCTCTGCAGTTGCGCCTCGAGCTGCGCTTTCGACGAGGCCAGGTCGCCTTGGAGCGCCTCCACCTTCTGCGATAGGTGGCCGCGCTCGGCCTCCCATTCGGGCGGTGCCGACGCGGCCAGGTTTCGCGTGCCGGCGGTCTTCGTCTCGAGTTCCTCCACCTCCGTCTTCAGCCGGCTATTCTCGGCCTTGTACCGTGCCAGCTGCTCCTTAAGCTGCTTCAACATCTTCTCCGTCCCCTTGACGTAGTGTACTGCTGACTGATAGTCGTTCTCAAGCTGCGTCAGTTTGTCGCGGTAGACCGCTTCCGAGTCTGACGCTTGTACCGCAAACATCTGCTTGGTCTCCTCGTGCGAGGCAACAGCGGATGCCAGCTGTTGCTCTAGGCTGCGAATGCGTGTTTCGTGCTCTGGTGACATCTCACCGGGGCTGCCGCGCGCACGGGGCGAGCTAGTCGGGCTGATACCACGCTCGCTCAGAATGTCCTTGAGCGTGTTGTGCTGCACCATCACGGCGTTCGTCTCGAGCTGCTGGTTGGAGAGCTGGTTCTTCAGATCCGTGTTCTGCGCCTGCAGCGTCTGGGTGTCGCGCATCGCAGCCTGCAGTTGTCTACGGATAGTGACACCCTCGCGGCTGGACTGTTCCTGGTACGCCTCAAGACCCGCAATGCGCTCTTCGGCGCTGCGCAGGCGCTCGGCGGCCGTGTCGGCATCCTGCTGGTGCTTCTTGACCAGGGCGTTCGCCGTCACCAGTTGGGCCTGCAGTGCCACCAACCGCTCGCCATCGGCCTTGTTGGGCGTGCCGACGCTCCTGGCATTGATTGCGTCCAGGCCGTTCAAAACGGCCTGGCGGTGCGTGCGCGCCTCGTTGGCGTGCTTCTCCGCGAGCTCCTCGGCGTCACGCAGGCGCTGAGATGTTGACAGGGCTTCAGCGGTACGGGCCTCAAGCTCAGCTTTGATGCTGGCCAGCTTCGACTCAACCGTCTCTCGCTGAGCTCGCTCCTGCTGGAGCGTCTCCTCCAAGTGTGACCGTATCTCGTCGGACGCAGCCAGAGCGGCACGGAGAGACGCGAACGAGTCGCCGGTGTCCTTGGCGGAGCCTACTGCATCATTGTACTGGCGCTCAAAGCTTTCCTTGTCGACACGCAGGAGCTGGGCCGTCGACACAGCCTCGGCCGCCGCAACGGAGTGCTCGCGAGCCTCGCGCTGGGCATTGTGGAGCTCGGCCTTCAGGCGTTCCAACTCATAGGAGGTCTGCTGCTTGTATGTCTCGAGATCTGTCATGCGCCGTTGCGCGGCATTCAGTGTGTCGTCAGCGAGTTGTCGGGCACGCTTCTCGGCGTCGACTTCGACAGTTAAGCGCTCAAGTTGCGATTGGAGATCCTTTTGCTGGCTGAGTGCCGTGGCAAGCTTGCGGTTCGACTCTTCGACGCGGCTGTCCGCGTCACGGTCGCCGCCGAGCTGGGGGGTGCTGCTGGCGCTGTTATTGCCAAAGTGTGCGGCAAGCTTGGCTTTGGCGTACACGGCCTCCTGGATGGCAGCATCGCGCTGCTTTTCGGCTTCCGCAATTTGCTTCGCGGCAAGAACCGCTTGCTTGTCGACGGAGCTTTGGACGTTTGCCAGCTCGGCCCGCATCGCAAGCAGAGCCTCGATGAGTGGCCGGTCGTCTTCAGTGAACGTCTCCGCGCTGCGGCTGTCCAGGACAGGGCTGAGTGTCGCATTGGGTGTGTAGCCGGACTTGCGAGCCAGCTCCAGCTCGGACGCATACCACGCATTCCGGTTCCTGGCAGAGTCGAGTTCTTTGAGAAGGGACACTGTCTGCGAGTTACGCCCAGATGACCGCCTCGCAAGGAGGTTGCCGCTCGGTTGTCTTGTTCCGGTCGGAGGCGGCGGTGATGTCGGGCGGCCGCCTGGGCCGGGGCCTGCTCTTTCTGCCGTGGCATCAATGGAGCCCGGGCCGCGTTGGCGCGGTTGCTTCGACCTTGGGGTTGCGGGAGGGCCATTAGCCACAGCAGAAGCCGCTGCCGCACCAGCCGCAGCCGCGACAACAGTTGCCGCAGCCTCGGATGCGCCAGGCGCGGTTGATGGGGGAGCCGCCGACGGAGCGGCTGGCGGATCGGATCTGGGAGGGGGCCCCGGGGCCCCAGCTGTGCGGTTGGGCCTGGCCCTTGGCGAGCACCACCACCAAGACCAGTGGGACTGTCGATCTCCTTGGGAGGGTCGCGTGAAACGGGTGATTGGTTTTTGGTCGCGTTGTTGAGAACTGGGGAGCTCGCGAGTTCACCGCCACGGTCGGACGGGGCATTCCGATCACGCGCAGCTTGTGACGGCTTAGGCGGTTGGCCTTGTGGCGGGGGACCTGCCGGTGGCGATGGGCCTGCAGCGCGTGGAAGTCGGGAACCACCATTGACCGGCGAGGGTGCGTTGACGTCGTTGCCATTGGGCGAGCGGAATCCGTTGGTGGGGCTGTTGACGGTGCCGGGGACCATGCTCCGCTTCCGATCATCGCGCGGGCCCTGGGAGCCATCCCGTGATGCAACCTGTCGTGCCGCATCGCTGGGACGTCTCGTGCCTTGTTGTGTCGTGTTCTTCTGACCTGCAGCAATTTGCGCATCGTTCGGGTAGCGGATTTTGTTTGTGTCAAGCATGTAGGCAAGGGCCAGATCGTTGACGGTTGTAGTTGCGGAGCTGGGCTCGCCACCCAGCACGACGATGGATTTGCCTACCGAGGTCATGCTGTGGCCTGATCGCGGTGATGGCGACGGGCCCATATTTTGGAAGGTGTACCACCGGCGCGACGTAATCCGGAAAGCGGCCAAATCGCCAAGATCGGCACCCTCCTCTGTGCGGCCACCAAAAATGTACATGACATCGTCGACCAAGGCGGCAGCATGGCCCTCACGCTGCACTGGAATGTATCCTATACAATCTTGCTGTGTCCAACTGTTGGTCGCGGGGTCGTAGCACCAAACGTCGTTGAACCACTGGAAGCCATTTGTCCCACCGAACCTGCGATGAAGAAGAAGAAAAAGAGACATTGTCAGCGTGCGTGAACGTGGCGCAAGCATACTGCAGAAGGCGTTGTGACTGCCCCAAAACCTACAAATACATCTTGTCATTGTATGACACGACCGAGTGGTTTGTTCTCGCGGGCGGGATTTTGCCAACAGGTGGGCCGCCATTGTCGCTGTTAGGGATGAGAATCTCCCACCGGTTGTTGGGCATTTGAAGCTGGTTAAGGTCAAATGCGGCAAGATCGTTCATAAAGTAGCCCTCGACCTGGCCGCCAAAGATGTAGATCTTGGAGCCAAGGATATTAAGCGAATGGCCGTAGCGACCAGATGGTCGCGGGCCAGACGGGAGTGCTCTGGACCATTGTCTCGTTGCTGCAAGGAGGTCAGTTTAAATATTTACACGAAATGAATCGAGGGACAAACCAACACAACCCTTGGAAAACGTACAGGTATTTAATAGATATAGGGTCTCGTCTAGGATGTCGTTCTCTTCAATCTTGGTGTCGCCTCCATACACGATGAACGCGTTGCCGACAAGAAGACTGGCGTGGCCGACTCTTGGGGAAGGGCCTTCCGCGGTGGTAGGAAGTTCGTAGCACGACATGTTGGCGCCAGCCTCAACCATCCACAGGTCACCTTTGACATTCTGGCTATTAATGAGACCGCCCATGACGTAGATGTCGCCTTCTTTCGACCCGGTAGCGTTGACAGCTGCGCCATAGCGCGGGAACGGGCTTATTGTTGACGTTGTGTAGGTCAGTCGCCGTTGCGACCACGGATAGAGAGACATGTTTGAGTTGCCCAGGGTCGGTCCGGGGCCATTGCGATACTAGTTACGGCAATGACGTTAGGTAAAGGTGAAGGGTGTAGGAGAGAGGAACTAGAAAAAAACACGCACCTGCAAGTCGCCAGATTGTTGCGACGTGACTTGTTCGGCACGACGGCCGTAGCTGACTTGGTCTGGGCTGGAGGTGCCGTCGTTTTCGAGCGAGTTTAGGCTGCCGGTGGGTGTTGATCGTTGCATAGCCGTCTTCTCATCGCGGGCGAGGCGCGAGGCGTTGCTGGCGATGGACGACTGCTGCGAGCTGGTCACGGGAGGCCCGTCGCGGCTAGAGAGGACGCGGTCCTTTTCGCGCTCCTGATTCTTCTTGGATTTGAAGAGGAACGCCATCCCGCCGAGGCGTGTGCGTGTAGTCGCACGACAGCACCAGAGCTAGTAGCAGGTAAAGCAGACGGTATCGACAAGGGGCCGCAATTCGTTCGAGGGCGGAGCAGATGCGGCGCTCGGTTTCGAGATGTAGCAAAAGCGGAATCGGTCGTTGGAAACAGGTCGAGTAAAGGAAACCGCCCAAACGAGTCTACTCTTCGACTAGTGGTAGTGCATGCAGCGTGCGACGAAAGAGGACTGAGTCTCAGTATACACGCGCGCGCGCACCTTGGCAGGGAGAGACAAGAAAACGACAGGAGACGAGTAAGAACACTACGGAAATGGGCGACAGAGAAGGCTAAAACGGGCGAAGAGGGGAGCAAAGCAGGCGGCGCGCGGGACAAGATGCGACGGGAGCCAAAGCAATCGACACGGATAATTCATTGACAGGCGAGCAAGCCGCGGCTATTCTCCGATGGGATAGGAGTGATGAGCCAAGTAGCGATCGAGACGGCGAGGTACCGGGCGGGTGCGCAAGAGAATAGCAGGCAAGGTGCGATGCGATGTCGTGATGCAGCGCCGGGAGACAATCTTGATAGGAGCTTAGTGTTGTTGTAAAAGGGGTGGTTGGCTTGTAGAGCAACGGACGGTTGGCGGAATATGGTGTCGTCGCAAAAAAAAAAAAAAAAATTAGCAGAAAGAAAGACGTCGCCCTACGTCGCTTTTGCTGTCGTCCAGTTCCGTTCGTGGTCGAGTCGTGAATGCTGGAGGAGGCCAGGTCGTGGTAAGAAAGGCTGGGGAAGGGGGAACGGTAACCAAGAAAGAAGCCCAAAGGGGGAATAGGGGGCAAACGAGAAAAAGCTAGAAAAAAGGAGACACAACGGCGATAGTGTGGACGGCCCTGCAGAAAGGCCCACGATGGAAATGGATGGGGTGAGTGGAGCAAGAATTTGACTTGTTTTGGGTGTCTGGGTCTGAGAGATGGCTGGGGGGGGGGGTTCGCCAGGTGGGTGGGACAGAGGGAGCCAGAGAGGAAGAGGAAAAGCGGGCGGGAATGTGAGTGACAAAGCTGGACGACAGCGATCCTCGGATGCGGGTTGAGCAGCGCAGATGGCGAACGAGAACCGCAAAACGGCAGCTGAGCACAGCGTGTGAAAGGGGTGGCCTGGTATGGAAAGGGAGACAACTGGAACTGTTAGCGTGAGCGCATTGTGTGATTAGGCGGTGCGGGTGGTATGTTCTCAGTAATACTTCGTACACCTTTTGACGCAGAGGACGGGAACGCAACGAGGGCAACGAGGAATAGGACTGAAGAAACTGAAGAAACGAAGAAAACGAGGCCGAAATCGAAGCATAAACAAATCACGGAAATGGGCTGCTAGGCGACATCTGGACGAAGGAAGGACTTGCGTGACCGGTCGCTCTTTCTGCCGCGTGCGATTACAGAAATACAGCGGGAAGGCGCAGGGCACACCTGTGCATCTGTCTACTGGCAGGTGACTGGATGAGGAAGTGGCGATGCTTGCAAGGGACAGTGGACGGGGAGGCGGAAAGGCAGGAACCACTACAGAACACACAACACAGGGGACGACGGCGGCAGGAGCAACGACGAAAGCCATGGCAGGGGCAGGAAGGCAGGAAGCACACAGAAACATCGACCAATAGGGGCCATATTAGGACTAGCCGGCTCCTGTCACAGCGCTTTTCCCTTTCCTCTTGTCCCCTGTCCCGTTAGTGTGGCTAGTTTGGTTATTTTGGTTATTTGGTGCGGCCGGTGACGGGGTGCCAACTTTTGCTGTGACCGCCGACGTCGTTTTCCTTCTGCCTCGTTTCTTGGTTCCCGTTTCTGTCGCTTTTCTTGGTCTTCTTTTCTTGTTCCATGGGTTCCTGGCGCGCCAACGCCAGCCACTTGCCAGTACCCATCAGCAGAGGAAGAAAAGGGGGGATGGGTGGACACGGTCGCTGCCGATCGATAGCAGGGGCAACGGTCAGGCAGACCGACCGAAAAGGTATTAATACCTGCGAATAAACGACCTGTTAAGGGCAAGTATGCGCTGTGGAGTGGAGGCTCCATGAGAAGAGGCGACAATTCAAATGGAGTTCCGAGACTCGCGAGAGTATCTTAGCTGAGATAATTCGGAGTAGGGAGGCAGGATACATTTACTGCATATAACGGCTCTTGCCATACTCTGTAGCATGTCAACAGACTGTGCAAAGGGACTTTGTTTAGTATCAGCTGCTCTTCCTCGGTTTCTTCCCATGCCGTATCGCGCAGGTGGACTCTTACGTAGCCGTTGCGTCGGGAAAGAAGCTAAGATTAGGGAAAGCGAATAGGTTCATCCCTATTTTGCGTCCTTCTGGAAGCTCGCCGTCTCCATCCAACTGTCTCCTGTCGTATGCTTTCTTTTTCTCTCCTGTCCGGTGGCCCGCCAGCATCCCTGCTCTCCCGCCATCCTCTTCTTTCTCGCCAATTCGTTTTCTTCACCAGACGGCTACCTGCGCTTCGTTCCTGGGGTCTTCTTAGTTTACTCGAGTGGCTGGGAAGCAGCGCCCTTCCTTGACTGCACCGCTGGCAGGTGGCAGGTGGTCAGAGATGGTTTCTGCCTCTTTTTTCTTCTTTTTTTTTTTCAACGTCCCACCTTGAACCAAAAACAAGGAACCCACAAAATCCACATACTGAAGAAGGCTGGCACCTGAGACGTAGCGCCGCCGGTGAGCGGGAATACCACCTGAGATCGCTTACATTCCATTCATAAAGCAGCCCCACAGGGCTCTTTTTTTCGTCTCACTTGGGCACCGAAGAGCACGTCCGCTTCACTGGTAACCTTACTCTCATTTTGGGTGCGAGCTGGCGTGGTGTTGACGGACAGGCTCGCCTTATCCCGACATGGGCCTTCCATTCGCCAGCAACTCGTCTGGTTTTCCGGCACATTTTGGATCGACGCGTCCGACACGGCTGGTCCCAGGCACAGAAACAAGCACAGGGCATTAGATCGCCCGGCCAAAGAAACATATTTGTTTACCGGGCTGCTGACCTGTTCGCTTGTTGTAGGACTTTGGATGAAGACTTGTGATGTAAGATGGGACCATGCTGAGGCTGCATCATGCTGCTTGATGTCATGCAGACGGCTCCAACGCCCAGCGACGTACGGCATATATGAATTTGATTGCAAACCATTGTGCAGGGTGGTCTGGCCCGACTACGACGACCCGTGGATAAATCTGATAAATTGATGGCTTTTGTCGGTCCCAGCCCAACGCCGAATCCGTCCTAGGCTGCATGCTGCAATCTGCGGCGTACCTGCAGGAAAAAAGGAGGGACCCGAACCACACGAAGTCGCAAGGTCACCTCACCTTCTCACCTCCCAGTTAGGAATATGCGGCAAGATGCAGACAATTGTAAGAGCCGAGGGGCCCAATTTGCATACAAGGCGTAGCGTGAGCCGTCGTTTCTCGTCTTGAAATTCGTGACGAGAATTCGAGACGATATTATTTGAAGTCCCGGAGTACGGTGTACAAAACATATTTAGGACGTAAGGCAGAAACGTGCTGCAAGGGATCAGTGAGAAAGTCACGTCGAGATTATAGAATCGACGGTCATAATGGATGGTAATATCCTCGGAACAACCATCGACTTAGACTTATCGAACCAGGAGCTTATACGGCGTATACTGGCAGCATATGACTAGCTTCACCTTCACTGGCCGCGTGAATGGATTAATACTGTAGCTCACATCCGGCGCTGAGTTGATATGAAGACGACGTACAACATACGTAGGCAACAAAATCGCAACTCTAGCGTCCGATTTGCTTGTCGGCAAGTAGGTGACACCATCAGTGGTATTTGGTGGCCATATCCAAGCACATGATAAAGCGGTACATGTCTCAAAGATCCAAAAGATCTAGAAGGCTATAAATTTAAAAATACTTAAACCCGGAATACACGACGCAATACAAAATGTAAGAACGTAAAGTGGCAACAATGGTCTTATGTGGCTCTTACTAGAGATACAATATTAGAGATACAATATTAGAGATACAATATTAGAGATACAATATTAGAGATACAGTATATTCTACAACATCAGAGGGAAACAGGTACCACTCACATGCTCTTTACGCCATGAAAATAAACACTCACGATTCATAGACCTCATCATCTCCATAACGTACAATTACCTCAAAGAAGTCGATGACAGGTGCAGCTGGTTTTGCAAATGCAGGCATTGCCTGATCCCACGTCCTTATTGACGGAAACAAGCCAGTTGGGCGTTCCCCGCCCTCGAAAGATGAACTCGGTCTTTTCATCCTCTGTGTTACCATCTGCCCTCGCGTCATTACCTCTATTTTGCCTCGAAGCACAGATTTGATACAGGTCACAGGGTCTTATATCGCTATGTTTCTCACTTTGCCAGCAAGACACAATTGTACTTTTCTCCTAATCTGCCTCTTCCTTAATTGGGTGTCTCTGGTAATTCTCACTTGGGTCTATCGTGTCTCCATACCACGCCTTTAACTTTCACTTCCACATTCCCAATCCTTGCTTCCCTGTGCAACGCAGCCTGGAACGTTACGTCTGAGACTCTGTTCTGCACAAGCCGAGGCTTAAAGTCCAAAGGAGCGGGTGTCCACGTCCTTTGCATAGGCGACAGGCCCCGATCTATAAATAAAGTGAGGTCTCTTGATTTCGTTTCCTCGTCCTTGTTTCTCCGTCGTATTTGTTTCCAGTCGCACTTGCACGACCTGTTTGTGTTCTGAACTCGCCGGCTCGCATACATTGCTTCTTGCGGGATCTCGACGACTCGCCTCTTGTTTGTTTGCTCATCTCATCTTCGTCGTTGCATCCAATTTCTGAGCAGCTCTACACTTGTGCTTCTATGTGTGTGCAAAGCACACCACAATCTATTTCCGTGTACGTTGTAGCTTCGTGTGTCGTTGGTTGGCCGCTCCCGTAATTCGTAATTGCTGCTGCGGACCCACTTTACGCGTTGTCCGCCAGTTGCTGGTCACGGGTCGGTCTTGCATGGTGCCGCGAACGAGCTAACTCAAATGTTAAAGATCGGGCGACGCCTGCTACAATTTAGATTCCTGTTACCTGGGTACAGCGCTTTTAGTGCGGGAATGCTGTCAAAAAATGTACCGCGCTAAGATGGCACAGAGCTGATCTCGCCCACCGCCCGCTATCCCCAGCGTGTGCAGCAGGTCCAACCAGCACACACTGCAGTCTGGCTCTAGGCCTAGTGCCTTTGCAGCAAATGCCCGTCCTTTGATGGGCGTTTGCTTCATCAGCCTGGTCGCACCTGCCGTCCTCTCCGCTCTTTCTCATCATCGATCATTCTCGTGACAATCCGCCGCACGTTTCGACCACATCTCCTCCGCTCCTTCCCTCCCGACGTCCGACGGATTGATCGCGGGAAAGTGCGAAACACACACCACGATTGCCGGGAAAGCGCTCTCCTTTTTCTTGACGGTACGGACTCCCTTTGTGAACCACTTTGCCCTCACCGTCCACGAATTTTGTTTCCCATCCCACGCTCGCGCACCGCTCCCTCGTCCTTCGCCAAACAGCCCCCCACACCCTGTCCCCTCTGCCGATTGTGTGGCCGCCTGTCTTGGGCACATGTTGGGTGGCCGCGCGTGGCGCAGAAACAGAACGAGAGGCGAGCACATCCAGAGGGGGGGAGACAAGACGCTCTGCACGACGCAACGCAACGCACGGCACGCGCGCACACGGCCCTCTCTGGTCCTTCGAGCCTGCAACGTTGGACGGCGGCGGTTGTGCTGTGTCTTTTGTTCCTGTGTGTGCACCTTCCTTGGCCTTCCCTGGTATCGCGTATCTTCTTGGCAAGGCCGAGGGGCGCACAAGAGAGAGCAAGAGAAATAGAAGGACGGAGGGAGCTTCGGGCGCCACGCCCTGCATTTTGTTTGCGTCTCGCGTTTTCTTCTTTGCTTTGCTGCAGTTGGACTGACGGCAGAACGCTTTAGCTTCCGCATCCTCATCCGTTGCGCTCCCACCGCCATATCACGGGTGTCACTTTTGCCCACGGAACGCCAATTTGTCCTTCGTCTCTTGCATCGTCATCTTACGGCGCACGTTCCCGACCTAAGACGAATCTGAGCGACGACCACACGTACTGAGTCTTGGCCTAGATGGTCCGTGTCTAGACACAGGGCGCCGTGCCGGCTCTTCCCTTTCTCTTGAGCTGCTCCGATCGCTCTTCGTCCCTCTCACGGATCGCAGAACTCTCCCTCTGACGACTCATCAGTCGTCTCCAGCGGCCAACACCATGCCGTCACGAACCGACACCACCAACCCAACACCCTCGACTGTTGTTGCCATGCAGTCATCCTCTGCGCTCGCGAACCCCATCAATCCCCTGGGATCGCACCTCAACCACTTTGCGCGCACCGCCGGAGCGGGTCTGCCTCCGTCGCAGGGCGGCCCGCCCCCCCGGGTCTCCGAAACAGCCGAGGTCGTCACACAGCCGCCAGCAAATCATGACAGCAGCGGTGAACACTCACGACGAAGCTCCTTGGGTAGCAGCGGTGGTGGCCTCGTCATGCGAGGCAACTCAAAACAGCAGCGCATGGCCTCGGCATCGAACACGGCCCTCGTCAAAGCGGCCGCTTCCACAGACAATAGCGAATCCGACGCAGTCGACCGGAGACGCCAACAACAGCAACAGCAACAGCAACAGCAGCAACAGCAGCAACAGCAAAAGTCACAGCAGACCGGCGGGCGCGTTGATCACAGCCGGAACGGCAGCCGGAACAACAATGGGCGGTCAGGGCCGGCCAAGCCACCGCTGATGCGGTCCAAGAGCGACTACGCTCGCCCAGCCCCTATCGAGGACAGCACCGAGACGCTGCACAACAGCGGCGAGTTGAGCCGTTGGGGTGCACGACATGGCTTCGAGGATCACTACCAGTCAGAAGACATCATCTCACAACTTGCCAGCGTACGTATCTTTGCCCGTTTCTCTTTCCTCGTGTCACGGTTTTGCACCTTTGCTCTCTTTCCCTTGGTTCCTTTCATTTTGCACGCGCGCGCTTTCCTTTGAATGAAAGAGGCGCAGTAAGTCGTTCCGTTCTCTTGTAGCCCGGAGCCCATTGTTGCCCCATTTGCGAACCTATTGCTTTCTTTGAATCTGTTCTGTTCTGTTTTTCGGGAGGCACATCGACCGCCATTTGCTATGCTACACTACCCCCGACATTGTCATCGTTATCACTGTCACCCACCTTTATCCTTACATCGAGCCACCATGGGTGAACGTCGTCCACACTGCGTGAAGCACCTGGTCCTCTACGGACACTGGCTTGCTTCTGCAAAGAGACGACCGTCGCTGACAGGAGAATCACAGAATTGGTATATGTACTTTACCGACAAACGCCACGAGTCCAACGGCAGGTCCAAGGAGCCGACGCTTGAGCTTCAGGACTGGCGTATGCGTGACCGGCTCAAAACCGTGTCCGCCGTCATTGCCGTCTGTCTGAACATTGGTGTTGAGCCGCCAGACCAGCTGCGCACCAACCCTGGCGCTCGCCTTGAAGCATGGCAGGACACCACTGTTCCGCCTGTGCAGAAGGCGCTCGAGAACATTGGCAAAGCGCTCATCACCCAGTACGAGGCTCTCGCCCTCAGGCCGCGTTATAAGCACTACCTGGACCCGTCGGTTGAAGAGACCAAGAAATTTTGCATCTCGCTGCGGCGAAATGCAAAGGATGAGCGCGTGCTCTTGCACTACAACGGCCACGGCGTCCCGAAGCCCACGGCGTCGGGCGAGATCTGGGTCTTCAACAAGAACTACACGCAGTACATCCCCGTGTCGCTGTACGACCTGCAGCAGTGGCTCCAGGCGCCGACCATTTTCGTTTGGGACTGCTCGGAGGCCGGCAACATCCTGAGCAACTACCACCGCTTCGTCGATAAGCATGAGCAGGAGGAGAAGGATGCGGCACTGGCCGACCCCAACTACGAGAAGACCAACTTCCGCCCCTACATCCACCTGGCCGCCTGCGCGACCAAGGAAAACCTGCCTACCAACCCCCTCATCCCGGCCGACGTCTTTAGCTCGTGTCTTACGACACCTATGGACATGGCCCTGTGGTTCTTTGTGCAGCAGAATCCGTTGAAGACGGCTCTCACGCCGGAGCGCGCCAAGAAGCTGCCGGGCCGCCTCCAGGACCGGCGGACCCCGCTCGGCGAGCTGAACTGGATCTTCACTGCCATCACCGACACCATCGCCTGGACTACCCTGCCACGCCACCTCTTTCGCAAGTTCTTCCGCCAAGACCTCTTGGTCGCTGCCCTCTTCCGTAACTTCCTCCTCGCACAGCGCATCATGTCCGCCTACAACTGCCACCCCCAATCCTTCCCTGAGCTTCCCGACACCCGTCAGCACCCTCTTTGGGCGAGCTGGGACCTTGCTGTCGATCAGACATTGGATCAGCTCCCCATGCTCGAGCGGAAAGAGGCCGGCGAAGTCGAGTATGAGTACAGCAACTCGAGCTTCTTCGCGGACCAGCTGACGGCGTTTGAGAAGTACTTGACGCGCGGCGATGCCATGCAGAAGAAGTCGCCTGATCAACTGCCAGTTGTTCTGCAAGTGCTCCTTAGTCAACAGCATCGAGTACGCGCACTGATCCTTCTCGGCCGTTTCCTCGACCTGGGCCCGTGGGCCGTCCAGCTCGCTCTGAGCATCGGCATCTTCCCTTATGTGCTGAAGCTGCTACAGTCTGCCACGTCCGAGCTGAAGCCCGTCATGGTGTTCATCTGGACCCGCGTTCTGGCCGTCGACATTTCGTGTCAGCAGGACCTCATCAAAGACAGCGGCTACAACTACTTCTCGTCCATCTTGAAGCCTGCCGAGGGTCTCCCCGTCACCAACACGGACGAGCACAAGGCCATGTGTGCCTTTATCCTGGCCATGCTGTGCAAGAACTACAAGCCAGGCCAGACGGTCTGCAACCAGACCGACATCATGACCTCGTGCCTGATCCACCTCCGCAACGAGGACAACCCGCTGCTTCGCCAGTGGTCGTGTCTGTGTCTGAGCCAGCTGTGGCAAGATCTTCCCGAGGCCAAGTGGCGCGGCATTCGCGAAAATGCGCCGGCACGTCTCTCGCCGCTCGCCCAGGACAAGATTTGCGAAGTGCGCGCGTCCATGATCTACGCCATGACCACGCTGCTTGGCATCCCCGACTTGACCGACGAAGTGGCCCGCGTCGAGGAGTCCATTGCGTGGACACTGATGGACATGGCCAACGACGGCAGCGCTATGGTGCGTAAGGAGCTCCTGGTGTTTATGTCGCACTTTGTCCAGCGCTACGAGAACAAGTTTCTCGTGGCCGCCTTTGAGCACCTGCAGGAGGAGAAGGAGTTCCTTTTGTTCCCACCAAAGGACGCGGGCTTCGGCACCCACAAGATTGGCTTGCAGTATGTTCGGCCCGAGAACCGCAACCGCGACGGTACCGTCAAGGAGAGTGCCCAGGGCCTCTCGCACAACACCATCTTCACGGCGTACTGGAAGCACATTCTGATCCTGTCCGTCGACCCCCACCCCGAAGTTCAGTCCCATGCGACGACGATTGTGGATTACCTGCACGAGGCGCTCCTCAACTCGGAGATCGGCGCCCAGGCGCAGAGCATCATCGAGGACATTCACAAAAAGCACCGGCGGCTGTCGCGGCATGCTGCTGTGCCGGGCATGCGGAGTGGCACGAGTCACGTTGCCGGTTCTGGCGCTGGTGGTGTGACCAATAGCGATGCCAGCGACGGTGGAGCGGTGGGCGGTGCCAACGGCACCGGTGTCAATGGCGGCGATGTGTCCGACGTCGTCTACCCACCACCGTCTCCGGGTCTCCTGCGGCGGACGGTCAGCACCCTCTTCTCTCCCTTCTGGGGCACGGACACGTCCGGTACCGTGCCTGCAGCGGGCGGCCGGCCCGGTTCGTCACAGGCCAGCGAGCCGCCTCTGTCGCCTGGCCTCCTGCGCTCTGCGTCGACCTTCCAACGAGGGTCAGGGCGTGCGCGTGGTCTGGGAGTGGCCCTTGACCGCGCAGCCGCGCCCCCCGAGGACAGCGAGCGCGAGAGCACCATGTCGCCGTACAATGTGGCCAAGGAGCCGGTCTCGGCAGGCTTTGAGACTCGCCCGGCGGATCAACCGCCGACGCTCCCCCTGGCCAGCACGCTGCTCGACTGGTCGACCGAGTACTTCCGGGAACCGCAGATGCGCCTCATGGAGGCCGAGGAGCCGGGCAGCACGGAGTACAACGAGCGACTGTGGCGCCGGGCGCGAAACGAGGGCACGCTGCGCGACACGCAGCCTCAGAAGCCGTATGCCGGGTCGCACAAGTGGACGAACCAGCTGGGCATCATCAACAACGGCTCGCAGCCTGCGCGCATGGCGTTCCACCAGTTCGAAGACCACCTCGCGGTGGCCGACGACGGCAACACGATCCAGGTGTGGGACTGGAAGGGTGTGGAGAAGCTGAGCCGGTTCTCCAACGGCAACCCGCCCGGGTCGCAGATCAGCGACATGAAGTTTATCAACGAGGACGACCAGGCGCTGCTGATGGCGGGCTCCTCGGACGGCGTGCTGCGCGTGTATCGCAACTACGACTCGTACTCCAAAGTGGAGCTGGCGACGTCGTGGCGGGCGCTGACGGACATGGTGCCGAGCAACGTGCACGCGGGCATGGTGTTTGACTGGCAGCAGGTGTCGGGCCGCGTGCTCGTGGCGGGCGACGTGCGCACGATCCGCGTGTGGAACGCAGGCAGCGAGGCGTGCGTGGCGGACATTCCGGCGCGGTCGGGCTCGTGCGTGACGTCGCTGACGAGCGACCAGATGACGGGCAACATTTTCGTGGCGGGCTTCGGCGACGGCGCGGTGCGCGTGTTTGACCTGCGGGTGCGGTCGCAGGACGCCATGGTGCGCAAGTGGAAGGACGACTCGGACCGTGTGTGGATCAAGAGCGTGCACATGCAGCGCGGCGGCCAGCGGGAGCTGCTGTCGGCGGCGCGGGACGGCAAGGTCAAGCTGTGGGACATTCGCAGCGACCACCCGCTCAACACGGTGCAGACGACGACGCGCACGCTGCGCACAGCCAGCACGCACGAGCACCTACCCGTCTTTGCAGTGTAAGTGACCTATGTTTCTTCCTGTGTGTATGCAGAGTCACTAACAAATCAGGGGCACATCGTCTCGCACGGTCAAGGTGTTCAACCTCGACGGCCGCGAGCTGTCGCGTGTCGAGCCATACTCGGGCTTCCTCCAGAGCCGCAGTGCACCGATCGCGGCGACGGCGTTCCACCCGCACAAGATGACGCTGGGCTGCGCAGCACGGGGCGACTCGCATATCAACCTATTCTCGCCGTCGGACGAGCGTGCCTTTGACTAACGGCAGCGAAGGCGGACGGCGGACGGCGGACGGCCGTGTAATGATGGAGAGCCGAAGCATGTGCATGTGGCCTGGAGCACTAATTTTTGGGATATTTTGATCTTGTTTGGGTGACTGCTTTTTCTCACGTATTGCGTTCTGCTGTCTTTTTTTTTTTTTGTTTCTCTTCTTTCTCTTCTTTCTCATTCTTGCGCCCTATTTTGCTTCGTCGATTCCCTGTGTGCGGTTTTGTCGCTGGAGGAACATTAGTTTTGCTGCTACCATTGGTGTTGTATACGGCGTGAGGCGTCTCGTTCTCTCGTTCTCTCGTTCTCTCTCTCTCATAATATCTCCTAATTCCACCGTCTTCATGTCCTCCCATACTGCCAGTAAGTTTACTGATTTATCGTCCTCATATCATCTGGTGATATTTTCTTTTCTTTTCTTTTTTTTCCATTTTTTTTCATTTTTTTCAATATACACAACACAGTAACGTCTTTCTGCGTGTCTCTTCCCCGACGGCTCTGAAAGATTCTGTGAGTTGTTCTGACAGGTCAGCTACAAGACAATAGACCGAGATTCAAATTCAAAGCAATCTGTCTATCCTGCCAGTAGAGAAATATAGAAACCATGTGATGTACATCAGCTATGACTCTACCGCCGAAGTGGCCATCGCCAAAGTGTAATGGCAGGCACGCGATAGCGGCCAGCATTCGGGAAGGCAGGCGCTTATCAGCGGCGATAGAGTTGGCAGGTGCTGCTGGTCGCACCTGTCTCTTGTACTTCTGCCCCTCCCCACCCCGCCCCACTCTCAGGTCCTTCTTCAGAGGGCAAAAAGGCTTTGTTTAGTATGACTGTTTTTTTAACAACCAAACAAAACAGACACCGGCGACCTGACTCAAGCACACCACGACAGCGTTTCGTTTATCTACGCATCCCCATTGTCAATTGAGACCAAGGCCTTCCCAACTGACGGCTCGTACACCTCACGTCTCACAGGAACTGATTTCCTCGACAACAAGTCCAGCTTCCCTCCTCTCGATTGACCTTCGACAGAGCGCAACACTCCAACACTCGAAATGTCTGCGCCGCAACCCTCCGAGACCCCCGCGGCCGAGGCGGCCCCGGCTGCTGCCCCTGCTCCCGGTGCGGCTCCTGCTGCTGAGGGCGAGGGCGAGGGCCCGTCGAAGAAGGCGGCCAAGAAGGCCGAGGCCAAGGCCAAGAAGGAGGCGCTCAAGGCCCAGCGGGCGGCCGAGCGTGCGGCTGCCGAGGCGGCGGCCAAGGCGGCGGGCGGCGGTGGTGCGGGCGGCGAGGAGGTCGACCTGGCGACAGAGAACTACGGCGACGTGGCGTCGTTTGCGACGAAAGGCGGCCTGCGCTTCACCGACGGCGCGGCCCCCGTGGCACTGCCGCAGCTCGGCGCGGAACACGTCGACAAGGCGGTGCGTCTCTACGGCTGGATCCAGAACTCGCGGATGCAGGGCGCCAAGATGTGCTTTGTGGAGCTGCGCGAACAGCAGGACTGGACGATCCAGGGCGTGCTGGCGGCGACGAAGCCCGACACCAAGGAGAACATTGTCAGCCGCGCCATGGTCAAGTGGGCCGGGTCGCGCAGCTTCGAGTCGTGCGTGGTCGTCGAGGCCATTGTGCGCCGCGCGCCCGAGCCCATCAAGAGCTGCAAGGTGTCGGGCTTTGAGCTGCACATTGCCAAGTTCTTTGTCGTGGCTGCGGCCCCACAGGTCCTGGGCCTGACGCTGGCGTCGGCGAACAAGGCCGTCAACAACTTTGACGACACGGCGGGCGGCGAGGCTGAGGCTGAGGGTGAGGCTGCCGCCACCGAGGCGGCCAAGGCGGCCGATGCGGTCACGGAGGGTGTCAAGAACCTCGACGTTGCCGCTGCTGCGGAAACCACCATCTCGGGCGCGGCGCTGGGAACGCACCTCGACAACATTGTCATGCACAAGCGCGCGCCCGTGCAGCAGGCCATTGCCAACGTGCGCTACGAGACCGAGAAGCTGTTCCGCGAGTACCTCGACGCCCGTGGCTTCAAGGGCTTCCAGGCGCCCGGTCTGATCGACGCTGCCTCCGAGGGCGGCGCCAATGTCTTCCAGCTGACGTACTTTGGCAAGCCGGCATTCCTGGCCCAGAGCCCCCAGTTCTACAAGCAGTACGAAATCGCCGGCGGCCGCAAGCGCGTCTTCTGCGTCGGCCCCGTGTACCGCGCCGAGAACTCCAACACGCCGCGCCACATGACCGAGTTCACGGGTCTCGATATGGAGATGGAGATCCAGGAGTCGTACCACGAGGTGCTGTACATGCTCGAGGGCGTGCTGCTGCACATCTTCCGCGGCCTCAAGCAGCGCTGCGCCGACGACATTGAGACCGTGCGCGCCGTGTACCCATCGACCGATTTCCTGCTGCCGGAGCCCGGCAAGGAGGTGCGCCTGACATTTGCCGAGGGCCAGAAGCTGCTGCGCGAGCACGGCCCGGAGATGTACCGCAACGTGTCGGACGACGAGGACATGTCGACGCCGCAGGAGAAGGCGCTGGGCGAGCTGGTGCGCCAAAAGTTCAACACGGAGTTTTACGTGCTCGACAAGTTCCCGCAGGGCGCCCGGCCGTTTTACACCATGGAGGACCCGACCAACAGCAGCGTGTGCAATGCCTACGACTTTTTCATGCGCGGCCAGGAGATTTTGTCCGGCGGCCAGCGCATCCACGAGGCCGGCCTGCTCGAGGCGCGCATGGTCCGCAAGGGCTTGGATCCCAAGTCGGAGGGTCTCAAAGAGTACGTCGATGTGTTCCGGCAGGCGGGTGTGCCGCCGCACGGCGGCGGCGGCATTGGCCTCGACCGTGTGGTCGCCTTTTTCCTGAACCTGCCGAGCGTCCAGCTGGCGGCCTACTACCCGCGGACGCCGAAGCGCCTTTTGCCGTAGAGGGGGGGGAGGATAGACAGATGTAAAGCTGGTAGAAGAAAAATGTACTTTTGTAGTTTAGTTGATTACTCCAAGAACATAAAAACAAATTCATTGTGCTGCTCTTATTTTTGCAACTTTGTCAAAACAGAAGAGCACTTCCTCTATTTCGACAGCCGCGTGAGCAACCATGAACCCAAACTATCGTGACAGATATATAGACACAACCCAAAAAGCGAATAAAATACAGACGAAATAAAAACGGATGCAGTGTGCAGAATACATTGCGGGATATCAAAGACAATAAGGAAACAACGTGCAAACAGAACGTGAACAAGAAATGGAGAGGACAGCATCAGGGCGTTCCCTACATGCCGCCCATCTCCATGTCGTGCTCGCCGCTGCCCTCCGCCAGCATGCTCGCATCCAGGAAATCGGCCTCGCCAAAGTCGCCGAGAATCTCGGCGTTCTCCTGGTCGACGAAGCGCACGCGCTGCTGGCTATCCGACTGCTTAAGCAGGGACCGGTCGCCGTTCGTGGCGTGCCGCCGCCGCGGGAGAGCCAGCACACGGCGTCCCTGGTTGAAAGACGTTCGCTCCATGCCGACGTGGCCGTCAGTCAGCCAGCTGTTGACGGAGGCGGAGGACGCGGCGGCGGCGGCGGCGGCGGCGGAGGAGGACACCGGCAGACGCGCGTCTTCGTGGACCTGGAAAAAGGCGCTGCCGCCGTTCTGGTAGGCAGCACCCGCAGACGCATCCTCGGCATCCTCATCCTCTTCCTGACCGTAGAACCGCTTGCGTGTCGACGCGGCCGCCGCTCCAAAGCTGGTCATGGCGAACCGCGCGGAAGCAGACGAGCCGCGGGACTGCTGCGCGGATGGCGGCGCGTAGGAAGACGACGCTGTTGACGATACCGTCTCCTGGCTGCTTGTCAAGCCGGGCGGCGCAACCTCGTCCTCCTCGTCGAGGCCGCCGTCAAACAGAGACGCAGAAAACATGGGCCGGCCGTCGTCGTTGCTGTCGCTCCATGGCTGCACGCCGAGACCGCCGACCCGGTGCAGGCCGCAAAACGGCGCGAGCTCGCGCGGTGCGTGTGTCGGTCGAGCATGATACGAGTACGAGCGGTGCGACGGGGCAGCCGGGCTGCTGTAGGCGGTGGTCAGTGTGGGCGTGAGCGTGGCCGCCGGCAAGGCTGTCCTTCTCGGCGCGACGACCGGACTGCCCTCCGTCTCCTCCTTGCCGGTCTTGTAGCCCTCCGGCACCGATTTGCGGACACGCATGCCGACGGCCAGCAGGTTGGCCTGCACGCTCGGAGGAAGCAGCGGCGTCGACGAGCGGCGTTCCAAGGACGGACGGTCAGCCGGGGCCGGCCGCTCGCCGTCGTTGCCGTCGTCTCGGTCGAAGAAGCTCGTGATCTGACGCTGCGAGGGATCGCTGGCCTGGCCCGCAAAGGGGCGCTTCACACGGGGCGAGGCCATGGTGATGGGGGGGGGGGATGCGATGAGCGAGGCCAGTGGGTATTTCTAGGGAGGGCGGGTGTCGTAGAGACGAGTGGATGAGGTGACGAGACGCAGAAACAAGACGAAAAGCAATGAGTGGAGAGTGGTCGAAGACGAAAAGAAGACGAAAAGACAAAGGACAAAAAGACGGAAAAATGAAGCAATTGGATGCCAAGTGTTGTGGCTTTGGCAAACCCAGGTGTCTGGGTGCTAAAGAGAGACGTCGATGACAGAGAAAATGCGCGAAAAGCAGAGGAAAAGGGACAGTCGATGCCTTTGATGGTGGTGGTGGGAGGTGAGGGACGACAGTAGACGAAGGGAAGTCTGTAAAACTGATGAAAGCGATGGCTGGGGATTTCTCCAGCGCCTCAACATTGGCAGATGGCAGAGGGCAGTAGCGCCTGCATGCGAATGGCGATTTAGGTATTGCCTATTTTGGACTAGCTCCTTCGTATAGTGAGACGCGTCGTCGTCGTGTTTCTCCCAGCTTTGGACGCGTAAAGTGGTTCTTGCGAGAGGACCTCGACACGGGCTCGACAGGCAGGGATTCAGGGCTGGCACACTGTGTCATCACACAGGATCTGGAAACGAAACCAGGACGGTTGTTTCCATTCTCACGTAACTGCCGTGCTTCCACAAATCGATGATCATGTGACTTTGTTCTCAGTCTCAAACACATCTTGCTTCGTATTGTCTCTGAAATGCATAGGCCATCTATTCGTATGGGTATCTTGCTCAGGCGGACGGCGCAGTCGGCCATGGAGTCCGAAAGGCCAGCAGGTCGCGCTGTCCGTAGAACTCGCCGGCGACGGCCAGCACCATCTCCAATGTGGCCCGCTGCTGCATCTCGCCGTCTTTGTCTTCCTCTTCGGCATCCTGAGCGTCTGCAACGCCGAAGTTTGTCTCGTCCACGCTGGCGACAGCGTTCGGCCTAGCTTCTTCGACCTCGCCTGTGTCTGGTTCGGGCTCCATGTCCATGGGTATATCGTCTCGGTCTTCCTGGCCTTTGGTTGCGTCGGCCCCAACCGCATCACCGTTGTCTGCTGCGCCCTCACCTCCCTCGTGCTCGTTTTCCTCGTACTCCTCCTCCTCCTCCTCCTCCTCCTCCTCCTCGCCCTCTTCCTCGTCACCACCACCTGGAACATTCGTCCCCGCCATGTCGTAGCTCAGGTGCGCGAGCCGCATCACGGCTTGCTTTGCCACGTCCCGAATGTAGCCCACTTCGCGGTAGTCCAGCTCGCCTCGGTCGGGCAGCCGCGCAAAAAGCGACCACAGCCATCGGCTCGTACGGCCCGTCATGTCGAGACCGCCGCCGCCGCCGCCAAACAGCGTTTGCTCGAACCGTCCCGCCCGCGACGACCGTGACGACGCCGAGCCGCCCGCCAGCAAGCCCCGCAGCAGAATGCGCAACAGCCGCAGCACGCTGACCTTGTCCATGGCGGCAATCTGCGCAGGCAGCGGATCCGTTGTGCGCAGCAGGTGCGTCCAGCGACGGTACACACCGGACCTTGTGCTCAGCGGGCCAACGTCGGTGTCGTGGTCCCGCGGGAGGGCAGCGACGGCGGCGTTCAGCTGGTCGACGTCGGTGTGCTCTGGGGAGGGGCGCACAATGGCGCGCAGCTGCACGAAATGGGTCAGGAGCAGACGAGAGCGATAGGCGGCGCAGAAACGAGCGGACTCGGCGTCCGGATCGGCATCCAGATCGGCGTCCATCTCGGTGGTTCCGCCATCAGCATCACGATGTCCTGTCGAGATCTGGCCGTGGCGCCCATGTATGTCGGCCGCCGACGAACCGCCCATGTCCTCCTCGCGCGGCGCTGCAACGTAGGCCCCGTCGTGGTAATAGCCCCGAGCGTCCTCGACGCTGCTCTCGTACAGGTCGCGGTGCTCCAGGGTGTAGTCTCGCGCGTCGTTCTCGCCGGCACCGCCATCGCTACCATTATCCGATGCTTCCACCTCGCCCTCTTCCCCTTCGCCGTCTTCGCTGCCTTCGCCCTCGGCGCCTTCGACTTCGTAGGCCAGGCTCTCGGGCTCCGGTGGCACTTCTTCATCATACGACAGTCCAACGGCCACGGCCTGCTGCCGAGACACCCGGCGCTTCTTTGCTGTGCTTCCGGTGGCGTCCGTGACGGTGTCGACTGCGTACGACAAGTCTCCGTGGGCCCCGTCCTGCTGCTCATCCCAGTGCCGCCGCCGCCGCCTCCTCCGCTTTTGTTGGGGCGAATTCTTTTCTGCAGCAAACGATACGGTCGCGGCCGCTGCCGCTGCCGCAAATCCCGGTGGGAGTGCCTGCGGTCCATGCCGGGGCATAACCATGACGTGTGGGATCTTGTTCGCTTCGTCTCTGTAAACAAAAACCAAAATGACAAAAACATTCACGCGTTAGCTATTGGTTCGTTCAGCAGGAGGCCCAACCAGACGAGGCAAAACAAGCATATTGGGGATACGAGAGAACACTTACCGGACAAGCCGCAGGTAGGCCAGGGCCTCCTGCTCGTCTTCACAGTCAAGGTCTGCGTCCATCGGCGCCGTCGCCAGGCCGTCGCCGCCAAAGACGCTGCGCTGTCCATAGGTCTGGTCGACGGCCGGCGTCACGTTGGGCGTCACGGAGGCCATTATGTGGTGGCTGTGGTTGACACAACGCGAGGAATCGCGGTGCTCTTGTGCGCCGTTGTTTGCTCTTTGTTGCTTCGCAATTGTAGTCGTGAAGGTAAAGAAGAGGGCTTCAGAAGAGAGCTGCAGCCTGGTGGATGCATGCCCAAGAAATTTTTAGTAGCCTTGCCTAGCACGGCCAGATCCCCTGCACTGCACTACGGTGCCTGGGCACGCTATATTTGGTAGGCCGTTTGGTAGGCCGTTTTGCAGGCGCATAGTCCACCAACATAAACGGTGCAGCCAGGCAGCCAACTGCCATCGCCAAACAGCTCACAAACTTTGACAATGTTGGCCATTATCGAAAATGTTAGATTCAAGACTTTTAGCTGAAATCCTTATCATTATAACATAACGAGTGGTCGTCGGGCTGCAGTACACGAGTCGATGACCTGCTCATCTCCACTATTCAAGTTATGCTTTATTATGCCGATTTTATGTCACTCAGGAGCAAAAGGTTTGATAAATTTTGTGTATTTTTTTGGGTAGTTGCAAGATATCCGGATCCGAAAAAACGCCCCTCCAGTTTTTTGTAACAATCGGCTTTTGTCCTGTCTGCCTTTTCTTTTCCCTTCTTCCTGGAGTCATCCTAGTTCGCTACCACCGTTTTGAATGCCGTCTGGATGTACCGAACTCAAGTCGTTTGCTGGCTCCATCTTCTATCCGCGTTGCTTTCGTATTGTTTTATTGTAAGGTTTGGTTGTCTTTGATCGTAAAAAGAACAAGAGAGAAATGAGAGCACGTCTTTTCCTTCATCCTTTTCCTCGCAGGGCTGATCGGCAGGTGAGCGAGATGTATAGAGACGATGATCGTGGTCCATTCGGAAAGCTGCCTCAGAGTCAAAATGGGTTGAGTTTCCTCTAGCTCCATATCAAAACCCAAGCTGCCCCATCCCAAGAGAACCTCAGCACGTCTCAACTGTCATTGTCGATACAAAGCCGTGGAACAGTGAGGGCAAAGGAAGAAAGAGAAGTCGCGCCGTGAGGGATGGTCGTGTCGATTTTCTTTTTGTCGTCGCTCGGTCATCGGCCAGGACGGGAATGAATTGCCCTGCCTGAATCGAGAAATAAAAAGAGGAAGGCGAAACAGGTGCAAAATAACGCATGATGAAAATGAAGCAAAAGAGAAAATACAGCCCCCCAAACAAGGGAGGGACTGAGAGGAGAGCGACGGTCGAGAAAAGGCAAAAGAAAAAGAGCGAGAAACGAACCTGCCAGACGGGGGCAGTCGACCGTTTCTGCTAGTTTTCAAATGTCTATTCCATCGATCCGAAGAGCTGATATATCGAAGACATTTGTGACGAGTTTAGAAAACAAAGGGAAAGACAAAAAGAAGAATTCGATTCGCTTGTTTTAAGATAACATCGTCTACTTTCTCCGGAAAGAGCAGCCCTCCGTCAGTCTCGCCTTGCCACCGGTGGGCTGGCAAAGGACGGTCGTGCAGCCTTGGCAGATGACGACGGTCTGTGCGTGAGAGAAAACGGTGGTGATGGTGAAGCAGCCGGGGCACTTGACGTCCATGAAGAACGAGCGAGGGGCAGGCACAAGGGTCTGCCAGAGACATGTTAGTATCCAAGAGACTAGAGGGTGCGGCAAATGCTCGCATCGACGAAAGTGGGTGTCGTGGTCGTCATACCTTGAGCTTGTGCTTACGGGCCTCAGCAGCAGGGCTGGGGTTCAGCAGGTCAACGGCCAAAACCTGGACGACGAGAAAAACAAAATGTCAGCACTTCCGCATACAGTCGATGATAAAAAGAAAAACATCCACCTCCGTCTCCCGTTTCCAGAGTCGTCATTGTCATTTCCGTCCTCGAATCCCGGCAGCATCAGTCTCAGTTGTTATCATTGTCCTTTGCATGTTCGATGTCCGATTTTCACAACGCTACGCTCTGGCCTTCGAAATGGTCGTGTCGATAGAGCTCCCATCAAAGCTCCCATCAAGGTCGTTTCCATCCTCGTCTTCAAGGCGTGCGTCCGTCGTCGGGTGCCCGTATCGATGCCGATGCTGCCGAGTGTTCCCAACGATCTTCATCGTCATGTTCATCCTGACGTGCTCCCTTGTTGCTTCCTCCATCGACAAATGACTGTAGCACGCACCATTTTGACGGTTTGAGGAAATTGTCGAGATAAATCGAAAAATCGAGCGGATTGGTATCGGTAGGATTAAAAAATCTGGTTGTTAAGAACAAACAGATTTCGGCGCTCGTGGATTTGGTTGTTGAAGTTGATTTGGGGTTGGGTGAAGAGAAGAAGAGAAGAGGTGGGAAAAAGTCAGAAAGAGGAGTCGAGCAAAATGAGGGCAAAGACTAGGCTCAAGCGGCAACAGCAAAGGAGCGAGACGGTGTGTGGGCGGGCAAAAAAAAAGCCAGGAGTGGGCAAGAGCCAGAAATTTTTTGTTTAGCCCATAAAAAAATGGACCAACCAGAGCAGAGCAAAGCGAGGGCAAATGGGCGACCTCTCTGGAGTGACCAGCTAAAAAGGCGGCGAGCACACCCCCAACACCGTGGATGGCCACGCTAGCCATTCTAGGGCCTAGCGCATTAGGGTTTCTGCCAAAGATAGAGTCACGTGTGTTTACGCCACACGAGTAGCTTCCAGGAGAGGCTTAGCCTGCTGCTCGATTAGTCATTTCTGACTCTTCGGCGGGCTTAACAACAGGGCAGCTAATGGTCAGCCAGCAAGCAGCTCCCTAGGCTGCCGCCGAAAGGCTGGCTCCAAGTTGGTAGTGGGGCAGCTATCAGATACAGGCAGCTATGATTCCTCGCGATTTCACGACAGAGGAGCGACAACCCGCTATACTTTGTGTTTTACACACCATTCGCATGCTTCAACTCGTTATCGATTCTTTCTTTTGGTGCAGTCATACGCCAAGCACTCACATTCACAATGGCAGCGCCAATGGACCAGAGAATAGCAGTGCCGGTGGACGATCCAAATGCTGATACAGAATGGTGAGCATTTGAAAAAAAGGACGGCGATTGAGTCATGGCGCGGCAATGACTCAAGACTCACGACGTGAGACGCAAGGTTGACTCTGACTCTTTTCTTTTCCCAAGGAACGAGATCCTCCGCAAGCATGGCGTCATCCCCGAGAAGCCGCCAAGCCCGACCCCCATGATCGAGGAGGCCATTCTCGAGGGCCGGCGCCTCGCACACGAGAACCGCCTCGAGGGCAAAGACCTGGACGAGCTCGACGAGTTTGAGGACCTGGAAGACGAGGAGTTCCTCAATGCGTACCGCCAGCAGCGCATGCAGGAGCTGCACGCCCTCCAGAAAACGGCTGTCCACGGCAGCGTCTACCCAATCTCCAAGCCCGAGTACAACCGCGAAGTGACGGAGGCGTCGAAGCAGGACGGCCGCGCCGGCACAGGACAAGGATCGCCCGTGTTTGTGAACCTCATGTCGTCGACGGGCACCAACGTCGAGTCGCGCGTGCTCTCTGAGCTGTTCCGCCAGGCCGCGACCGAGTACGGCGAGGTTAAATTCTGCGAGATGCGGGCCGACCAGGCCATCGAGGGCTATCCGGAGCGCAACTGTCCGACCATTCTCGTGTACCGCAACGGCGACATTGCCAAGCAGATTGTGACCCTGGCCATGGTGGGCGGCGTCAAGATGAGCATGCTGGACATCGATGCACTTCTGGTCGAGGTGGGCGCGGTTGCGGACAATGACATGCGCGTGCTGAAGCGGCGGCGAGAAGCTGAAGATGCCGCGGAGGAGCGCATCATGGCCGGCGCCAACAAGTCGATCAAGACGAGCCGAGACCATCGGAGAAACGACGACGACGACGATGACGACTGGGACTGAGGATGTCGGTCGAGCAACTAGCAGTGTGTCACGGCCTGCATTCATGGGCGCTCTATCTACAGAAATTGATGGTTGGCACGGCATGGACAAGTACCAGAAACGGGCTTCGAGTGGTCTACGAATCTACGTATCGAAACGCACGCACACAACTTCCTGGGCTTTGTATAATGATAGAGGCGGAAGGTTGCATCCCAACGCAGGCCGCTGAACAAAATGCAGCAGACGATAGCAGCTGCCAATCATGCCCAGGCAGTTTGGGGCATTTTGTATATAATTTGACAGTGTTGTACAATATTGAAATTATGATACCAACCAAAGCCGTCGTTGGCTGACAGTTTTCTTGCAAGTCTAGCTCATACCAAATCGACCTCATATTCGTTTGGTACACGGGACAGCCGCAACCATCCAACAGTCAAACCATCTCACAAATGTATAATGCAAGGCTTTCTATGTCACCTCCGCACGTATTTTTTATTTTATTTCATAAATAAATTGGCAGACAGCCTGTGACTGTGCTGGAGTTTCCAAGGCAGGTTCGCTCCTTCTCCCCGGTCCCCGTATGACGTACGACCGGGCGCTCCTCCCCTCACAATTAGCGACGCACTTGCCTGTATTTTGTGCCTCTCGCAATGGAACTGATAAAATAAAGTGGAACTGGACCACCTTCCCCCCCCCCATCAGCCGCATGACGGAAGGCAAGAGGAAAAACTGATCAGCTCTTGGCAAGGCTACCACATGCAAGAGCGCCAAACGGCAATGTACTAAACTGCTTTCTTCTCGTCAACAACTCAACTCTCACGACATAGGCTAAGCGCTCCTCGACAAACAATTCTGTAGTCATACCTCTCACATTGACGTTCTCGCACGCATACATCGACGGCCCTCGAGTCGTCTAAACAAGCGGATATCTTTGATCGACCGTTTTCCAATCTTCTTTTGCTCTCGTTCTGCATCAATTTGCCGCAGGCATATCCAAGTTTTTTGTACCTTCATCATAGGTCGCCGTCGGAAAGACCGTCACCGCCCGCGGTGGTCGTCGTCGACATCACCGCCGCCACCTCTCTCACGAAGAGAAAAGCAAAATCGACGCGCCGATCGTCCGTTGCAAGTCGGAGGGGCTGGACGGCGCAACGACAAGAACAGCAGCAGCAACAGCAACTACAGGGGAAACAACCGCACCAACCGCACCAACAGATTCGGCAGGATGGGCCAGGAAGTGTCCAGCCAGATCGACGAGAGCACGCCACCTCAGACGCTGAGCGATCGCAGCCTCGAGGCCGTAGCCCAGTTGATACTCGATGGCAAGGTGCGGCGCATTGTTGCCCTGACTGGAGCAGGCATCTCCACAGCTGCAGGAAGTACGTCCACGGCGCGTGTGTCTCGATGACGTTTGACTTTTTGACGTTTTGGCGTTTTGGCGTTTTGGCGTTTTGGCGTTTTGGCGTTTTGAGCGCCTGAAGGATCCAACTAACACTCAACCAGTTCCTGACTTCCGGTCACCGGGCACCGGCCTCTACGCCAACCTCCAGCGCCTCAAACTGCCCTATGCAGAGGCCGTCTTTAGCATCGATTACTTCCGCGAGAACCCTCATCCATTTTACATCCTCGCCAAGGAGCTCTACCCGGGCCAGTTCCATCCCACCGTGGCCCACGCCTTCTTGTCCCTCCTCGCTGCCAAGGGCCTCCTGCGTATGCTCTTCACGCAAAACATTGACTGCCTCGAGCGCGCTGCTGGCGTCCCTGCCGACCTCATTGTCGAGGCCCACGGCTCCTTTGCCACCCAGCGCTGCATCAACTTTGACTGCCGCACGCCCTTTCCCGACGACGAGATGCGCGAGCACGTGCGCGACGCCCGCGTGCCCCGCTGCAAGCAACCCGGTTGCGGCGCCCTCGTGAAGCCCGACATTGTCTTTTTCGGAGAGAGCCTGCCACAGCGTTTCCACGAGTTTGGCAAGCTGCCGGCCACCGACGCCGACCTCGTGCTCGTGCTGGGCACGTCGCTGACCGTCTACCCCTTTGCGGGCCTGCCGACCATGGTCCCAGACCACGTGCCGCGCGTGCTCTTCAACCGCGAGGTGGTTGGCGACCTCGGCACCCGGGCCGACGACGTTCTGGAGCTCGGCAACTGCACCGCGGGTGTGCTGAAGCTGGCGGATGCACTGGGCTGGCGGGCCGAGCTGGACGAGCTGTGGCGGACTCTGGTCGGCGCCGAAGAGGTGGAGCGGCAACGCGGCCAGGAACAAATCCTGGCCACGGCAGGTCCGCGGCCACCGAGCGAGAGCAGCGACGGCGACAGCGACAACGACAACGACGGCGACATGGACGTTGGCAGGAAAGTGGGCCCTGGTGACGACGACGATACCAAGTATGTGGGTGGCGAGTTCGACGACACAAACGACCAGCCGCCCGAGATTGGCGGCGCACTGTCGTCGGCCGAGGCCGAGGTCAACGAGATTGCCAACGAAATCGAGGCCATCTTGAAGCTCGACGAGAGCGGCAAAGAGACGGACCCGCCCTCAGATGATGCCACGTCGACTGAAAAGCCCACAGCAGACAGTTCCAAGACATCAGTGGACGGAGCAGCACCAGTAGAATCCACAAAAGCGACCACCTCGGACGCAGCGCCCAAAGAGACCGAGGAGACAGCCCCAGGAAAGGAACCCATTACTTCAGGCTCGAAAGATAAACCGAAACACATCATTGAGCGGCCACAGCTGTAATGCGTTGCCGCGTTATTTTCATGACATAGCTTAAACCTTTGTCTGACGGCGCCGTATTGGGTTTTATTTTATTTTTTTATATACGTGGCATACACGACAGTACTGGCAGCATTTCTTTTTGAACCTTGGTAGGGTCAATGCATCCTGTCACTCTCTAGGCGAAATTCACATGTTCAAGCCCCAAGACGTTTGTGCGAGTATTTGTACGAGCATTCATTCGTGACCTTGGGAATCTCGTAACAATGACGTGGTTGGCAATGGGAGCGCAAAACGAAAGTAAGGATAGAAATATGCGTGTGCTACAGTGGTCTTTCTTTGTGGATGTATTCGTATCGGAAATGCAAGTGCAACGAAGAAAATGCTGCCTCCATGGAAACTCTCTTGCATCTATGATGAAACATGAAAGCAGGTCGACGAGATTGATGAAAACGCAGAACAGAAACATGGCTACAAGAGGGAGCAGGAGGGTGCACTGCGGTAGAAACAAAGAAAAGAATAAGCCTCCAAGCAAAAGAAATGAAACTCTCAAACGCCAGAATAAATCAAAATAAAAACAGTACGTCAAATTTGGTTCGGAGATGAAATCGAACAAGAGACAAAAAATACCGCCCTTCTTTGATACAATTTTTGCTCCATCTGCAGTGACGTTTTGCGATTCGCTCTGTCCGTTTTTTTTCATACTGTCGACTCAACAACAGGGAAGGCGCTTTCTTTGTGGTGACATGAAAATGGTGACGCTGGAATATGTGTGTCGTGAGAAGGTGGTTGGAAAGTAGAAAGAATTGGAGGACACTATCGACAAAGGGTCGGACGGAGTGAAATGAAGTCAAGAACTAAGGTAAGTGAGGGCAGTACAGAGAAGGTGGGAAGAAGCGGGCTCTAAGGAGCCAGGGGTGCCGTGTGCAAGGCCGGCTTGGTACTGGCAGCATTCCCTGCCTCGTTGGTCTCGTTTTTCTTCCGCTCCAGGACCTTTGTTACCCATGCCGCAATGTCGGTGTCGCCTGCAACGCCGGCGTCGGCCAAACTGAGCTGGTTCACGGCCGCAGCAGCCTCCTCGCCATCTACATCTGAATCCGACTCGGACGCCGACTCGTCCTCTTCCTCTATGATTGTCGCGGCCTGAGCAAGCGGCTTCAGCCACGGGTGGTTGAGCAGCATGGAGTAGGTATATCGCTTCATGGGGTTCTTGTTGAGACACGATCGGACAAAGTCGCATGCCGTCGCCGAATAGCCCTCGGGCATGTCCGGCGGGTCGCCGTTGACAATAGCCTGAAAAGAGTCAGTTTTGAGAAAAAGAGAAAGCGCAGGAAAGCAAGTGGCAGGGCGAAACTTACGCTCAATTGGCTAAAGATGGTGGACGAGACCTCCGGCGGGTATGGATAGCGGCCCATGGCGCATTCGATAATGGTCAGGCCTAGGCTCCAAATGTCACTTTGGACGCTGTACGTGCCCTCGGCATTGGCACCGCCAGCCGACATACCGCCGCCGGAGATGCGCTCGGGGGCCATGTAGCTCTGGCAGCCAATGTTGGTCTTGGCAATGGAGGCGACCAGGTTGCCAGAGACACCAAAGTCGCAGATCTTGACCTGCCCGTCGGTGTTGGCCAGAATGTTGGTCGGTTTGACGTCGCGGTGAATGATGTTGTGGTCATCCTTGAGCGTCTTGAGGCCCATGACTGTCGAGTACGTGATTTTGCGCAGGACATGCTCGGGGATGCCGCCAGCGTACAGCTTGTCGATGGAACCGCCGTCCATGAATTCGATGCACATGTATACCGCACCCTCCTGGAAAAAAGCACCATAAAAGTCGATAATGTAAGGGGACACGCACTCGTGCAGAATCACGAGTTCCTTGAGGATCGTAGAGAACTTGGCTTCGTCCAGTTCCAACCGGATCTCCTTCATGGCCATGACCTTGCCACTTGTCCCACTCGACACTGTGCCGTTGCTAGCAACTTTGTCGCACGTCCCAGACGCCGTGGGAGGAGCGCCGTCCGTCTGTGTCGTTTGTAGTGACTGCGCCGTCGCTTGCAGCTGCTCCTTTTGCTTGCCAAGTGTATTCTTGAAGCCACTCAGACCCGGACCAAACCGTGGAACGGCAGGCTTGGCATGGCGGACCTTGAAGACAGTTCCGTAGTTTCCCTTTCCTAACTCGTCGAGAACCTGGATCTCGTCGAGCGAGATCTTGAAGGTGTGGCCACCCGCAAAGTTGACGCCCGTCCGTGTGATGGTGGCGGCGCCCTCGAAAGTAATCCAACCCTTTTCAGCATCAATGTAGTGCTTGAAGTCGTTCATCTTCGAGTCGTGCCGACCATCCTTGAGCTGTGGCCGGCCGAGGCCGCCGGCACCAGGGCCAGCACCGGCGCCCATGTCAGACAGTTTTGGTGGGCCGCGCGTGGGTGTGGTGTCGCCAGGATTTCCGGGTAGCGGGCCCAGCTTCATCGCGCGTCGTTCGCTCAAACTCGGACCGCCCGATCTGCCCGAAACCTTGGGCACGGCCGGTGCGGACTGAAACCCGGGCACCGATGGCCGTCCCATGCCGCCGAGATTCATGCCCCGGTTCAAATGTGGCGGGATGCGAAGGTTGGCTGCTGCCATTGCCCCGGACGATGTGCTGCGTGATGCATCAATCGTGCCGTTGGCCCCAGCAGATCCAGTGTGGTGTGGTGACATGGCCATGCGCTGCTGCTGGAGGGCACGCGCCTTGGCCATGAGATCGAGCGGCAGATTGCCGGCAGAAGGCGGTGGCCGACGGGCGCTGTTCAGGGTCCCGGTGACGGTCGAGGAGGGGCTCATGTTGATTTTCGCAGTCGGCGTGCCGGAGGGATCCGAGGTGGCACGCACAGACGGAATGCGTCGTGGTGGTTGAGAGGAGGCGGTCGTCGGAAATGGTGGGTTTTCGCCGAACGGGCTGGAATGGTCTGCCGGGGTGGTGGCGCCGGAGTCGACAGAGGCTGGCGAGGCGGGACCACTATCCGGAAACTCGTCCGGCGTGCTCGCCGCGGACACGTCGGTATGTGACATTGCGGAGAGCGGGGACAGCGGAGAGAGGGGGGGAAGATAGAAGAGAGGAAGAAGAGAGTGTGCCCCGCACAAAAGAAGAAGAGGCGCGGGGAAAGAAAGGGGAGAAGGAGAAGGAAGGAGAGGGGAGGAGAAAGAGAAAAAGCTGATTGCTATTGAAGCCGAAGCATGTATGTAGTGCAACAAGGAAACTGAACGACTGTGAATGCACGGAACGTTGGAAGGTTCAGTGTTGTTGTGGGGTGTGCTTAGTTTTTTCCTGTCGTGGATGCGACAAGCGTGCTTATGCGATTTGTCCAACAGCCAAAGTCGTCTCCACGTTTTTCGATCAGGAACGCTCGATCAACTGCGGCACCGGGCAGTGGCGCTGAACAGAGTATTCGAGGGAAAGTGGACGCAAGACCACAGACGACCCAATTCGAATACCTCAGTCCGGTAACAACACTATTGCGAGGCGGCAAAGGCGTTGTGATGGATAGAGACAGGGTGGGGATGGCGCGTGTCTCTCTGGCAGTGTACACAGAACGTAATCTTATGTATGTGTCAGGGTCAGGCTCTGATCGATGAGCACCGAGTGTTCGATTGACGTGTGGATCTCGCTTATAGTGGTTCCTGTGGATGTTGTGGCTCGTTTTTGGTCCTTTTTTGCGTTTGTGTCAGGGGCAAAGATGGGTCCGACAGTTGCCGCAGACTCTCTGTATCGTTGTGTGTGTCCCTTGTCCTGTGTCAACGTTCTGAGGAAGAGACAAGCACTACCAGGATCAGCGCAGTTTACGGTTGCTTGTTGCTTGTCGGGTGTCGATTGAGGATGCAAAAAGAACAAAAAAGTGTGCATGAGGAGAGTGAGGAAGTGAGAAGACGGCAGTACTTGGAAAAGGCAGGACCGCTGTGGATATGTATATGGTGATATGGGGACAGTCACAGGCTTATTTAGACCGGATGGAGGAAGAGCGACCACGGACATGGGAATGCTCTGTATGTCTGTGAGGCAAGAGGTGTGGGATACGACGTATTGGGTAGTTTATTACTACAGGACGGGGTGGCAAGAGCGCCCACGTTGGAGCAACACAATTGACGATTCTTGTTCGTTCCTGCCTTGGATGGGCCGCGTCGCCATCCATAAAATGCAAGAGCAGAAAAGGGAATATAACTAAACGGGAAAAAACAGAAAATAAAAAGACAGCAGAAGAAACAAAAACTAGGAAGGAGCGACAAAAGCCACACAGGAGACACAAAAAGAGGGGTCTAGAGAGACTACGCTGTCGTGCGCGTTGGGCTTGCACCAGAGTCGATCGCTTCCGTGTCATCAAAGCCGTGTCGCAGGTCGAGACAATCGCATTCTTGTTCGTTTGGCCTGCCTCCCTGCCTTCCCTCGCTCACACCAACACAGGTACTCGCATTTTGCCCCTCGGTCTGCCCTAGCCACTAAGTATCCGTTCCAGGCTAGTCTCAGGTGCCTCGTTGGTTCTTTCCATCTACAGAAGTATGGCATCTCGCATTTAGCTCTGTTACAGGCGGCAGGAGCCCAGGAAAAGCTTTAGGTGGACCCAACCAAATGTCGCGGCGCAAGAGACTCTCACTCTTAAGAGATGTGATGGGGGCCTCAAAGCCGCCACGCTAGCAGGCTGTTAGTGGCGGACGATAAGCGGAATGCTGTTAGTTGATGCTCTCTTTTCCATGTAAATCCAGGAACCCAAGTGCTGCTTCGTGTGCCTGTCAAATTGCATTTAATGCATCGTTCTTCTGCACATGTCTATGTCTGCTTGCTTCTCTACTGTAGCTTACTTTGGTTTTTGCGGTTTACCAGCTACACTTGTCTACTATTCTCTCAAACACGCAGGGCATATATCGTTGTCCCGTCGTCTGATTTGCTATTTCCTTCTGTTTTTGTTTTGTTGCTTTCCACTGTCGCTGTCATAGACGGCCAACAGAAAACCAGCCACAATCTATTCTCCAAAGAGTCTTTTTTTCGGCCTCCACAACAAAAATCGAAGAGAACACCAGTGACAAGTCCAGTCACGGCCCAGGCCCCGTCGTCATCTTACTATGCCATTGTACAGCAGCGTGCCATGCAGAACGACGGAGCCCAATCATCCTCGTCCCTGCCCACTGCACCTAAAGCACGCACGAGTCCCAAATGGGGTGTGGTCTGGCCTGGGGCCAGGGAAACGCTGCGTCGAGCGGGCGAAACAGGCAAAAGACGGCTAGAGGATATGCAGGATGGGCGGTCAATGACGTTGATCACAACGGCGTGGTTGGGCGACCCGCACGGGAGACGTTTCAAAAGAGAATCTCTGTGCCTTCACTGTATATGTTTCTCGAGAACATCGCAGTCTGCCGTGTGAAGGGTGTCTATTTTCGGGACGTGACGACGATCCAGAATCTTGATTTTCTGCTCCGTGGCGTTTGCAGTGCATATTCGGCACGCCCCCTACCCCGACTGGCATCTCTATGACGGAAGATGCCATTCAGCTGCATTGGGTTTTCGTCACACCAGCACATAATTTTGATTGCCGATTGTTGGATTCGCTCGCCGACGTCAGACAGAGTACAGTCGAAATATTCGGCTTCCCCAGACTCGGAGTGTCAGACACACACGTACGCATTAGCACTCGCCTCGCGTCCCTTCATCCTTGACCACCTTCACCTGGTCGATGATGCTCAATTTCGCCTCTGTCAGCCGATTTACATGCACGCCGTTTCAGGGTCCCATTGCATTGCCTCCTTGTCAGCTTGTGTCCCTTCCACGCCGAATGTGCATCCTTTGCATGCTGGCCCACCAAGAGGCAAATATTCACTGGCAGGTCATCTGTTTCCTTTTCATCTGCCTCCCCACGCGACAGGACGGATGGAGTCAGGGACAAGGGTCTCTCTGTGGAGGTGATCCGGCGCAAGAAGCCATGATTCCCCACGGCCTGACTGCCAACAAAACCTGCATCAATGCCCTTGCGAGCCTAACCAAAGGCAGGTGGTTTGGCTCACCAGGACGTTCGTAACCGGTTTTGGGTTCCTCACTGTCACAGTCTGTGATATTTTTGGATTCCACAACGTATCGGAGCTCTACATTACGATGTAAAGCCTGCAAGGTGCAAAACGGCTCGTGTGTGTCGTCTCGCAGTCAACTTTGCGACTGACGACTAACCGGGGTGCCGTACTTTCGAACGAAGGCGACATTGAGGGCCCTCCCGCTGCCTAGCGGCAAAGAGAGCATCCTCTCCAGCATCCATCTCTCCGTGGTCATACTGACGGTGTCCAGCCTAGCTAGTCCTTGTTCCACTGATTTCCACCGGGTCGTTGGTACGTTTTGAAAATGTTCAATACCGGTGTTTTCCTCCGGTGTGGCATCTGCTGCGGGAGATCTATTACCACCCTCGCCCTCGCACCCAATCGCAGAGGCCTCCGTAAATGATCGACCCACCTTGTTAACAAGTCCTTCGCCGCCAGCGACTGACTTTGCATATTTTGCTGTTGCCGTGTGCCACGAGTCGATAGCCCTGAATTATGTTCATCGTTTGGTGTGCGATGGCATATGGCTCATGCTGTGCTGTGCCCATTCTTTGGGTGTCTTGTATGCTTTGCAATTCCTTTCTTGTTCGAAAAGCTATACATCGACTTGAGACGGTATAGTAGGACAGAATTCTATCCACGCAATCAGGCAAGATACTTCGCGTTGTAATTACACCACAGACTCTCTGTGTTTCCTTTCGTATCGTGACTTCGTCCTCGTCCTATTTGCAACAACGCCGACCCTTGGTCGAGCTGGCCGTATATCAAAATCCTCGTATATCGGGACACGCTGGAAAGTGAAAGTGTGCGTACGTGCATGTGCGTCGTCGGGTGCGTCAGCGCGTGTCCAGATGTGGTGTTTGAAACGTGCACCATATGCGAATACAAGCCACACACAACAGCCACAGATGGCCAGTGAAAAGGATTCTCGCGACGGAACAACTGGGCTACGACATCTGACGCAGTGGCAGCCGAGAGGCAGCTGCGCGGGTGGTGACTGCTGTGGTGACTGCTTTGTCGAACACGTCGAAAACACTCGCTGTTTCACAAATTGGCTGGTCTGGAGCTCTCTTTCCCAATCTGCCTCAATCCGATCACCTCCTTCCCTGTGCGCTCGCAAAACTCCCTGGCTGCATATATTCGGGCAGGTGCAATCGTGCTTGTTGCCCCGTCGTCTCGACCAATGCGGCTCACATTGTCTCGTTCCCCCTTTTCACTCCTCATCCTTTTGCATCCTCTCGATTGCCCAATTCCTCGGGCGTCATCACTTACCCCCAACCTCCGACTCATTGTCAGCGACTGGCAGATTGCGGAGTCGTTCGGCATTGTGGGCAAGGCCACTGTCAAGCTGTTGCCTGGTGTCATTCGTCAGTGCTTACATGGGCCAGTGTCAAACGTCGGATGCTTTGTTTGTTCGGCCCTTTGCCAGCTCGCCCATGAGCTGTTGGTGTTGAGCTGAGTTCGCACAGTGACGCCAGCTGCCCTCCCAAACACGAAACCGCAACTGGGCGCTTCCATGTTTGTTGGTCTGATTCCATTGGTTACTCTACTCTGCCTCAATCGGTTCCAACAAAAGTTCCTGCATACGAAGGTCTTGCCAAATCCAAAAAGGACCGGGCATCTTTTGTCGTTTAGTGGCGAAATCAAATTCTTTCAGCAGCAATTCGACACACCTCACAGCGGCAGAAGTACACAGCCATTGGAGACCGTTGCCAATTCGGCCAAGAACGACTGAGAAAGGGAAAAAGAGGCTGAGGTGGGCCTGGAAGCTTAGCTTGCCTAGGTATGGCGCGGCTGGATGCACGCCTTATCTGAACCCGGCACCCTCCCACATGCCTAGATTGTTCGCCATTACTCGCCCAATCCGCGCAATCCACCACCTATCCACGCCATCCACACCTTCTCGCTATCGCCTCTCCCATCTCGATTCTCGTTAGCGGCGCGCGAGTATTCTGAATACGCAACACTCTAGGCTTCTACTCAAATAAAATCCTTTTTGAGTGCAAGGTCTAAGAGCAGTGCCACAGACCAGGGCCATTTGGCGCTGGTCACCAACCGTGCTTAGCACCAGTCAATCCTGTTTCGGACGGCTGTCGTTATCAGTTACACTGGGGCTTCTTCCCTTGCTTCCGCGAGATATCGCCTCACCTCGACATCGACGCACCAGCGTCGGCAGCAACAGACGTCGCTTCGGGCAGACCAGCCAGCTCCGATCTCCTCTCCCCAGAGTTCTCGTGGGACGAAAAATCACAATCGATTCCCCTTTTTAAATCTGTCACAAGACGACAGCTGCCATCCACGTTTTTGGCTCGACCGAATCAAGAGATCGACGGGGACTCCAAATTGGGCTCAGTCATCATCCCTCTAGCCTTCCAACCACTACAACCTTCTTTGACAACGACAAAGCCAGGCTTCTGTCTCAATCGTTAGACAAACCCTTTGGGACATTCACTTCGACCCTGGTAGAACCCTGCCCCGAAAGGACACACGACACCTCGGACTCGATCTTGTCGGCCAGACGGATTTCTTTCTCGGCTCTTCGTCTGAGGACGCACTCGATCCTAGCCCTCCATCGTCTCGCCTCTACGTCTCTCCATACGTCTTGAACAACCAAACAAAAGTCGAAACATATCTAATTACCTCCAGGCAGTGGCCGCTGATACTGCCATGGAGTCTTTATCCAGCGGCTGCATCTCTGAGGTGCAGGCGATAGCGATCATGAAGTCGCACGAGTCACATCCTTCGTTTGGCCGCCTCGTCATGCTCGTCTTTGAGGCCGTCATGGAGGTCGTGTGCGTCAGTTTGCCAGGCTACATCATCGCGCGCCTGGGCCACTTCGATGCCGATAAGCAAAAGTTCCTTGCCAACCTCAACGTGATGCTGTTCACGCCGTGTCTGAGTATGTGCCGAATTCGCTTTCCTGTTCTTTGCTCGTCACACATCGCTAACGGATGTCTTCCTCCAGTTTTTACAAAACTCGCGTCTCAACTTGACGGCGACAAGTTCATCGAGCTCGGCATCATTCCGATAATCTTTGTCGTCATGACCGCCGTGTCGTACATTGTGTCCAAAGTCGTGACAAGGCTTTTTGGCTTCAACAGACGGGCCGCCAACTTTGTGACTGCCATGGGTGTAAGTGGTAATGCTTTGGGATTTTTGTTCATTGTTTTCGTTTCCAATGTGCTGCATGAGCCGAGAACCGATCGCTAACTTGTCGCTCCTTCGCCACAGGTCTTTGGCAACTCCAACTCGCTTCCCATCTCCCTCGTCCTCTCCCTCTCCCAGACACTGAAAGGCCTGCACTGGGACAGAGTTCCCCGCGACAATGACGACGAAGTCGCAGCGCGCGGCATTCTATACCTGATGATCTTCCAGCAGCTCGGCCAGGTGCTCCGTTGGAGCTGGGGCTACCACGTCCTGCTAGCGCCCAAGTCGAAGTACGAGGAGTACAACCAAGACGCCGCGGAGGAAGGCCGGTATCGCGACGACCCCGAAGGCGACGAGACTGCTCAGGGTGGTAGTCATCCCATCATCGTGGGCGTGACTACCCAATCCGATGAGGGTAACGACGAGAATGACGATGACGATGACGACGACGATGACGATCTTTTGGCTCACAGCCCTGTCACGGAGTATTCGGACGTCTTTGTTCCGTCGGGACGAACGCCCGTGGCGCCGCGGTCGCGTGGCTCGCCGTATGCATCGGACGCTGAAGACGACAACGGCGGCGGCAGCCAAGGCAAGCGCACGCCAAAGAAGCGCAGCTCGAAGCAGCACATTCGCACCGTCAGCAGCAGCGACTTTTCCGGCCTAACTGCTGCGAACGGCGGCGTTCCTGGACTGGACAGCCATATTCTGTCGTTCCCACGCATTCGCAACATCAACGAGCCTGAAATTCCCGAGGGCCTCGAGGGCGTCAGGGTGCGCTTCGACATCTACCACCACCGCGCCGCCAACTGGCTGGCGGCGAGTGGCAGCCGCATCTATGCGTCGCTGCCCACCCCTCTGCAAAAGGTCGTGGTCGTGGTTCAACATGTCGCTTCGCGGGTGTCGGGTTTCCTGTGGGATTTCATGAACCCGCCGCTGTGGGCCATGCTGATTTCTGTGATTGTTGCGTCGTTCCCCGAACTCAAGCGTCTGTTTTTCGAGGAGGGCACGTTCATCAACAACAGCGTCACGAGCGCAGTCACCTCGACGGCAGGTGTCGCTGTACCCCTCATTTTGGTGGTACTTGGCGCCAACCTCGCACGCAACACACAAACCCAAGCGTCGCACGACCCGGAGGAGGCCCAGATTGGCAAGCGTCTCCTCATTGCATCGCTCGTCTGCCGCATGGTGCTGCCCACGCTGATCATGGCTCCCATTTTGGCCCTGTTTGCCAAATACGTGCCGGTGTCCATCCTCGACGACCCCATATTTGTCATTGTCTGCTTCCTGCTGACGGGCGCCCCCAGTGCCCTGCAGCTGGCGCAGATCTGCCAGATCAACGCCGTCTTTGAGCGGACCATGTCCCAGATCCTCTTCCAGAGCTACGTGATTTGGATCCTGCCCTCGACGCTTATTCTCGTTGTATGCGCACTCGAGGTCGTCGAGTGGGCCAAGTAATGTCCACAACCTCTCTCCCTTGTAACGATTGTGTTCCTATGATGATTTTCCTTTTCATTTTTTTCTGTCATGGTTCTGTTTGGCCTTCCAAGCTCTGCATTTATACCGACGTTGGCGTCCCTGACTTTTTGGTGGTTTTTTTTTCTTGACCTTGGGGATTTAGGCACAGGGTTTCGGTATTTCTGGCGCTTTGTACTCCGTTTACCATGCCAGCGGATGGTTGGTTTGGTTTCCTATTGTGTTGGACTGTATTATGGACATAGATTAAGAGCATACAATTTGAAAGTATTACTTGTCGACTTTGTTGATTTATTCGTTTATTATTTTGTGGGATTATGTATTTTTTAGTGATGCACTGTTAAAATACAACTAATAAATATTCACTAACCGTGCCAACGAAATACCACCATTGATGACGAAATTCTTCCATATTGTTTATGTGTTGCCTTTTTATACCGTACACAGAGTCCCGTCCTTCCGAAGCCGCAAACCGACACCGAGAGCAATCACATACCATTGATGGTCGGCTGTGACGCCTCGGCAGCAGGTGCTGGCGGTGCCAGCACCCAGTCTCGCACCTGGCCCTTCCAGTCACTGATGCGCACATCCCGGATCGCCACCACAATCACGCGCACTTCCTCGCCGGCGACAAACCGCTCCCGCCCGTCCTGTGGACGAGGGTCGGCCCCGGACGCCGCTGTCGCCGGCGCCGCTGCCGAGCCACGCCCGTGTGCAATCTGCTGGTGGATGCGTGTCTCGTCCGGGCCGACCGGGTCGGCGGCAAAGTTGTTGTAGGCCAGGTGCTGCTCGCGGTAGTAGGCCTCTTCCGGCGAGCCTTGGGCCAGCAGGCGGGCTGTGCCGTTGATGGTCGCCGAAATCGACGACACAGCGGCCGTGTTGAGGTTGAGCAGGAGCGTGGCCAGCGAGGAGGGGGGCTGTTCTGCTGCTGCGGCGCCGCCGCCGAGCGCGCCCAGCCCGCCAGAAAGAGCACCACTCGTCGCGCCGCCGCTCTCGGTGCCGCCGCCCGGACCGTCGTCGGAGAGGGCACTGCCTGCGGACATGCGGCGGTGCAGCGGGCGGTGCGAGACCCAGTCGTGGACGAGCAGCGAGACATTGGGGTTGGCAACGATGTTGTGCGTCTTCTTGCTGGCCGGATTGGAGGTCATGACGATGACGGGGGATGCAATCGGGTGGTCGGGCGCGCCGGCAGCGCTGGGCAGGTAGGTGTAGTTCATGAGCGATACATGGGGCTGGTTGTCGACGCAGGTAGCGAGATGGAGCTGGAGTGACGTTAATGGGAGTCCATGCGGTCTGCACGTTTCTTTTCCTCGCCATTGCGGCCGTCGTCGGTCCCTCAATTCGGTTCTACTTACAAAGCGTGCATTCTCGAGACACTGGACGACTTCCGTCGGCAGCGAGGCCGTAGTCTGCTTGTTGGTGTCGCCGTCGGAGGCTTCGTGGTTCAGAGGGATCTGCTCCATGGTGGCCTGATGCGTATGCGATCGCCAAGTGTCGAGATGTTGTCAGGGTTGTGATGTAATGTCGAGGAGGGAAGAAAGGGTGAGAGCATCGGGCGTCGTCGATAACGCAGCTTTGGCCCTTTGGCTCGTTCTGGACCTTCCAGCGCTGATGGGGTTGTCGGCTTTGGTGGGAGGGAAGGAGCTGGTTCGCCAGTGGCGGGGCAGGTGCGACGGAGAGCCGTTGCCCACAGCCATTGCTACGGCAGACCAGAAAGTCGCTCGACAAGTCGTCGACGTCGGCCAACGGTCCGGAGGAGTAGATACGATGTCGTTAATTCAGTTTTACATTTCAGCCGTCCGTACAGTTCCCCTCATTTTTTTCCAAATGTCTTTTCCTGTGCTGCCGTGAGTTGCCCGGTACTTTCGCAACCGAGGCGATACCTCCGCTGGCGCCTTCCCCGTACTTTCTTACACGGAAACTAATGACGTCTGTTCCTCCCCCAATTGGCCTGTGCACCGTCCACAACCGCCGCCTGCCGGTTTTGGACTGCCCCAGGCCTGCTGCGGCTATTCTCGGTCTGTGAGGAGGAAAAGGAGCCAGAAACAAAAGGGAAGGCACGACCGAACGAGATCAACACAAGACACATATTTTTCTGCTTTTCATTTTGGCGATTAGAGAAAGAGCGACCTGTTCTATAAACAATAAAGGGATTGACATTTTGTGCCCCTGACACGTTTTTTCCGCATACATACCTCATCTCTCTCCACGCTTCGCCAGCGTTCACCGATACCACTCTCGCCCACGTACTCTCCTCCGTCTCCTCTAGCACCACCGCCACATACTATGCGTCCTCTCAAGCGAGCCGCACATACGCGGCTGCCCCTAGGGTACCAGCCTGTTCGCTACCTTGCTTCGACCTCATTACGCTCTGCAACACCCTCGACCGAAGGAGCATCCACGTCCCCTTCCGCGTCTGCATCCGCGTCTGCACCCGCGGCGGCGCCTCTGCCGTCCCTCCTGATCGCCAACCGAGGCGAGATCGCTCTGCGCATCCACCGCACCGCGACGCGGATGGGCATTCCCACGACGACGCTCTACACAGCAGTGGATGCAAGTGCGCAGCACGCCAAGGCCTCGCCTCGCAGCCTCGCCCTCGGCTCGTACCTCGACGGCGACCGCATCATTGACCTCGCCAAGAAGCACAACATACGTGCCCTGCACCCGGGCTACGGCTTCCTGTCGGAGAATGCTGCCTTTGCAGAACGCTGTGCCGAGGCCGGCATCACCTTTGTGGGCCCGCCTGGCAAGGCCATGAACGACATGGGCGACAAGGCCCGCAGCAAGGCCATCATGCTGGCCGCGGGCGTGCCCTGTGTGCCGGGCTACCACGGTGCCGACCAGAGTCCCGAGCAGCTTGCTGCTCATGCCGACGCTGTCGGCTACCCGGTCCTGCTCAAGAGTGTCCGCGGCGGCGGCGGCAAGGGTATGCGGATTGTCCACACGCCGGCCGAGTTCGAAGCGCAGCTGCGCAGTGCACGTGCGGAGGCCAAGGCGAGCTTCGGCGAGGGCGGCGAGGTGATGCTGGTGGAGCGATACATTGTGCGCCCGCGCCACGTCGAGGTGCAGGTGTTTGCTGACACGCAGGGCGGGTGCGTGGCGCTGGGCGAGCGCGACTGCAGCGTGCAGCGCCGTCACCAGAAGGTCCTGGAAGAGTCGCCGGCACCGGACCTGGACAACGCGCTGCGCCACGACCTCTGGGACAAGGCGCGCACGGCAGCCCTGGCGGTAGGGTACGTCGGTGCTGGCACGGTGGAGTTTATTTTGGACCGAGACACGGGCGAGTTCTTTTTCATGGAGATGAACACGCGCCTCCAGGTCGAGCACCCGGTCAGCGAGCTCGTCACGGGTACGGACCTGGTGGAGTGGCAGCTGCGCGTGGCGGCGGGCGAGCCGCTGCCCATGACGCAGGACGAGATCGAGGCCAAGATCGACGCGCGGGGCCACGCCATTGAGGCACGTATCTACGCCGAGAACCCCGAGATGAACTTTATGCCCGACTCGGGCAAGCTGGTGCATCTGACGACGCCTCGGCCGCGGGCCAACAACGACGAGGAGTCGGACCTGCGCATCGACGCCGGCTTCGTGCAGGGCGACACAGTGTCGCAGGCATACGACGGCATGATTGCCAAGCTGATTGTGCGCGGCGAGGACCGCGCGCAGGCGATCCGCAAGCTGGAGCTGGCGCTCGAGGAGTACGAGGTCGTGGGCCTGCACACCAACATCGAGTTCCTCAAGCGACTGTGCCGGTCCGAGGCCTTCCAGGCGGCCGACGTCGAAACGGGCTTCATTGACAAGCACCGCGACACGCTCTTTGAGAAGCACGAGGTGGCCGACGAGGTGTACGTGCAGGCGGCGCTGGCCCTGTTGACGTCGGAGCAGAGCAGCTCGTCGCTGGGCGAGCCGCACGGCCAGCCGTTTGGCTTTGGTGACATTAGCAGCGGCGGCACGTCGGAGCGCAGCTTTGCCTTTGCGGTGCTGGACGCGTACAGCGACCGGACGGGCGACGTTGTCGAGGTGACTCTGACGCAGACGGCACGACAGCTGTACAACGCCCGCGTTTCCTGGAAGCCCACAACCAAGCCCGTCGCCGGCGAAGGGCAGGTGTCGGGCGTCTCCACGCGCGAGTTTGACGGCATTGTGCTCGACGGCACGGCCTCTCGTCAGCCGACACCCGAGGCCACGACGACCAAGCTGACGTCCTTCTTCCCGCTGTCGCGCATTGCGTCGACGGTGGTGCAGCAGCGCCCCGAGGGCCTAGATGAGGGTCCCGTGCGCGTGACGGTGTTCCAGGGCGGCGCCAAGACGGACCTGGCCCTGGTGTCGCCCGGCTGGCACGCCAAGGTGCTGGGCTCGGACGCCAGCTCGGCGGCCGCGTCGGTCGTGGCGCCGATGCCGTGCAAGATTCTGCGCAACGAGGTGAGCGTGGGCCAGACAGTCGAGAAGGGCGCGCCACTGGTGGTGATTGAGTCGATGAAGATGGAGACGGTGATCCGGTCGCCACAGGCGGGTGTGATCAAGAAGCTGGCGCACAAGGAAGGCGATATCTGCAAGGCTGGCACGACGCTGGTGCTATTTGAGGACCCGGAGGGCGGCGAGGACAAGGCATAGTACTTCAGGCGTGGTGCACGAGGTGTTTGAAATACAGCTCAGTCTGCCAGAAAGGCAGCTCATATTTGCGTACACGGTGTTTTTTGAATTTGACATTATATTTTATACATTTTGGATATATGAAGAAGGAAAATGCACTTCCTTTTATGCATGCACGACCCTGCGTGTGCATTCCTTTTACTCCCAAACCAAGTGGTATCCAAAACGCCCTCCCATGCTTTGTGTTGTATGCACGAAAAAACGAAGCTCACGTAATGCTTCCATTCGATTGCCGACACCGACTATGCCAGACTTGCCAACTCCGCGGGCGAGAGAGAATCCAGATCGAGACCGGCGAAACCCTCCTCCACCGACCACGGCTTGCTGCCGTCGCCGCGCACCGCCGCGGCAACGGGCGTATACAGCACGTCGCACGCGCGGCCCACGACGAGGAGGCCGGGTGGCCGGCTGCCCTCCTGCTCAATGGCCGCGGCGACGTGCTCCAGCGTCGTCCGGATGACCTTTTGGTCCGGGCAGCTGGCACGCTCAATGACGGCGCACGGCGTCGAGGCGGGCCACAGCGTGCGGCCCAGGTTCGTGCTCCCCTCTTCCTCGGCGGTGTACGCCGTCAGCTCGGCTACGAGGCCCGTGATGCGGTGCAGCGCCATCAGGAACACGGCCGTCCGCGACACGCGGTAGCCCGGCGGCGCGGGCGGCGTGCCTTTCTTGCCGGTGCCCGTGCAGATGAGCACCTGGTCGGCGGCGTCACGGTGCGTCGGCGGGATGCCGGCAAACAGCGGACCGCTCAGTGCCGACGTGATGCCCGGCAGCACAAACAGCGAGCGCCCGTCCTGGAAGCCGGCGGCGCGCAGCCGCAGCACCTCCTCGCCGCCGCGGCCGTAGACAAAGGGGTCGCCCTGTTTGAGGCGCAGCACGGTCTTGCCGGCGCGGGCAGCGGCCGTGGCCTGCTCAATGAGCTCCTCCTGGGCGGCGTCGGCATTGCCGGGGAACTTGCGGGCAATGGCGACGTCGGTGCGGCGCGGGATCAGATCGAGGACGCCCTGGGGCACGAGCTTGTCGGCGAGGATGACGTCGGCCGACAAGATGGCCTGGTGGACGGCGCGGGTGAGCAGGTCTGGGTGGCCAGGGCCCGATCCAGCCAGAATGATGCGGCCGTGGCTCGTCGTCCCGGCGGCTCCTGGGAGCGCCGCGGTCGCTTCCTCCTTGTCGACGGCCGGGGCGTCCCGCGGCAGCGCCGTGCCCTGGGCATATGCTTCCAGCAGGGCCTCGACGTCGGCGTCCGTCACGCCCGCCAGGCGCTTGAGCGGCCAGTACTCGCACATTTGCGCCAGCCAGCGCATGCGTCGCGTCTTGGTCGTCTCGGCCGTCTCGGCCGTCTCGGCGGCGCCGACGTCGCGTGTCTCTGGTGACGGCACCAGCTGGTTGAAGGCGGCGCTCTGGTCGTAGGAATCGTCTTCGGCGAAGAAGGGACTGGTGGGCTTGTCGATTGCCGCGGCGGTCGCCTTTCTGTCTTCCTCCTGGATGCGCCGCCGCAGAGTGCCGAGCCGTGCACAAGCCTCGCCCAGTCCAGCTGGTAATGTGGCGGCCACGTCGCGCCGGATCCGTGAAGCCAGCTTGCAGCCACTGCCGTTGGTTGTGATGCCAATCTGCAGAGGTCCCTCGGCGTGTGTCGACAAGAGCGAGAACGAGCATAAATCGGGGCGGTCGACGACGTTGACGGGGATGCGTCGCCGGCGACAGGCAGACGATACCGTCTCGGCGATGGACGGGTCGTGGTCGGTCACAAACACAGCGTCGACAAAACCGTCGACGGCCTTGCGGCCGAGGGTCTCGAGGTGGTCGTGGGTGCAGACGGCATCGCGCACCCACCGTACCTCGCCGGCATCAACGCGGACCTGGAGGGCAGCAGGTAGGAGGGCGCCATTGGACGGCTCGGGCGCCACCAGGATCGGAACGGCGCCGACAGCCAAGCTCTGGTTGCAGCGGGCAGCCGCCAGCGGGTTCGAGCCAACGACAAGGTGGACGTGGCTGCGGCTATCGACGGCCGTGAGGAGCGAGGTGTGGTATGCCATATCGAGAAGAAGAGGGCGGAGGAGGAGGAGGAGGAGGAGGGAGGGAAGAAATGGTCGGTCAGTGGGGGAAGGCCGTTTCTCGAATGTCGTCCGTCGAGTGAATCACCACATCAGCACTCTCACCAATAAATAGGGAAGCAATGGACGGGAAGCGACTAGGAAATCTGTCGACGTCGACGCCGTTAACAACTTTACAGTCTGTCGCCCAATGTTTTGCGCCGACCAATGAGCGTGCAGGGCTGTTATCAAAGAGAGATGCCAGTGCTCTTTGCGTCAGGAAGCAGCAACCGACCGACCCGCCGGCCGCCGGAAACGGTTCGCTGTCGCAGGCGCAAAACTTTTTTTTCTTCTCCGCGGCCGCTAAAACACTGACGCCATAGCTGTAGTGGGCCTGTCGACTGGCACCCCCACACCCTGTTCTAAAGCAGCCAATGGTATTAGACCATTTTCTTCCAGGGCGCGACAGCGGCAGTCGGGCATTGCACCACTGCTGGTTGCTCTTGCCTTGGACGGCAGTGCGGTATAATTGGGCCTATCGTGCTTTCCTGCCGCAGTGAACCGCGAAGAGCGTCATGCGGTAAGTGCGAATGGCGATAGCTTCCAACCGCCGCCACAGCACGTGATGTTTACTGCCTCGACTGCAGATATTTTGACCTGGTTTCATTGGTATTTTCCCAACTTTTTGCCTCATTTCCTATGACTTGCCAATGACTCTTCCCCGAAATACAAAACGCTATGTATGACCTGACTCCATCCAGTTCCTATTCCTGGGATGCCTGCCAAATGCGTATAAAATGAGGACAATGCAAAAAAGGCAAGAACGCCCTTTGGTCCAGTCATCAAATGGATCAAAGGTAAAAATAAAACAAAAACAACAACAAAAATAATCGCAACAGATGCAATCGTACATGATGGATGAGAACTGGAGACCTCCTCGGTCTCTCCTTTTTCAAATATGCTGCTCGCCGGCCGGTCCTTGCCATCTACGTGGCATGATCACGGCCGCTTGTTGTTGGGCTTCTTCTTGATGAATGGGTCAACGGCCCGTTTCTTGGGTGGACGCATAGGCGGCTATGATGTTCATTAGTAGCGGCATCGCAGCGGCATCGCAGCAAAAGGAAACGACAAAAACCTACTCTTGGCGCGGGCCTCGGTGGTAGCTGCGACGGCGCTTTGCTGTCACCACCGGCGCTCGTCTTGTTGTCGATTCCCAACACCTCCATGGCCGACGGATCTGTCGGACGGCGAGGCGGATGGGACGGATGCGGTGGCTTCGTTGCCTTGGACAATCGTATTAGCAAAGGTGGAACGGGACATGGCGAGATTGCGGCACAACGTCGAAAGAGCATCGACACGTGGCTCACCTTCTTCATCGGCTGGCCGTCGCTGGGCGAGCTGCCCTCATGCGGCCGCTTCTTGGGAGGGCCGTTGCTTGGGCTGCTTGTCACGATGACGGGCCGCGACGACGACGCCGCGCCATAGGGCAGTGGCTCGCCGCGCGCATTGATGCCGCCCATGCCGACATCGGACGGCGCCGTCGGCGGCCGGCCGGGACGGTCAACGACAGTGTATGTCGTCGGCAGCAGCGCGGGCGTCGGCTTTTTACGGGGCAGAGAACCAAAGCCAGAGCCAGAGCCGCCGGCAGATGCACGCGACCCAACGGGCGACGATGCCGCGGGTGGGGAGTAGCCGTCGTCGTCGTCGCCATCGTCACTATTGGCGTCACGCTGTGGCTTTGCCCGCGTCATTAACGCACGGTCCCGATCTGCCTTGGGGCCTGTCGGCGGCGCCGCGTTGCTGCTGCCGCCGCCGCGGCCATTACTCACACTACTGCTACGACTGGAGGGCGCGGTGGACGCGGGCGACGGCTTGATGGAACCCGCCTCGATTTTGGCCTTGGGCCCCTTGGGCCCCATGGGCGCCGCCCGTGCGCCTGCGCCTGCGCCTGCGCCTGCGCCTGCTCCTCCTCCTCCGGCGGACTGGGCCCCTGCCTTGAGCAGCGACAGCACATTGCCGCCGGTGTACCGCTTGCGGTCCTTGGCATCCTCAATCAGCGCCCGCCAGAACTCGCCCTGCCGCAGGGCACGCGAGTCGCCCAGAATCCACAGCGACGACTTGGCCCGCGTCAGGCCGACATTCATACGCCGAATGTCCGTCATGAAACCGATGCCGCCCGTCGGGCTGGCACGCACACACGAAAAGATGATGACGTCACACTCGCGCCCCTGGAAGGCGTCCGTCGTGTTGAAATCGACCGTGTCCAGCACGCCCGGACCGTACTGGTCCGAGAACCGCGCCTTCAGCGCATACAGCTGCGCCTTGTACGGCGTGATGATGCCCACCTTGCCCGTAAACGCCCTGCCGCCGCTGCTAAACGTGCCCATGAACCGCCTGTACAGCTGCAGCGCCACGCGGATCTCGTTCTCGTTGACCAGCGACTGGCCCCGCGCGCCGCGCTCCTGCACACCCTCCACGTCAAAGAACCGGTACGGGCCAAGCAGCGACGCGCTGCCGTTCTTGTCGTCGCCGTCGCCGTCGCCGTGCCACGGCTGCCGCCGCAGCTGCGCCATGCCCTCGCCATCGATGAGGCGCTTTTCGTAAAACTGCTGGCTCGGGAACAGGCTGATCTCGGGGTGCATGCGGTACTGCGTATCGAGGAGGTGCACGTCCTGGGGCCGGTTGCGCTGCATGCGGACAAACAGGCTCTGGTCGTAGCCGTACCGCGCCGCCGACTGCGACAGCACCGTGGGCGGCAGCTGCTTGGGGTCGCCCACGAGGACGCACTTGGCGCAGCCGTACTTGAGCGGGATCAGTGCGCTCAGCTCCACACACTGCGCCGCCTCGTCGATGATGACCGTCTCGAACTCGACATTCAGGTTCTTGAACACTTCGTGGCCACTGCCGCTGAGTGTCGCGCACAGCACGTGCGCGTCGTTGAGGATCTTCTGCTGGATCTGCCGCTTCTTAATCTCCGCCTCACGCGCGTACGTGTTGCCGCTCTCCTTGTCGCGGTCGATCTGCGCGCCAATGCGCCGCTGCTCGGACCGCAGCTGGTCGACCTCGCGCTGCAGCTGGTTGAGCTTGCCCCGGTCCGCGCTGTCGTCGCTTCGCGCTGCCTCCAGCGCCGGAAACAGCGCGGCGAGCTGCGCCTTGATCTCGCCCGCCCGCTGGTGCATCTTGTCGCGGTCGCTCACAGGGGCGGCGCCTTCCACCGGCTTGCCATCCTTGCCCACGGCCGTAATCGTCGACGACGTCTGCCGAGCCACCTCCGCCTTGACCAGCTCGTCGAGCGTCACGTCCCGCACGCCGGCGTTGATCACGTCCGAGCGGCCCAGGCGCAGCACGTTGATCTTGCGCGTCACGCCCGTCGACTCCTTGATGCCCGCCTTGAGACGGAGCACCAGCTCGTCCACGGCGGCGTTGCTGGGCGCGCACACCAGAAGCTTCTTGATCGTGCTGTCGTTGTTGGCAGCTGCGTTGCCTGGTCGGTTCATGGCCACGGCGCCCGCATTGTTCTTGATGGTGCCCGTCAGCAGCGCGCCGACCATGGCCACAATCGTCTTGGTCTTGCCCGTACCGGGCGGGCCCTGCACGAGCGTGAAGCCGTCGTTGGCCCTGCCGTGCATAATCGCCAGCGCTTGGCCCCGGTTGAGATCGTAGTTGCGCGCCAAGTCGTCGATGGCTGCGTCGCCAAAGCTCAGCATCGGCGACGGCGTCGCCTTGAGCACCTCGTCCATGAGGTCGTAGTACTGGAGACTCTCGAGAGCCGCAAACTCGCGCTCAATCGTCGTCATGTTGGTAATCTTGACAGCTTTCAGCTCGGCACCCGGCAGCAATATCGGCACTATCTGATTGCCACGGCTGTTGAGCCGGTACGTCACCTCGACCGTGTTGCGCTTGTACGCCGTCTTGTACACACGAGCCAGGCAGTGCGGCTCGGTCCGGCCCGTCAACGGGTTCTGCGCCTTGGACAGGAGCACAATGTCGCCCTCGCTCACCACCCTGTCGCCGTTTCCGTTTCCGTTTCCATGTCCGTTGCCATTCCCGCCCTCATTGTTCGGCGGCAGCGTCATGCCCGTGCTCACCTCCAGAAAATTGTCGACCGAGATGCGCGTAATGACCTTGATGCCAAACGCCTTGGACGTGCTCTCGTCCTTGGCCGTCACAAAGGACCGCCACGCTTCGTTGATCAGCAGCGGGAAGAAGGTGCGCTTGTACTCGGCCGGGGACGGGTATCCGTCCGCCACAGCCTCGCACTGGCCCGTGTTGGGCGGATCGTTGCCCTCGTAAAAGATGTCCCACTCGAGGATGGCCTGGTGCAGGCGGTCCATGTTGGGGATGATGCGGGCGCGCATGTCCTTGGCGGACCGCTGCAGCTTCTTCTTCTTGACGGGCTCGGGCTTTTGCAGCATGTTCTGGCGCTGCCGGCGCACCGCATCGTCCATCATCTGGTCGCTCTTCTTGCTCTGTTGGATAAGGGCCGCCATGCCGTCGTCGTCGCCGTCATCGTCGTCGGCGTCGTCCTCTTCTGAGTCGACCATGAGGTCGCTTTTGACGGACACGCGCAGAGCACGTGCCTTTGCCACGGCCTCGGCCTTGCTCTTGTCCATTTCGGCCTTCTCGCGCGCCCGTTTGTCGCGAATCGCTGCTCTGTTGGCCAGAAGAGCCGTCTGAGCTGTGTGGTCGGGTTTGGCCGCTGCCGTCGTCTTGAGCTTATCCAGCAACGCCCGGTGCTTGTTCAGTCCAGGGGTCAATTGCGACGCCGCATCTTTGCTAGTGAGCGACGAAGGAGGCACGGCCGGTGATGCGGATCGAGAGGCGGCCATTCCAGTGCCCGCGCGAGACCACGCTTCCAGGGAGGTCTGCTTTTTTTTGGCGGCATCAGCAGCGGTGCTCGACTTTGCGGCTCCCCAAGACACTATCTCGACGTCTTCATCGTCGTCATCGTCTGCCCCGTCGCCAATGGCACGCATTAGTTCGGCTCGTTGGGTGTTGTCCATGTTCGTATTGACCCGGAACTTGTTCTTAAGCTGTGCGTGAGGCGTATACGTGTTGCGGATGGCGTTGACAAACTTGTCCGGGAACTTCATGTTGTGCTCCTTGAGGCGGCTAAACAGCTTGACCAGGATTTGCACAATGATGCGCACGAGATACAGGTCACGCAGCTGGATCATCTCAAAGAGACCCATGGAGTACTTGCGGGGTGCGTCGAGGACCTCCTCCATGCACTTGTCCTTGTTGGACGAAGGCGTGGTCGCAGTTGTGGTCGTAGATGCTGTCGAGGTAAACGGAAGCGAAAAAGACGATGCAGGCACAGCGTTGCTGTCCACGTTGCTCGGACTGGCTCGGCCGCTGTTGTTGTTGCTGCCACTCCCGCCCAATGCAGACGCAATCAGACCATCCTGGGCCATGAGCTGCTCGGCAAACTCCATGACGTCGCGGCAATAGTTCTCCATGACCGACTTGTCAACATCCTCGCTCCAGGAACGGGCGCGCAAAAAGGAGTGGTCGACAAATTGCCACTCCATGGTCCACCAGCGCTTCACGGCCTGTCGCTCGTCGGGCGTCAGAGGTCGCGACCGCAGAAGACCATTCGATGTGTCGCACAGCCCACTCAGAATGTCTTTGCTACAGCGGAAGATGTGGCGCATGGGCTCAAAGGGAGACACCGCGGCCGATGCCTGCGCAGTGGGCTGCTGCTGTTGCTGAAGCCAGCGCAGCTGGTCGTCACCGCCAGTCAAGTAGCTGACGGAATCGGCAAATGAGGTCAAAAAGGCCACAGGATAGTCAGCAACCATCTTGGCAATGGCATCAGAGCGGCTGTCCTCGTCGACGAGAGTGCTGATCAGCTGCACACCGGCCTCGCGGATGGCATCCTCGGCATGAACGAGGGTCGCGGCGACAGCGTCCATCGCACGGCTCTGTGCGTCGGCACTCAGCAGCTGCTGCAAGTCCTTGCGGTTCAGAGCCTCGCTGACCCGGGCAACCGTGGCGGCAATGGCCTCGGCCGCGTGGTCGAGCTCGTCATTGAAGCGGCGCTTGGAGGCATCTTCGACAACCAGCTGGCGTTTCTTGGGGGCGAAGCGCTGGATGCCGCGCAAAGACAGTGTGGCTGCCAACATGACGCGGGCCAGATCAAGCCGCCCCGGCGCCAGAGCACCGCGAAAGCCGTCCCACAACTTGTTGGAACGGCGCTCGTTCTCGCCTGTTGGCACACGACCATTCTGCTGCAGGGCCATCCACTCGTCCTGGATCGCTCGAGTATCCAGGGCCAGAGCAGACTCGACAACGCCGACCGCGGCCTGGGACAGGCCAATGTTATAGCGATCGCCAGGATGCAGGTTAGCCGAGCGGACGACGTAGTCATGGTGCTTCACGGTGTTGTTGATGACGGTGTTGACAAAGAGGGCACTCTCGGCCGTCAGGCGATAGCGGGAGTCGAGATAGCCGTCGAGTGTCATCTGCAGGGCATTCAATCCAGCAGCAATGCAGGTGGAGTGGCCCTCGCGCGTAGCGGTGACAGCAGGAGAGGCCGTGCTTGTCAGAAAAATAGTAAGGAAATAATCGCACACGTCTGCCCGCTGGTTGCGGTTCAGCGAACGCATCAAGGACTGCACAAACGCGACGAGCAGCGGCAGACGCAAGCGGGTGACAGTGCCGCTGTCGTCGGGAACGAGCTGCATAGCCGGCTCAAAGGAGCGGGCCAGGAAAGGTGCAAACGCTGGGCTCGCAAACACAAACATGGGCAGCTGCGGGGGGTTCATGAGAGAGAGGGCGTCCCAGAAGGCCGTGGACGACTTGTCCATGAGGGCACAGAGGGCACGCAGGACCCGGGCCAAGACCTGAGGCGAGGCGCGCTCAGAAATGTGCTTGACAGTCAGCTGGTAGACGTCAATGGGTATTTGCATGCCGCGCAGGCTGTGCAGCACCAGGTCTGGGCTCATGGCGTCGAGCAGCAGCAAAAAGCCGTCCCAAAACAGCTCCACATCTGCATCGGCGGCATCCGGCCGGCTGACGGCCTCAATGGCATCGGCCAGGTGGTCGCTGACGGCCCAATCGAACTGCTCGGGTGTCAGCGACTGCGGCGGCCGGCGCTCCCAGGCCGTGCGGGCGAATGTGCAACGCAGCGGATCGGCCTGGAACAGGAAGACGGTCATTGTGGGGATAACCGCAGAGGCAATCTTGAGCGGCTTCTTCTCCTGGGTTTTCTGGAAAACGTAGTTGAAGAGCTTGCGGTTGTCGGGCAGGCTGAGAAACTCCACGCAGCACAGGGCCTCGTAAAACGCAAGCACAGCCGGAGCATCTAGGGCAACTAACTTGGCCGACGACATGGGCCCGTGCTTCTCCAGCAGATCCACGGCTCGTCGCAGGCCGCGTGTAATGCGGTCGGTATCGTAGGCATGTAAGCGACGCTCCATGATATCGGCTGTCTCCTCGTCGAATTCTTTCAACAGGCGGTCCTTGAGGGCCTTCCGCCCCATGTGCCAGGCCCGCACGCAGCCATCACACTTGACGAGGAAAGTCTCAGTTCGTCTGATCCAGTCGCCCAGCCAACGGTCGGCCTGATCGCGGTTGATACCCAGGATGAGTGATGCCCAGGACGTCAGCTGCAAGCGGCGGCGGCCCTCGTCGAGGCGGTCCTGGCGGGCAAGCTTCTCCTCGGGTGTCAGAGCGGCCCCGCCGGCGGTCGGGTCGTCGTAGTCCTCTTGGTCGTCGTCACTTGTGCGTGGGCAGAAGAGGTGGACGTCTGCCGGGATGCGCTCGAGCTCCTGGTGGGAGACAATAATCTCCTCGTAGACCTCCCCCGGCGTCTTCATGGCGGATCGGACGGGTGAGGAGGTGGGTGGGTATCGGTAGGTTTGTGACCCTCGGGACCAAGACAGCGCATTGGTCGACACGTCAGGACGAGCAGGGTGCGAGGTTCACCTTCGGGTCAGGTTCAGGGCAGAGACGTTGCTGCCGCCCGATGGGCACATATTCGGCGAGACGCTGTATCTCGAGATGCGAGGCAGTTGGCAGAACGACGGATAGGGTTGACGAGGGCTTGTTGTCGCAAGGTTTGAGAAGGAATGCCGGATGGTCTCGAGACCAGGCAGAGGAGGGACAGGAGGGAGAGGATGGAGAGGATGGAGAGGATGGAGAGAAGGTCGGTTTTTATTGGGCGGTAGGATGGCAGGTAGGAAATATGGTGCTGTGCTGAAAAGCGAGCTTTCAGCTAACCAAGCTCGTAAATATCGTGCAGATTGAGCCTATGTGTGTATGGCTCGTCAGAAACGTCTGTAGCTGCAATGGAATGTTGTAGGCAAGTGATGTCGTTGATGTTTTTGACACCCAGAGAGGTGGGTAATTTTGGTGATGTTTCTTTTTGGCCTTTTAACGCACGCGTGGAGCACTTTGGTGATTCACGTATCAGGGCGTGTATTTTGGCGTTCGGTTCCCGACCCACTGGGCGTTGTTAAGTGAATACGTCGGGAAGGAGGTTGTCAACGTTAGTGGGCTGCTCCTGCATTTCGTGTCAACTGTTCATACCGGACCCACAGCTGAGTCGAGCCTGCCGCAAACGACCAGCCGCGCAGGGGGTGGTCCCAAGAAAGGCAACTGCTAACTTGGGGGCGCTTCTGGTGACCGTAATGGGAAGGCCCCTTTGTTGGCAAGAGAGCAACACCCTTGAGCTCTCGCATCGAATGCCAGCTGTTCGGATATCCCAGATTCAACGACCAACAATCTCAGAGCACAGAAATCCACACGGCTTTCTCTCTTTCTCTCTTTCCTTTCTTCCTAGTCCGCTCAATTTGCACGCGTCAGGAACCGCATAGAGCCTGTCGTTCTGCCCGACAATGCATCGGTAAAACACAGGACGAAACAACGACGCGGCGAAGCAGCAAAAACACAACAAACGAGGCAGCGGCCTCGTGACTACGCTCTTTGAATCTTGGCGCGGCGCTCTTCGAAAGCATCGATTGCCCTCCCTGCGACGTGCGGGCGTGTACTTCAATGGCCAAGGCCAAGTCGCCAAGGAGCAGCGGTGGTGGTGTTGGTCATGGAAACGACGGTTTCAGCAGCAATAGTGGGAACGCGGCGGCTGCAGCAGCAGCAACAGGCGGCGAGAACGTTGGCCTGTTGGCGCTGGGCGACAGGCACGAAGACGGCGACAATGGCAGCGACGGCGACGACGACATCTTTGGCGACCAGCACGACGATTTCAAGGCACCTCCAGAAGATGGCCGACCCACACCCACCCGCACAGCCTCTGGCACCCGATTGCCGCCAAACCTTGTCCCGTCCTCGGCCGACAGCTCCAGCTCGCTCCGGACGCCCCGGACGCCAAACCGGGTCCGGTTCGACCTGCGTCCGGTCGCGAATGGCGGCACGGCGCCACATGGCAACTACTCGGACGACGACGACGACGATGACGACATGGACCACTTTGACCTCGACAACGCCCCCGAAAACGTCGACCGCCAGCACCGACTACCGCTGCTGACAGACATCGAGGCGCCCTCCGTCACGCTCGCGCGGTCGGGCGAGATCGATACCCAGGTGGACGTGGAGGAGTGGGCGGAGCGCGAGCGAAGCCGGCCCAAGTCCGGGCTGAGCAGCGCGTTCATGAACATGGCCAACAGCATCATTGGCGCGGGCATCATCGGGCAGCCGTACGCGATGAAGCAGGCCGGGCTCGTGGCCGGCACTGTGCTGCTGGTCGTGCTGACGGTGCTGGTCGACTGGACGATCCGACTGATTGTGGTCAACAGCAAGCTGAGCGGCGCGAGCAGCTTCCAGGGCACCGTGGAGCACTGCTTTGGGCGGGCCGGCCTGATCGCCATCAGCCTGGCGCAGTGGGTGTTTGCGTTTGGCGGCATGGTGGCCTTTGGCGTCATCGTCGGCGACAGCATACCGCACGTGCTGACCGCCGTGTGGCCCAGCCTGCCCGAGGTTCCGGTGCTCGGCTTGCTGACGGACCGGCGCGTGGTGATTGTGGTGTTTACGCTGTCGGTGTCGTACCCCCTGACGCTGTACCGGGACATCGCGAAGCTGGCCAAGGCGAGCACGTTTGCTCTCGTGAGCATGATTGTCATCATCGTCACAGTCCTTGTTCAGGGTGCGATGGTGCCAAAGGCGGAGCGTGGATCGTTCAGCGGGCCCCTTCTGACTGTGAATGCGGGCATCTTCCAGGCCATCGGCGTCATTTCATTTGGTAGGGCTGCACACCGTCGCCGCCATTGTAATGTGTTGTCATTTTTGTCTCCATACGGAATGAGTGCTAACCATCTCTACAGCCTTTGTCTGCCATCACAACTCCCTCCTCATCTACGGCTCGCTCAAGACGCCCACAATCGACCGCTTCTCGCGCGTCACGCATATTTCGACCGCCGTGTCCATGGTCGCCTGCATGCTCATGGCCTTTGCCGGCTTCCTCACTTTTGGTGACAAGACGCTCGGCAACGTGCTCAACAACTTCCCCGCCGACAACACCATGGTCAACGTGGCGCGCCTCTGCTTCGGCCTCAACATGCTGACCACGCTGCCGCTCGAGGCCTTTGTGTGCCGCGAGGTCATGTTCAACTACTACTTCCCCAACGAGCCGTTCAACATGCACCTGCACCTCATCTTCAGCACCAGTCTCGTCGTGAGCGCCATGGTATTGAGCCTCATCACCTGTGACCTTGGCGCCATCTTCGAGCTCGTCGGCGCCACGAGCGCCTGTGCCATGGCGTACATCCTGCCGCCGCTCTGCTACATCAAGCTGACGACACGCAGCTGGCGCACCTATGTGGCCATGGGCACCGTGGTGTTTGGGTGCATAGTTATGGGCATCAGTCTGCTGCAGGCGGTGGGCAAGTTGATTAGCGGCGAGGGCGGCACTGCGCAGTGCAGATGAAAACGAAGCGATGCACCAGAGAAAGCCGGCGTTTCCTGACCATGCTGTGGTTTTTCCTTTCGTCCTTTTGCCTTTTCTGTGTCGGCTATTCTAGGCTTTGCCGACTCAAGTTCCCATGCTATTTCTTATGTCTCTATAGAAGGTGTTTTGTTTTTTTGTTTACTTATATGACGAGAGGAGGCTTTGAGCCTGGAAGGCCAGTCACGACAGCATGCCGTCTGTCTCCCTCTACAGCATTTTCTTTTTCTTCTTTGGTACATCATAATATGTCACATTTTTGGGCCACCCTTCATTGCCATCTTGACCTTCATCACCCTCTGCTGTGTCATCGTAGCACAGGCAGCTTCAAGAGTCCGCTATCGACTTACTGCATCATCTCGCATGGTGAGCTGGCGTTATCCGCGGGACGACACATTTTAAGACCAGTCATCATTATCCAGTACATTGTACAACGACTTACAGTTGCTGTCTTGGCCGCACTGTGTTATCAGTCCACCACCACGTCGTTCCTCCTCATGACTTTCTCATTCCCGGCTCCACTCCTCCTGAACACCGCCAAAGGCCCCGCCCCCAAAACACACTATCGCCCTGTTTCTTATTCCGTTTGTCTTGTCCCATGACACTCGAAGGCATCCCGCGCCAGGCCAAGCCTCATAGGAATGCGCCGCCATAGTCGACGTAAAAAGAACTCTGGGGGTGGTCAACCGACCAATGCCGTCACTCTGATTTTGCCGAGTAAATATAGTGCTTTTGACAAGCTTACGGGTCTATTTACTAGCAACATCACCTCCCTAGGGCGACACATTCATAGCAAGTAGAAGAGGAAAAAAGAGCATACCAGACTTTCAATGCCCGCCTGACGCTGCAAGGCCCCCACACTTTTGAAGAGTAGTCAAGCCGAGCTCCGACTGTGAGTTCATAGTCTTCCCCGAAGCATTCGTCAGACAACCAGAAAAAGTCGAAGAGGAGGGGCCGCAGGTGCATATTTGTATGCGTTGTCACGATGTAGTCTCCACGAGAGGGAAAGGAGACGCCTGTACCCGGAAGACAGGCAAGAGGAAAGTACGACCTGCAGAAGATGAAAATAGCACGTGGTCGTCATGAAAAAAAAAAAAAAAAAAAAAAAAAAAAAAAAAGAAAGAACAGCTGACAGCTCTGGGGGAAGGAAGGCGGAGGGCAGAGAACGGAATAGAAGGTAGTATCAGGAAGATCAAGGAAGGTATGCACGTCTGCCCTGTAATAATGCCCACTATCATGTGTTGCTCCTTCCTCACCCCGCGTGGCGCCCCGTGCGATTTATGCAACCACGCTGCCACTATAAAAAGCGTACGAGCAGCAGAAGCCGAAAGCTTCCCCTCTTTTCCATCGTCCCTCTCTCTCCTTCACTTCTTGCTTCACACATCAAACAGCAACCAACTTTCTCATCCACTGCAATACAAAATACAACGTTTTCCAACCAAAACCAACAAACACCCCTCGCTCATCAAAATGCACGGCAAGGATTGTCCCAAGTGCGGCACCGCCATCGCCGACGGCACCAAGACCTGCAGCTCGTGCAGCGCCGTATGTCATCCTATGGGACGTGCTTTTACGTCGGCATACAACTGCTAACAACCCCAACTTTGTGTATTTCAGACGTGCCCCGTGTAGACTATGCTGCGGTAGTACGCACAAGCATGCGCGCAAAGCATGGTGACGACGGTGGCGATGACGATGCGATGAAGATGACGATGCGATGAAGATGACGATGACGATGACGATGCGATGACGAAGGAATGAGCAACAACTGCAGGGCAAACGCGAGGGGGCATAGCCGATAAGAGGAGAAACGAGGTAGCCGGGTAGGATGCTGTATTCGAGAGGCGAGAGGAGCTGACGAATTCGGGCGTTGCTTCCTATACTATTCTGTACAAAATACAATATGCTCCTCCGACCTGGGCGCCGCTATGAATCTCTTGCCCGTTCTCCCTACAGTAGTGTCCTGCATGTGCTGACAACGACGATAACGGCTGCTGCCTATCACTGTGTCCTCATTCAGTACGTTGTCTATCTTGCTGCATCGTCCTGCGTAGGACAGTCGTGCAGTGGGCTCTACGTAGAACTCCTTGCAGGATCGGGAAACAAAGTACGGAAAGCAACACACACACACACGCAAAAAAAAGAAGAAAAAGGCCAGAGGCAAACCAAGACTTCGTGGCCTCTTATCCAATAATGGCTGCCTATACTCTGTATGGCCGTAGACTCTACATCTCTCTAGCTGACCTACTTAGAATCGACGTGACTGCTTCGCATTCTCCTTGTGTCCGATGTCATCACAAGCATGGCTTTCGTCACAAGAAGCTTCGACCATAGCGGCAAGCAAGATAAAAGCAAAAGGTAAGGGAAAAAAATTAAAATAAAAAAGAGAAGGCAAGCAAAGAGGAACTAGGTTAACTAAAAATAGAAAAAGAAATTCGCAAATGTTTGTCGCCCCTCCAGCTTCGGTATCAAGGGAAATAAAAAAAGAGGGGAATAGGGGGGAGACAGAACGAGAAGGGAGAACAGCAGACGCAAGAAGCAGAGGTTTCACACTCTTCCCAGGCGGCTCCACCAAGTTCCCTCACTCTTGTCGCAAGTCCTGCGCCCGCTATGTTCCGAGTTGTTTGTTGTAATATGTTTTGTGTTTTGCTGTTCAGTGTTTCAGAGAGACCCAATCGATATATGACACGCCAGACCGAAAGGTTTCGGTACACAGGCCAGTCGTGGCAAGTAGCAACGGCACGAAAATAGAACCAAAAACTCCCAGCCAAATCAGCCAAATCATTACATCAGGCCGCAAGTGCCGTACCAATCCCGCCAATGTTCGTCAAACGAAAGCATGCCCAGGCTCGGCCCCGCGGCGACAGCCCACGGCTCTCGAACAGAACGGCGGACAGAAAAAAGAAAGTGACGAAAAGGAGGAAAACCTGAAAGGAAAACGGTTGAGATGTGCAAAAGAGAAATGGATTACAAAATGGGGTTGGTCGCAAAGAGCAAGAGACAATAGAGACAGGAGAGATACAGAGTATTGAGAAACAGCCAGAAGATTGAAGTGCAAGAGAGCCGTCGCGCGCACGTGGTCAGCCAAAAATGGGGATGCAAGGCTGGCTGTGGGCTAGAAAGTTGTCCTGGATGGTGTCGTAGGATCTTGATTGGCGCTGTCTTGTTCCTTTACAGAACCGTGCACTTGCTCTTCTTGCTCCCTCTCTTGCCGCTGCGCGAGAGCAGAGCAGCGCGGGTAGCATGCTCAAAGACCTCGCGAACGCCCTCGTTGGTCTTGGCAGAGCACTCGAGGTACTTGTAGGCACCAATCTTCTTGCGGATGTCCTCACCCTCCTCCGGCGAGACGGGCTTTTGGCTCGTCTTGCGCAGCTCCTCGATGGTCTTGGGGTCGTAGCGGAGATCCTTCTTGCAGCCAACCAGAATGATGGGCAGACCCTGGCAGAAGTGCAGAACCTCGGAGATCCACTATGGCGAAGGGAAAGGTGCAGTTAGTATCAACCGTGTCGGTACCAACGGAACTATATGAGTGGTGAGTGGTAGCGTACCTTCTCCTGGACGTTGTCGAGCGAGTCAGGCGAGTCGACAGCGAAGCAGATCAGAATGACGTGCGAGTCGGGGTAGGACAGAGGGCGCAACCGGTCGTAGTCCTCCTGGCCAGCCGTATCCCACAGGGCCAGCTCGACGTGCTTGCCATCGACCTCAACATCCGCAACATAGTTCTCGAAGACGGTGGGAACGTAGACCTAAGGATACAGGAAGCTGGATTAGCAGGGCGCACGAGGAAACGAAAATACGACACAAAAACCAGCAACGCGAATGTCGTCCAATTTCGCCTGTCGGTGGCGAGCGCTATTCAGACACAAAATGCGGGCACAATGGCAGCAGCTGCTGCTGCTGCTGAAAAGAGGGCCGGGAAGCATTGATGCCGTTTGGTTGGTCCAGAGCCTCAAAATACCGGGGACGAGAGCGAGAGCGAATCATAGTCACACAATACGGTCCGAATGTGCAGAGGGGATAAGGCTGCAAGTAGAAGCGAACCAATTTCCCGCCATCAGGTGAATTTGGCAGCCAGTGTGCCTGATGGTTGGGATGTCTCCAATGCCCGATTCCCGTTTTCCCTTTTCAGTGTTTCCATTCCTTTTTGGTGTGGTCGAATGACACAAAAACAAGCTCTCAGCAGCCGCTGTTGTTCGTGCCATCGCGCTCTCACAATCGGTCGGGGCCTATGAAGTTCTTTGATGCCGCAGCCTCGAAGCCCAGGTCAGAAGGAGATCGTTGCCCCTGAATCGGATTCCGCCCCACTCGAGTCGTTGACGGGATTCGAAAGAAAAAGTAATACAAAAGCGCTCGCCACCTAGTGTTGCCTGGTGACATCCGAGGCTGGTTGATGAATGGAAGCGTGTTATCTTACCTCAGGGAAAGTGCCCTTGGAGAAAACACTGGAATGGACGTTAGCATGGAATGGTCGGTGACGATAAAGGGTGGTAAGCAATGGCCATTCCGACAATGTGAGGATAACTGCAACGGGGAGGTTCGGGTTCGATCCCCATCGCTCCCGCACGAGGATGCAGGAGGCCGACGCAAACACATTTTGCCGGGCGCCCAGCTATACTCCCAGTTGCCACCCCAAACAGCGCACAAGGGAGACGGGGGAAGAGAAAATGAAGCGATCGGGAAACAGAATTGGGACAGGAAGAGGAGAGGTGTGGAAACGTACATCAACAAACAAGTCTTGCCGCAGGCACCGTCGCCGACGATGACGAGCTTCCGGCGGATCTCAGCCATTGTGAATTCTTTGTGGTCGGGGTGGTGGGAGTTGGGAGTTGTGGGTTGGAGCGGTCGAGCAGAGTCGGCGAGATCAACGATGCAAGCAGGGCGGACGTCGGCGAGACGAGACGACGAAATGCGAGCAGCCAAAAGGGGGTGGAGGAGAAGAGAGAAAGGGGAGGAAGTGGCAAGGTCGAAAGAAAGGGGAATGAGAAAAGAGATGGAAGATGGATACTGCGAAAAGGGGGATGATGGTAAATGACGAATGGGTGTTTAGCAGCACGATGACACTGGCCGAGAAAGAGAGAGAGCACCTGTTGTGATGTATGGAGAAGAAGAGAAGGGGGGGTTGGAAAATGTTGGTGGATGGATGGAATGGGGTTTGTGGTTGTTATTATGAGAGAAAAGAGGAGGGAGGGCCAGAGAGGGCAAGTACGAACAGGGCGCGGAAAGGGGAATGGCAGGGCGGAGCAAAGGGCAGGAGGCAGGCAAGCAGGCAAGCAGGCAAGTAGGCAAGCAGGGGAAAGTGGAGGTTGGAGCAGGAGGTAGAAAAAGGCGGGCAATTATGCATTTGACGGGGCGGTCTGGTTCACTTTGGATCGCTGCAGGTGGCTGTCTGTTTGTCCCCTGGAACTAGTGGAAGGCACTGAAGAGAACGACCTGCGACAGGGCAGGCGCGACCGAAAGACTCGGGGCGCCAGCGGGCAGACAGGCGACACAACAGACGACAGGCGGCGAAACAGCAAGGCAGAACCGTAGCGAGCACGCCTGGCCGTTTCAGTGGAAATAACTGGCTTGCTTGGCCCAGCACTTTTGCATGAAACAGAGCCACACCATGGCAGACGAATGGATCTAATGGCGGACGACCTGGGCTTGTGTTTCGTTTCCAGTTCGTTTCCTCTGATTTACGAGCTAAGACTTAGTGGCGAGGTTTGCAGGGGTCGCCAGCAGGCCAGGTCCAGCAGCCCCTGGAAAAGGCCCCTAAATCGTCCCAAAAGACCCTAACTAGATAGCTGCAACCCCAAAGCCGTCGAGGACCTAGTAAATGCAGCCTGTTCCGACAAATACGGCACATGGAAGGGGCCGCCGAGTCGTGAGGCGACTGCTCCTTCCATTCCAGCCCTTGCGCACTGGTTGCCTAAGCGGTGAATTGCAAGGAAGGGAAGGTAAGATACGAAATAATTGGCGAGGTTCACATGAGAAAAGAAGGCGCCATTCAGCCTACAGGACTCCTGTTTACAGGGCAACTGCGCAATAGGACAGAAGTCGGTCCTACAATTTGCTGATATCTGGCTTGTCTCACCCACTGCATTCTGCTTTGCTTTTGCTCGGTGACCGTTGGTGGTTCTGTTCGTCCTGTTCTTTGTTGTCTGCGGAGTAAGATTATGTTTGTGTGTTCTGGCTTGCATTTTTCAGGGGGACGGACTGCGAGGCCTGGGGCATAAGCTTGTGCAGGTCCGCCGCCACGCAACGGCTGAGAATGCTAGATGCATATAGGCGATCAGTCAATGTATATGCATCTAAAGCAAAGCCTCCACTTTAAACTAAGACAGTTGGCCGAGAAAGAACAGACGAGTGCACGGGCGAACACGAATGAAAAAAGGGGAAAATGGCGATGGAAGACGACAAAAGTATGACATACGCCGTCGCGCTCTCCTGATTACGACTGCTTTGCTCCCGAGCGACGGACCGTGGAGCTGTTGTCCACTAAAAAACCTAAAAATAGGGAAGATGGGCTTCATCGAAAAGGCATTCTAGTCCACAAGCGGCCAAGCCCCTGGGCAAAAGACGTGGAAACTTGGGAGACCAGCGTGGACGACGTGAAGAATTCGGAGGCACAGAAAGAGAGACAGTGTGTGTGAGAATGTGAAAAGGGAGCCGGCGTTGCATTGATGACAGAGTCACCGCCCGGCCGGGCCCCGACGGCGTTCAGCGATTCTAGCGGTCTGCGAGTTTCCTTACCAGGCTGGAGCAAGCAAAAGTGCAACCGGCCGCGTCGCTGCAGCAGCAGGAATCGCGGTGTGTGCCCGTTCATCAACATCTGACACCAACATGCACAGACGATACAGATAAAGACGGAAGATCGTTTCGTCGCATTTCGCACAAACGACGGCAGAAAGCAGTCGCAGGGCTACTCAGCACCAGAGTCCAGGGTCTAGGCCCGGCCGTGGGGGACAGGCTGCAGCTGTGTCTGTTGCAGTGCCAGAGAAAAAAAGCAATGGTGGTGAACAAACGGTGTGCACAGTCAAACTCGCATACATGCATACAGCACAAATGTCAGGGCGGCTCTTTCCATGGGGAGTCCTACCAGCGACGGCAGGTAGGACTTTTTAGTGGAGCCACTGCCCAACTCAACTGTAGCACTTCGTACGCGTCTCTGGGCGTCTCACTATCTGTGATGGCGATGTGATGGCCCGGAATGAACTGACGTAGCTTCTTGGCGTGGACATGTACTTCTCGTTTCTCGGATTGACAGTTTCCGCCTTGAACCGAGAAAGCCGCACAGCTGCAACGTTTCTGTGTGTCTTGGCAAGGCAATCCAGCACGTGCGCAGATATGTGAGGAAGGAGCGAATCCAAATACACGCATACATGCATATTGAGACGCATGCATACATGCATGTATCAGACAATTACAGGCCCAGTGCGTAGCCAATTCCATCGCCTGCCACGTCCAACATCGACACAGCTACAAAAATTGTCATTCACGGGCGTATCTGCGGCGTCATGTCGCTTGGCATGGATACGAAAGAGGCCGCCTTTGTAAATGCCCTGTTTTGATACACGGCGGAGCTCGGTTTCCAGACTTGGTATGGTCACGTGTGAGCTACCATGCCGGCGACGACCCACCCGCGCCTTCCAATCGGCCAATCGAATCCGGCGCAGGAAGAAAGTACGCTCCGAGAAAAAAATCACCATATTCCAACATTGCGCGACCCAACAGCTTCACCCGCATTGGCTCCCGAGAAAAGGCTTGCCAGGCACGCACCGCTGCACGCCCCAATTGACGACTCTGCTGTGCACGGGGGAAAGCGTGCACTGAAGCCACCGACGACGATCTAAAGCGACAGTCTTTTTCTCTACCCCCCCCCCGGGACTCGACGGGTCCCCACAACCAATCTTATTGTTACCTCTCTCTCTCTCTCCCGTCTCCGCACGACCGCCACGATGTTGAAGATTGCACGCCGCACGGCACAGGCGGAGAAGCAGGCGGCGCGGCGCCAAAAGGTGCGGGAGCGGGCGCTCGATGCCATCCACAGCGACCGCGTGCGGTCGGTCCGTAACCTACTCAACGAGGAGATCCAGCTGCAGGCGCGGCAGGCACGGCGAGCGCGCCGCGAGACGTGGACCATGGGGCCGCTGGCCCCGCAGCGCAACCACGCGGGAGCCACGGCGGACGAGGCGCGGCGCGGCCGGAGCAGCCACACGAACCGGTTTGGCGGCGAGCTGTTTGCCGAGGAGAACCTGCCGCACTGGGGCACGCTGAGCATACGGCGTCTGCGCAACGAGAACACGAGCACGATTACGCCGCGGGAGGCCAATGCGCGGTGTGCGTGGGCGGGGTCGGCCAAGACGCTGTGTCTGGCCGTGGGCGACCGCTGCGTGGTGGTGGAGGGCCCCTTCAAGGGCGCCATTGGCCCCATCAAGGACATCCGGGCCGAGCAGGGCACCCTGACGCTCGAGGGCGTGGCGCGGACCAACATTACGGTTCCGTCGTCGCTCGTCACCGAGGCCGAGCAGTCCGTGCACCAGATCGAGTCGGCGATCCCCATCGACGCCGTGCGTCTCGTGCACCCGCTGACCGACCCGGCCACGGGCAAGACGCGCGACGTCATTGTCCGTGAGCTCAGGCCCGTGGGCTTCTACCGGGACCGCCCGACGCACCGCTCGGGCTTCTCGCGTATCGTGCCCGGCCTCAACGTGCGCATCCCGTGGCCGCGCACGGCGCCGGCCGAGCACGAGGACCAGGACGGCGACACGCTGCGGATCTATGCGGAGCAAGTCACGTTTGTGCCGACGCTGCTGCGGCCGCCGGCGCCGGAGACGGTGCTGGACGAGCTGCGCAACAGGTACTCGCGGTTCCGCACGCGGCACACGCCCGAGTACGTTGCGGCCAAGGAGGCCGAGGAGGCGGCCAGGCAGGAGGCCAAGAAGTACGGCCCCGCGCTGGTCAAGGGCAAGCAGCCTGGTCTGTCGCCGCCGGGCATGCGGACGCCGCTCGAGGAATTCCACATCCAGCAGAAGGCGCTGCGCCGGGCGCGCGGCCAGCCGGAGCTGTCGGACGACATGCTGGAGCAGATTGGCCGTCTGATGGCGCAGAGCAAGATCACGGCGCTGAACAATGCGGGCATGAGCGAGGTGCCGCCATCAGATGCACAGTCGACGACACAAGCACCGCAGCCATGATCGCAGCCGGCGGCCATGCGGACATTGGCATGACTGGCAACCCTCTTGCGACCTCCGACCATCTTGAGAGACTGGACATAGTCTCGTTTCTTTCATCGTTCGACCTCCACGTGTCACCCTCATTGCCCTCCCCTCCTCCCCCATCCCTTCTATTTTTATTGTATTTTATTTCCAAGCGACGACCGGACGGAGAAATGAGGCGAAGCAGCATCATCTTCATCTAAAATCACCTGTACAAATCATCACATAGGAGCAAAAGATGAGATATTTTGTAAGATATCCCTTACACTAGAAGAAACTAAAATCAAAAAATCAAATGAAAGAAAAAGCATACGCTATAAACACCCACTCTATTCTTGATTCTCGAGGTGTGCGATGCAATGTCTGTCCAACGTGATATTTCGTATCAGATGGGGCACGCAGGTCCTATGCTCTGACGCCAAGCAAAAATAGAGAGAAGCGTAGATGGCGATGGGGAGCCCTAAGCGAGATCAAGACGTAAAAGCAATACTGCAGTGGGCGCCCGGTAACGGCCGCGCCTCCTGCGCGTCGAATTGTTGTGCCTGAAGGATTGCTGAATTCCTCGCCGCACTTTATCTTCCTCGACTCGGAAAGGAAGCGTCTCACGGAGTCGTCGTCATCGTCTTTATTTCGCAATCGTTTATTTTTGTTTTCACCATTACAGACATGCATCATAAAAAAATCAAAGGGCGTTCGCCGGGCTCGGTTCTGGCGGTTCGATATTAAAACCCACCCAAGGACAAGAGAGGCACAGGCACAGACACAACGTAGACACGGACTTCAAACGTCCACCGAGAGAGAATAGCAAGCCACACTTTTGTCGTAGACGTAGATGAACTTCACTACCTCTGGTCAACGATGGGACTGCGGTCCAGCGAGAGTGTCTCCGTTTTGGCGGATCCCAGCCACAGGCAAGTCGAGAAAGCGGGAGACGCGGGAGACGCAGGAGACGCGTATGTGTGAACGACGATGGAATGCCAATATAGAAGCACGTCAAGATGGGGCTTTGAGGCTTTGAGGATTTGATTTTCGGTGTTGGAAAGAGGCCAAGACAGGGGACTGGCATCTCCGAGCCTCTTTGTATCGTACCTCGTGTCTCGTGTTCAGTGTTCAATGGGACATTCGAAGCAAGTCTCGAGGACGTAAGATGATGAAAGCAGGGGTGTCGTGGAAGAGCCAATATAGAGCAAATTGTGCTATTTTCTTTTTTTTTTTTTTTTTTTTTTTTTTTTTTGGGGAAACTCAAAATGAGACGAGAAGAAACGTCAATTCATGTGGAATCGACGCGGCGAGTCAATTCGAGTCCGCGTCGGTCCCGGACCACGCAGGGCAACATTGGTTTTATGTTCTTGTTTGTATATCCTTTAAAAAAATAGAAAAAAAGAAAAAAAGAAAAAAAACGGCGAACTGGCAACCTCTGCTCGTATGTGCAGTTACGTGGCGAATGGTCGCAAGACGTTGACCTAAGGTTGGTTTACAGATGCCAATGTTTCACAACTTTGCTGCCGTGATTTTCAATTCGTCATTTGTCTCCCGCCTCGATCCGCCAAGCCAAATACAAGGAAAAGAAAAGAAATCGGATCACGAATCACGAAACACGAATCACGGATCGCAACGTCCCTCGCCTACCACAAACGATAGCCTTGTCTCTGGTGCCTGGAAGAGTGGTGTTACAAAAATAAGGTCATCCTGCTGCACCAGCACAAGATCTCTACCGATCGACTCAGGCACAACGGTCGTGCTCAATCCCACAGACTGGCCTTTTCCTGTAGGGCTGGCGAGCAGTCCAGAACGTCCAAAGGCAAAGTCAAATGCTCCAATTAGTAGCCATGGAGAGACTTGAGCACAAAAGGAACAAAACGATAGAATTGGGGAGACCGGGAGCTGGGGGGGGAGGACTCGTCGGAACAGCGCCAGGACACAGCCCTGCTTTTCTCCTCTTTTATTTCCCGGAAATCTTTGTCGATCCTTCGGAGTTCGTGGCCACCATGTTGATGTACTTTGGGGCTTTACTCGTCTTTCGTTTCTCGCTTTCTCGGCAGCGGGAGAATAAATTGACTTCGCCTTTGCCCAGAGCTTATCCTGAATCCTTGCAGATATTCATCCAGATGGGCCGGCCGACAACCTGGTCACCTCGCCGTGGGAAAAGAAGAGCTTGGGGGCCAAAGATGCGGTTGTTTAATAACGACAGAATAGAGCACTTATTTTTAATTCTTTGTTTTATTTTCAGAAATCTGTGCTCCTGCTCCTGCAGCGTCTGTTGGCAACGCGTGGCTGTGATGATGCCGTCTCATAAAATAAAAAACGGATGCACACAATCACATGCACGACACCGCCACGCTTTTGATTCATCTGTACGCCCCAAGAACAATAGACACCGGGCCCTGGTACCAACTGTCCCGTATCTCGTCTCATCTTCTCGTGGGATGTTTTGTTTCTCGAGTTTTATGTAAGACACGTCATCAACGGCTTGGATGGAACGCAAATCGTCGTCCTCAGGACTCGCAACCATCTTCTCCTTGCAAAGGATGCTTCTCATGTGAACTATGTAAACAAATCTCATCATCAGTAGATCACTGTAGAATCACAGAACCACGAGATAAATACAGGGGAAAAAATATCCCGTCCGCTACAAGATAACGCGATATCTCGCAGTCCATCGGGAACCATGTATGGTTATGTCTTGGGACTCTGTCTATCTGTCGGAAAGCCACTGTAGCCGACGAATGGATGGATGAACGAAACACAACGTCCCCCAAAGGCCATTTCACGACATTTCACGAGTTCTTTTCGCACGCCTCCTTCAGCTGTAAGAACCATCGCTCCTTTCTTTGTAGCCCCTCGGCGAGTGTGAGCAGAACTTGTATATTGACTGCCACACAAAGCCCGCATCGCCACAACGATGGATGAGAGACTGTGATGGCCGTCCCGGAGAGGTGCCCCCCTTTTATTTATTTTTATTTCCGGTAGGATCGGCCAAGGGCCGCATCCATGACAATCATGAAAAAGACATCCAGAAAGGGAGACCGAAGACCTGCAAGACAGACATCCCGACTCCGGACTCTTGATAAGCCAACTCCGACGGGCAGACGTTGGAAAAGACACTACGCTTACACGTCCGCAGACATCCTCCATCCTCGACTTCTTTCTGTGATAGACGCAGACCTCATCCGAACATAAATAGAGCTCTTGTCCTCCCTCGAATCTCCTCATTTTTTCTTTTCTTCATCCACAACAACCAGCAAACCAAGCAACTCCCTTGACCATCTCTCAACTTCTTCACCACCCTTCTTTCTTTCTTCTTCTTCTTCAAAAAAAACACCCCTCCAACCACCTCCAAAATGCTTTTCAACGCTGCTGCCTCTACTCTCTTCCTGGCTGGCTCTGCCTTTGCCGCCGTCATCCAGCGGGACGTCCCCGCCGTCAATGAAACGGCCGATGCCATTGACTTTATCGTCGACGCGCCCCTGGCCGTGTCCTTGGGCCCGTTCCTGAGCCTCATCGAGACCATCGATGCGGTGCCCGACTCGGTTGTGGCCGCCGGCGACGACGCCGTCCACAACTGGCTCGCCCCCATTGGCGCCTCGGCCGTGGCGGCCATCCCCGCTCCCAATGCCGCGGTCGTGGTCCGCAGCACCGACGCCACCAATGCCGCCGATGCGGCAGACACGACGGCCGCCGTCCAGGCCGTCAACGGCCTCGTCAAGGACCTCGAGTGCGCCGCTGCCGTGGCGGCGGCCATTGCCGGCGACGTCCTGCCCGCGGCCAAGCTTCTCAAGGCCAAGAAGCTGGTCAAGGCCCTCGGCGGTGTCAAGAAGGTCGCGAAGCTCTTCCTGCACTTTAGCAGCAACCGCGACGAGGCCATCAAGGAGGCCGGCAAGACCCTCGTCGACCTTGTCGAGATCCTCCTGGGCATTGACAGCATCAAGAAGCACTGCAAGTAAATGATGGACGACGCGTCTCCTTTTTTGTATAGAGGAAGAGACAGAAACCGTTTCCCTTCCTATCATTGAGTACATCGTCATCACAACATCTTGCTTGGGGCCAGCACATGGTAAAGCTACGGCATCGCATCGTCATACAGAGTGCAGCAAATTTTGGTTCTGGAGGATATTTGTTTTGTCTGAGCGTGTCGTTCTTTCGTCTACTTCCCACATCTCTTCCCGCCTCTTTCCATCCTCTTTCCATCTTCTCCTTCTCCTTCTTTCTCTCTCTTCTTTTTCTTGTCTCCTTTTCTTTTCATTTTCCTATTACATCTCTGTTGATATACACACACATATCGATAGATCTCTCTATATCTGGCCGTGCACACACAAATACAATTTTGAATATTCAACCAAAGCTTGAGATTGCTTCCAGACTTCAGCTTGGCAGGGCCTAGCTTACAGGATGTGCATTCCTCCCGTTCCGATCCTGGAATGAGTGCTCCGTAAATACCCGTCGTGGGATGGTTGCTAAAGATAAGCACTTTATATTATCTCCGGTAGGCTGCTAAAGATAGAATAGAGAAAGAAATAAAAAGCAAGAGGATGAGCAGGCTGCATGGTCAGCAGTCAATACGGCCATCCCAGGGATATATAATATAAATGCAAACTTTGTATTGTACAGACAATAAGTAGAAAGATAAAAGGCCAGATAAAACATAAGCCACCAACGTAAAAACTATACAATAAACATAGGAAAATAAAATGGCGTCGGGCCAATAGTTGTTTCGTGAGGTGGTTCTTCGTTCATGCACTTCTTGACATCTTGAATCATGGGGGTATCGTCTGCAATCTCAAAATTGAGGCGTGGCGTCATCACTTCGTTATAGTTATTTCGTCTCAGGATCATTCGTTTTCGTCGTTTTAGTCGTCACCGTAGGCCGGCTGGCCTTCCACGAGGATGACTACCGTTATTGTGGCGGCATATGCTTCTCGGATGGCGCATGCCAAGCTAGTATGTAGTGTCAGCATATTCCACAAGGGGATAAAATATGGGATCAATAGCTGCGCAGAAGTGGACGCACCAAGTCTCCTTCACATCAGCCACAATGGCACTGAGCCCCCAATGCGAGCACCATGCACGTGCCAGGACTTCGTTGTCCGGCACGCCAAATGCCTCCACTACGAGAACCTTTTCGTCGTCCCCGTCCTTCGAGACGGATGGGTAGCGAGGGCCAGGGATACCTGCACCCCCAAAGCGGACTGTCGGTGGCACCGTCTGGTTCCGGGCGTGGGCGGAATGCGCTGTCGCAGCGGCCGTACCGGGGGACGGGCAAGGCGTGGCCCAGTCGTGGACGTTGACAATCTCGTCGGCCTTGACGACATCGTATACGTAATCAAAAAAGAGCGGATGCGGCTTGTTGGAGCAAGGCCACGCACAAACAAAGGAAACATCGTAGTTAAGGCGCATCGGCCACGATATGCCGTCAATGGCAAACTGGACGGAGGCGTCGAACCAGCGAGGGGCAGTGCTGCTGCCTGGAACAGGTGTGCCAGCTGTCGAGGGTGGTGGCAGAGAGCCGGAGCCGGCCGAAGCCGGGCTGGCGCCTGTTGAGGGACCTGGCGTAGCAGCAGGACGGAGAGTCAATAGCTCAATACGAACGGTGTCTACGACGTCCGACGAGTCCGCCGAAACAAGATTGTATTCCTTGACGGGGAAGACTTCGGCAGGCGGTCCAAGTGGGTCGGAGCGTTCGGCCATCGTGAGCGCATCGTCTGGCGAGAGGTCCTGTCGTGGTCGTCGGGTCCGAATGCGGGCAATCTGTGACCGGCCGAGATCGACCGTTGGGCGGGCAGGGCCGATCCAGCCGGCAAGCTCCCGGCAAGTTGGCGCCAACACCTTGCCGACAATACACGTTGACGTCCAGTATGTGTAGCTGTTGCGGTACTGGAAACCGCAATTGGGATGCAAATGGGTGAGCAAAGACAGATCGTCGGTGGCTTGGTCGGGATCGACGTCGATGAGGGCGTTCATGATTGTAAATGGGAACGTCGGCTGTCCATGGGGTTAGCATATATCAAATGGATTACATCGGTGCATCGGTGCACAGGTGAAGAGTGGAGTGTCGAGAATGACGTACCCCGGGTAGTACAAGGCCACTGAAAAAGGCCATGGCATGCGAGCTGATAGAGGTGAGGCTGCCATCGGCATCGCGCTGCTTCAAGTTGGCTACGGTCGCCGCGTAGTTGGGCCACTTCATCATGCCGGCAAAGCGTTTGAACATGCGGACTTGGCGGTTCTTGAGCTTGAGTCGAAGTTTCACTTGATCGGCCGATTTTCCATAGGCATCCACGCGGATGTTGTCCTGCCAGCGACGGGCGAGGGCCAGGTCCCACTGGAGCGACGGCGGGAGTTGCTGGAGAAGTTTCTCCTTGGCCCAGTCGCTGTGGTGGCGGGACGAGATGCGAAGGTCGAGTTCGATGCTGAGCAGTAGCTGGTGGAAGAACCGTTGATACTGCTCATGGTTGGAGTGGCCGGTGTCAAAAATAAAACGGGTGGCGACCTGGTTGCGCGGAACCGTAAAGTCGATCCAGTAGTCGGGGCGTGACAACACCAAGATTAGATCGGTAATCTGCTTGTCCAAAGTACGGTGGGGGCCAAACATTCGGTCGGGATCTCTTAAGAGGCGGCGATATAGGTTGCGGTAAAGGCGGTCCTCGTCGTCTTCGCATAGGCCATTCAGTTGGATGTCTCGTAGTCGCTGGCATATCTGTGTGAGGTTGACGTCGCGCGGGCGGACCCCGGAGTCGCGCAGGGCAATCGTCGGCGGCAAGGATCCAGAGAGGCCGGCCCAATGGTTCAGGGTAATGGTGCCCGGCCGTCGGCCAAAGCAAAATGCGAAGCTTGGCTGCTCGAGTGTGTCCCAAGGCGAGAGTGGAGTTTGAGATGAACTCGCAGAAGAGCCTGGCCCTTGGTTGATGCGCATTGTCATGAACTGCGTCATGGAGTTGTGTAGATCTATGCCGTCCGTCGAGATGTCGCCGTTGTTGCTGTTGTTCCTGTCCACATCCCTCTCCCCGCGGCGGTCGCCTCGTCCCCTGTCACGATCGCGATCCCCATCTCTGCTATGTCGTCCGCTTCGACTTGCGCCCGATGTCTTCTGGTTTCCCGTCGATGTGCTGTAGAGGGTAAAGTACTGGTCGGACATGTGCGGAACGTCCTTTCGGAAGCCGCTGTAGACAGGTGCACCCCGGGAAATGTACTCAATGGCCCCTCCCAGAGGGAGTTCTGTGTCGGCGGGGATGTTGTTCGGAGGCCACTCGGTTAACGGGCTGACTGGAACAGAGGAGTAGGAAGTCCCGTTGCTTTTCGGCGCGGGGCTTGCCTTGCCCTTTGCACGCTTTGTGCCGCCGGCGGACTTGGACATGGCCCTGTCAGGGTATTGGTAGACTGCCGCTTGATTGCCGCCATTAGCAGGCGCCGAGACCTTCTCTTTCTGGTATCTCGCTGGCTGCTGTTCCTGCACCGGAATGGGACCTGGCTGCCGGACTTGGGTAGGGCCTGGCCGGCGAAGCCCAGGAGGTGTTCTCCGAGTGGCTGGGACATGAACGTCTCCATCTGGACTGTCCCCTGTGGTCTTCTTGGGGTGGTTCTTTTCCTGATTCGTGTAGGTTAGCTTTGGGAGACACTTTCGTCATGTTTCGAGGATAGCCACAGCCGTACAAGTTTTGCATTTTTGCCCTTGGAGCTTCGCGAGCGGAAGAGGTTGCTCCAGAAACCTCGTTTCTCTTGTTTTGCGTCTTTTGTGGTGTTCATGGTGGCTCATTGTAATGTGAGAAGATGGTGCTGCTAAATGCGATGTTTGACATCGACTGGATCGAGGCGATCGATGATGGCGATGGTTCTGTGCTGCTTGTTTAGAATATATCTTGGAATGAGACGAAGGTGGTGAGAGTTGAAAAAATGTGAAGATAGTACAAGGATATGCGGAAGTTGAAGGGGCTCTTATGCAGATATTAAAAATATAAAGAATAAAAATGTAAAGTGCTATTAATTGTCGCCAGCCCGGCGGAGAGGTCGCATGTGGAGAACAGAGCCGAGGGCAAAGGATTGCTTTGATGCAACCACTTTGCCTCGCAGCTGGACTGGCTACTAAAAGGGAGCTATGTGTTGTTCGTGCACCACACTCTCGTATGCCGACTGCACACCCCTGCCCCGCGCGTTTATAGGAAGAGGCGAAAGTCAAACCCAGACGTGTGAGGTCAGAGGGAGGGAGCTTGGTATCCTTGGTATCTTGCGTGGCTGGGTGGCTGTGGGACAGGCCGATCTGGGCATGTGAGGGTGTGAGTGGTTGGTGGGCGGACGTAATGCGCTAACAGTCGTCAGCGGTTTGCGTTGCAGTTGAAAAACAACTCGCTGTGGCGGGACAGGAGAGCAGAAAGTGAAAAATCAAAAGTGAAGCAAAAAAGAGAATCGAGATGCGATATATTGGACGACCGGATTAGAAACTATGAGACTAGGAAGGAGCAAAAAAAGGGGAAGGCGCGCCGTGTCGTGGGTTACAACGGAATTGAATGCGGAAAGAGCGAGCCAGCCAGCCAGTTGCCCAAAAGACACTGAAAAGGTGCATGCATGGGACTGGACAAATTGGGAAGTTACGATGGGCGGCGGGCGACAAACACGGCATCGACAAAAGGGATGATAATGCAACTGCAAACAATAAAAAGCACAGGTAAGGAGGCCGCATATTGTGGGAATGCGTATGCTCTGAAAGCGTGCCAGCTATCCGGCACGGGCAAAGCACAGACTGTGTGATACGCGTAGATTAACTGTTTGCTACGTACTCCGTAGGCTCCCAGCAAACCGGCTGTTTCTGGTTGTAGCCTTTGTGTCTGGGGAAGGTGAGAGCGACGGAACTGGTGGTTGCCCATTTCTCGTCTCGAGGTTCTTCCTCCCCAAAAGGGCAATTTGTCAAGCCTGACTGGAAACAGAAGGCACGAGCCGCAACCAAGTGGGCAGTGAGTTGTCACGATCGAACGTCAAGTCCCCCCTCCGACGTTCTCCTATCTGTCTTGCCATCTCCTCATCGTCTCCTGCATACTTGTCTCGCCCGAGACATTGGCTGTTTGAGCGTTTTGCTTGTTTGTGGGCGAGTCGTTGCTTCTTCCAAAAGAGGCGGTCTGCGGGTAATTTACTGGTCTGTGCTGCAACGTTGGTGCAGCTCCGTTTTCTTGCTTCTCCTTTTTTGTTCTCTTATATTTTTTTGTCTCTCTTCTTCTTATTTCAAATGCGCCTCTCCTCCTCAGCTGCCTGCAGCCATATGCACGCAGATATGCACCTCCTGCCACCAAAATATCCCAGCCTTTACCAATCAAAAAGGAGCCCACGACGAGACGCCAAAACGTGTGTTTGGCAGAATGGGGCCAACCGATGCGCGTCTGGCAAGGCTGCAGCTTGGGATTGGGTGGCGGAGGGCAAAAAGAACGAACGTGAGTAGAAGACGAAGTGTTTCAAAACGAGAGGGCCAAAGAGGTTCGGAGCCAAGGCAACGACACTTTTTGCGGCGGCCTCCTCGCCTTTGGGCGACACTCCGTTTCAGCGAAACACAAAGTCTGTTGACAACTGGTTGGCTTCAAGATTGTGCCTCCAGGCGTGCCTACCAAAATGCTGTACTTTGTCAGTGGCACAGAGATTCGAGTGAAAGCATGCCACGATTGCAAGCAGCCACATGGTAGGCTGGGAGCGGCACTAAGCCGCCGTGGCTTGCTGTTAAAATAAACAAACGACATACGACGTCATACAGACACGTCTGGCTTCACTTCTCGACCCCCCATGTCTGCCAGTTTTGCCCGTCCGAGTAACCCCGAATGGCAGAAGGCCACATATAACAATGCCACCGCAAGATACGATGCAGGCGGCCATAACGAACATGCTCTCGTTCGCCAAATATTGCGAAACAAACTTGTAAATTACAACCTTGACAAGGCACCCAAAATAGAAATGCAGCTGTCCTAACGAATAAAAGAAACAAAAACAAGACCAAAGATGCAACTAGGAATACAAAATGGAACAGAAGACTAAACGCATGAAAACGACAGCCCTGTCTCGCTTTAATATGCTTGGTTGATTAAGAAAAATTGTGAGGCGGAGAGAAGAGACTTTGTTCTTTTGTCGCCCTCGTGCTCTGCCTTGCAATGTGCCACGTCTTCTGGACCGGCACTGCTCGGTTGCCTTTTGTTGTGGGGCCAACGTGTGGCGACTGGCCCAAGACGCGGAGAGACAAGAGCGGCATACGTCCGTGTCTCTCCTCCCAGGCCTGGTGGCTTGCTTGCATTCGCCCATAAGGTTATGCATGCACGTAGCTGCTGCTGTTACCAGCCTCCGCAATACGGCTGGCATCGTCGTCGGCCCACCGCTGGAACGCACGGCGGTACGCAAACACAAGATTCAGAATCAGCGCAATCATCAGCGCAACGCTCACGACCACCGGGCCAATCATGTCGTCAAAGTCGTGACCACTGCGCGCCACAATCATGCCGCGGCGTATGTGCAGCATGTACCAGCCCCAGAAGCCCGTGAAGACGGCCACGGCAATGTAGGCAACGCCCATGCCGAGCGCAACGGCGTTGTCGCTGCTGTTGGCGGCGGCTGTGAAGAGGGCCACGGCCAGCGTGCCCAGCAGAATGGCAATGTGCTGCCACTTCAGGAACGTGCGCTCGTTGGCCAGCCACACCTTGGGCTCAATGTGCAACGGGCCGTCGTTCTTAAGCCACTCGGTCGGCTCCGTGACACCCTCGGGCAGCACGGGCGCCTTGTCCTTGGAGCGGCGCCACTGGGCGTACCGCGTCATGGAGAAGGACGGCAGCACCGACGAGATGGTGCCGTAGCCCGCCGTGCGCGTCGCGCCGTTCGAGTCGTGTCCGTTCGCGCCGGCGGCAGCCGACGACGACGACTCACCCTGCTCACCAGCGGCGCCAGTGCTGGCGCCGCTGATGCCGCTGACGCCCGACTGCGACTGCAGGCGCTGGGCAATGGACGTCTCGGCAGCGAGGCGCCCGGCGAGGTACGACGACGACTTGGCGGCCGGCGAGCTCTTGTTTGGCTTGGCCGACGACCCCAGCTTGCTGGTGCCCAGGAAGCTGCCGACAACCTGTTCGTCGGCCGCACGCTGGGCGCGCCGCAGCTCCTCCTCCTCGTAGGCCTCTTTTGGGTCGCGGCGAATGTCGCGGTCAAGGTCGCTGAGCCAGAAGGGCAGCTGGTTGACGTAGTCGTCAAAGAGCACGGCAGCACCGTGCACAAACTTGGAGAACTGCGGCACGGGGTGCACCAGGTGGGAGGCCATCAGGTCCTCGACCCAGGCAGGGCTCTTGCGGCTGGTGCCGTCCTCGCGCACCTTGATCTCCAGCACGGCAAAGGGGAAGCGCGACACGTCGCTGGGCGGCAGCTCCGAGAAGGGGTAGGTGACGTTGCCCGTGTCGATGTCGCGGCGGTGCCACTCGGACGGTTCGCGGCACGGGCGGCGCTGGTCCAGGTTGTCCTCGCGGATAAAGGCCAGGCTGGTGTCGATGGAGACGCGCACGCGGTCGTCGGCCGGCTTCTGGAACGCAGTACGCACGTAGTTGGCACGAAGCACGGGCTCGAGCTGCTTCTCCTCGACAAACGACTGAATGGCGTCGGCCGTCGTCTTGAAGGCCGTAATAGTCTCGGCCTGCTCGCCCTGGCGCTCCATCTTCTGAATGGTCTTCTCCATCTTGTACTTGCCGTCGAGGAACGGCTTGACGTACTTGTCCTTGATCGTGATGCGGCTCTCGTCGCTGGTGCCGTCGTGGTGCACGACCTTCTGGTCCAGGTACAGCTCAGGCTTGTTCGCCAGCTGGCCGTACCAGCGCAGCCGCAGCGAGCCGGCGTTGTCCGACTCGCTGTTGCGGTCGAGCTTGGCGCGGTACAGGTCGAACCTGTCGTTGTCAAAGTACAGCGACGTCAGCGTCGGGTCCACTGTCGCGTCGGCCTCCTTAGCAGACGACTCGCTGTACACGAGCGCCGGAAGGTGCCGCAGGACCATCGTCTTGACCTCGAGTAGGTTGTCAGGATGGACCCAGACTGTAGGCACGGGTTACGGATTTGGTTAGTCAGATGTCAATGCCGCGGGAAAAGAGGACATAATGTCACCAGGAGGGGTGGGATGAGATTCGTTACTCACACTTGAGCGCCTTGTAGCGCTCGCCATTGTGGTTGGTCTCCTGCTGCGTCTCTAGATCGACCGGCAGGTTGGCCTCGTCGGGGTTGAGGTACTGGTGCACGGCCTCGTACATGAGCGACAGCTTGGCCAGCAGCGGCGAGTAGCCGGCCTCTGAGTTGAACGGCCGGCGCGTCAAGCTGACCTGCATCATCGGCCGGATGCGATAGTGATTGCCACGCTTGCGGTCGTGCTTCTTGACAATCTTGAGGAAGCCCGTGTAGTTGAGGCTGCTGTAGCGTTTGAGCTCGCGCAGTTCGTTGGTGATGCTGTCGAGCTCGGTCTCGATCTCGCGCACGCGCTGCACCGTGATCTCGCTCTTGTCCTTGGCCGCTGCGGCCGCCACACTGCCGCTCGCGCTGCCCTCGGCCGTCGCCGAGTCGGACGTGGTGCTGCCGCCGCCGGCGTCGTGCACGGGCGTCAGGTCGCGCAGCTTCTCGAAGATGGCGTCGGCACGTTCACGCAGCGAGTTGACACGGTCCTCCTGGAACTTGGCGACCTTTTCGAGCTGCACATTGAAGATCTCGTCGCAGAAGCGGTTCTCGTCGTCTTCGGTCCAGGTGGACTCGCCTCCTTCGGTGTCGGAACCAGCGCCCTCATCGTCGCGCAGCAGCGCCTTGAGCTTGCTGTAATCAATGTACTCGGCCTTCCATGGCGGGTAGATGGACTCGCGCAGAGTCTTGCCGAACCGCATTGTGGCGGAACCGTCGCGGGTTGTCGAAAAGCCGGTACAATCGACGATGGATCGAAGGTCAAGGATGAAAGAGACGACAACAAAACCCGGAAACCCGTCAAAATCAATCCAACGAGAGGAGACGAAACGAAGCGACGGTATCCAAAATTGACGTCGTGAGAAACAAAAGAGAAGAGAGCAAAACAACAAATGCCACGATATTGTCCAAAGGAAGTCCAATCGTGCGTGCAAAAGTGGAAAAACGAGACCGGATCGAGGCAAGCTTCTGCGTGGACTTGCTTTGGCAGAGAGATTTGCAGATTTTCTGTGCTCCATACGAGGTGGTGACGTCTCGGCGTATTTTGTCGCTCTCTTGCCTAATGCGTTGCCAGGCCTCATTGAACAATGGAAGGAACGAGTATGCCCACGGCAGTCTAGCACGGCCTTAAAAGAAGGCGCCCCCACATAGCAACGGAGTACCTGCATTTTATACCACAAATTGCTAGGACCTTCAAGTACCAAGTCAAGCCGTGCTGCCCCGCTGGGATTGGTTTCACTGAAAAGCAGCTGCGACCCAGGAGAGCTCTGTGACCCCACTTCGACGCTCCATTGACCAATCGTCGAGCTGTGTTTTTGCACGTGTGGTTGCCCAAGATGGCCCTTCACCTTTTGCTCCAGTTTCTGCAGGAGCGCCCACGCTACACTATCGATATGGTTATGAAAGCCTATATTGGTGAGAGACCGGTAAAATCGGTTGCACGCACCATGAGTTCGATGCCGGGAATCAATCACCGAGTGCACGAGAAATAGACAAAAGGAAGCATGAGACAAGTCGACGGATGCAAGCCACGTTTTCACGTTTTCACGTTATACACTCTCGGCTCATATAGCCGAGCTCAAGAACGGCTGGAAAATGAGGCCGTAAGAATTCTCAAGAGAAGTTATATTATTACAACAACAAAAAGTGTCATACACAAGCAGTGAAGCCTATGAAAGTGGATTGGGTAGATGTCGAATGCGATTGTTTGTCTGAAACGACGGTCTCCACAGCTCGTTTGCCAGTCATTGAACAACGTCGACCGCGATGAGGTGACAGGCAATTTTGAGCGTTTTACTGAGCTCTTATAAACAGATCAGCATTTCAGCTGTATTTAAGCACTCATAGCATTCATCACGTGAAAGGGATCAATTTACAATGTTTTTTGTGGGAAGCTAATCAGGAGACTCGTATGTACATAAATAAATAAAAAACTCATCAAACATAACACACAGGTATATATATGAAGCAACAGACGTGGAAAATGCAAAGCAAACAGGAAACCTCCCGACTGCAGATTGCCGCCTCCCGTTTCCGAATACACCATGGGTAACGAACAATAAAAGCAAATGGAGCAGGTCAGACAAGAAAACATGAAAATGCATGAAACATGACAAAGGAAAAAGAAAAAGAAAAAAACGAAAAAAAAACCGGAAGAAAACATGATTCAATCTCAAGGACGAAAATGCTTCTTGCTTATGCGGCGCCAAGAACCTCCTCGGCCGTGCGCTTGATGATACCACCAGTCACCGGGAGCGAGGTCGACTTCTCGAGGAACAGATCGACCTCACGGGCGGCCTGGCGACCCTCGTTGATGCCCCACACGATCAGGGACTGGCCGCGACGGCAGTCACCCGCGGCAAAGATGCCCGGCACGTTGGTGTTGTACTGGCCGGCGGGCGTCTTGACGTTCTTGCGGGCGTCCTTCTCGATCTCGTCGCCGAGAACGCGAGCGTCGGGGCCCAGGAAACCCATGGCCAGAAGAACGAGATCGGCGGGGAAGAACTGCTCCGAGCCCTCAATCTTCTTCATGTCCCAGCCGCCGCTGGCCGAGCGCGTCCACTCCACACGCTGGGTGTTGATGCCCTTGACCTTGCCGGTGCCGTCGTCGACGAAGCTGTCCGACATGATGCAGTACTCGCGCGGGTCCTTGCCGTGGTGCTGGCGCACCTCCGTGTGGCCGTAGTCCACGCGGTAGATGCGGGGCCACTGCGGCCACGGGTTGTCGCGCGCGCGCTCGTTGGGCGGCTGCGGCAGCAGCTCGAAGTTGACAATCGACTTGGCACCATGGCGCAGCGACGTTCCAATGCAGTCGTTGCCGGTGTCGCCACCGCCAATGACCACGACGTGCTTGTCCTTGGCCGAGATGTACGTGTTGTCAGCCAGCTCCGAGTCGAGCAGCGACTTGGTGTTCTTGTGCAAAAACTCCATGGCAAAGTGGATGCCCTCCAGGTTGCGGCCGGGGATCGGCAGGTCGCGAGCGACTGTGGCGCCCGTAGCGATCACGACGGCGTCGTTGTCGGCCTTGAGGTCCAGGAGCTTGATCTCCTCGCCAATGGCGACACCCGTCTTGAAGGCGACGCCCTCGGCAGCCATAAAGTCCGTGCGGCGCTTGACAATGCGCTTGTCGAGCTTCATGTTGGGAATGCCGTACATCAGCAGACCACCCAGGCGGTCGGCGCGCTCGTACACAGTGACGGAGTGGCCGGCACGGTTCAGCTGGTCCGCAGCAGCCAGACCCGCGGGGCCCGAGCCGATGATGGCGACCTTCTTGCCCGTGCGGACGGGGGGCGGGGTGGGAACCATCCAACCCATCTCGAAACCGCGGTCGATGATGGCGCACTCAATCGACTTGATACCAACGGGGTCCTCGTTGATGCCCAGGACGCAAGCACCCTCGCAAGGAGCAGGGCAGACACGTCCAGTGAACTCGGGGAAGTTGTTGGTCATGAGCAGGCGGTTGAGAGCATCTTGCCACTGGTTCTGGAAGACCAGCTCGTTCCACTTGGGGATGATGTTGGAGATGGGGCAACCAGTGTCCGACTGGCAGAAGGGAACACCACAGTCCATGCAGCGGGCCGACTGGTACTTGAGCTCGTCCTCATCCAGGCGGCTGGACAGCTCAGCCCAGTCCTTGGTACGCGTCTTGGCCGAACGGTACTTCTCCGAGCGGCGGTGGTACTTCATGAAGCCCTTGGTCTTGTCCAGCACAAGCGCCTTCTTCTTCTTGTCGGCAGCGTGGTCGCCAACGCTGTCCTCCAGGTCCTGGAGAGCACCAGCAGAGGCGGCGGCAGGCTTGGGGGTAGGGGGAGCGGCCTCCTTGATGGCGGGCAAGTTGTACTCAGCGCGCTTGGCCTCGGCGGCCTTGGCGGCCTCCTCAGCAAGAACACGCTTGTAGTCGACGGGGAGAACCTTGATGAAGCGAGGCAGGGCACGGTTGAAGTCCACCAGGATGCGGGCAGCCAGCTCAGAGCCCGTGTAGTGGTGGTGGTCCTCGATCAGGCCACGCACAAAGGCAATGTCCTCGGGGTCCTCGACGCCAGACGCCTCCACCATCTCGGTGTTGAGCTTGCCCAGGAAGTCGTTGTCGACGTCCAGGACGTACGCGATACCACCGGACATACCAGCAGCGAAGTTGCGACCAGTGCTGCCCAGAATGATGACGCGACCACCCGTCATGTACTCACAACCGTGGTCACCGACACCCTCGACAACCGCCGTGGCACCCGAGTTGCGCACAGCGAAGCGCTCGGCGGCAACACCGCGGAAGAAGCATGTTCCCTTGGTAGCACCGTACAAGCAGACGTTGCCGATCAGAATGTTCTCCTCGGCCTTGAACACTGCCGAGCGGGGCGGGTAGATAACCAGGCGTCCACCAGACAGGCCCTTGCCGACGTAATCATTGGCATCACCCTCCAGCTCCAGCGTAACACCGGGGGCGAGGAACGCACCGAATGACTGGCCAGCCGAACCCTTGATGTTGACGTGCACAGTGTCGGTGGGCAGACCGGCCTCGCCGTAGCGCTTGGAGATTTGGTACGACAGCGACGTACCCATAGCACGGTCGGTGTTAATGATGTCGCACTCAATGCGCGACGGCACACCCTTGTCGAGGGTGAGCTCGGCCTCGGAGATCAGCTTGTTGTCCAGGCGGACGTACAGCTTGTGGTCCTGCTTGCGGACGTTGAAGGTGGCGACACCAGGGCGCAGCTTGTGGGCCGGGGTCAGGATAAGCGACAGGTCAATGTTCTGCATCTTCTTGGACTTGAGGTCATCGCGGACCTTGAGGACCTCCACGTGGCCAATCATTTCGTTGACAGTGCGGAAACCAAGCTTGGCCATGATGGCGCGCAGCTCGTTGGCAATGTAGTAGAAGAAGTTGATGACGTGCTCGGGCGTACCCTTGAACTTCTTGCGAAGCTCAGGATCCTGCGTGGCAATACCCACAGGGCAGGAGTTCCTAAACAAACAAAAAAAATATTAGTTACCAATCCAATAGAAAGGACATTGCCAAAGGGGCCATTAAAATATGCCAAAATAACAAGAATAGTAAACGTACAAGTGGCACTTGCGCATGAAAATGCAGCCCATGGCAATCAGGGGAGTGGTGGCGAAGCCCCACTCCTCGGCACCGAGCAGACAGGCCATGGCGACGTCACGACCAGTGCGGAGCTGACCGTCCGTCTGCACGACGACACGGCCACGCAGGTCGTTGAGCACAAGCGTCTGGTGCGTCTCCGCCAGACCCAGCTCCCAGGGGAGACCGGCGTACTTGATACCAGTCCAGCGGGAGGCACCCGTACCACCGTCGTGGCCAGAGATGAGGATGTGGTCGGCCTTGGCTTTGGCGACACCCGAGGCAACGATACCGACACCCGTCTCGGACACCAGCTTCACCGACACGCGCGAGCGGGGCGACGAGCACTTGAGATCGTAGATGAGCTGCTTCAGATCCTCGATGGAGTAGATGTCGTGGTGCGGCGGGGGCGAAATGAGACCGACACCGGGGGTCGAATGACGCGTGCGGGCAATCGACTTGGTGACCTTGTGGCCGGGCAGCTCACCGCCCTCACCGGGCTTGGCGCCCTGGGCCATCTTAATCTGGAGCTCATCCGAATCGGCCAGGTAGGCCGAGGTGACACCGAAGCGGCCGGACGCGACCTGCTTGATGGCCGAGCGCATCGTGTCTCCGTTGTCCATGACC